TGCTGGAGGGTAGGTTTGCTGTCGAAATTTTCTATCAGTAGTAATAATGTTCAAAATTTTCGTGCACAGGTTTACGATTTCCATATTTGTATCTTTAAATAATTATTTTCAAGTAATTACCGAGTAATTTCTTAATTAAGGATTCAGTAGCATATTCGTTAGAGGGCAATCTAAAGCATAAATAAAAATTGTGACAATTATTCCTACCGGTCACACACACACTTCTTTTTGGCAATAGGAGATGAAGACTGGAATTGGGGGGCACCCGAAGTACTGAAAATGAAGGGCTTTCCATTCTCTACAATTTGTGAAACAACAGCGACGGTCTCACTACTACTAGGTGAACCCGCTGTTCCCTGGACAGCTGAACTTGAAGGTATAGTTACTGTATTATCCCTTGCCACCTCTTCTGTAGATGAGCAGTAACGTTTCCACAAGTCCCAGTCACTAAATGCTGCATCACGTAACCGTTTTTGACGGCTATAAAATGTTGAGTAGCTGTATCCAAGGCATTCATGCAGTCTGCCAGAAGATATTCTTCTCTTACGACTTGTAGAATGTTGAATACCGGTATTTAACACATTATCGGAGTTGTTTTCCTTATAAGAGAATTGGACAAATAAACACCCAAAATCTAACTCACCTGCATGATTTATAAATCCTGTTAGAATGATCTCTGTATGTACGGCGTACTGTTTATATACCTCTATGCAAACATCCGTACTTTTAATATGAAAAGGGATGACGGGTGAACTGTTATCACAACTGTTAACATTTTCCTTATGGGAAGTATATGTTTTCGTCTATGAATCAACACAATCACCCCCACCTTGTTTCGTTTGGATTCCCAAGGTTTAAGTACATAACCTCGTAAACTGTGCTCAGTAATGAAAAAAATTTACACTTCACTTATGACAAGTATCCTTTTCCATCTAAGGGTTTTCATTTTTCATCCCCTCCCCCCCCTTTAATTCGTTTTGAATTTTTGTGTTTTATATTTCTTTGTATTTCAGTCATGATAAGTATAGGTTTTCATTTGTTGTAGTTAATCCATTTAAGTTCAAATACTTTTGAACTTTTAAACCGTGGGCTTGTCATAAGTGAATAATTATCATTTATTCGTATACACAAATCATGACAAATGTATTCCCTCGACTGTATAAAGTGCATTAAACATGGCCCAATATGTTCTATCAAATTTGTTTTTGGTTTTCCATTTTTTTACCTCACTTTTACTGAGCTGTTATCAAATTTCGAAGCGATGAACTAAAAATGTTATCCTCATAGCTACTAGGATACACATTAGACACAGCCTACCTTGCTTATAATTTTTTTCAATTGTGACCTCGTCTCAACTGAATTGTAATCAAATACAGTGACGCTCCACAAACGAAATATATTATTCATTACAATCTTCATATGTTATCAATTCACATTCCCCTACCCCCTGTTGAATTATGTTTTCATTGTATTCATATTTACTGTCACACCTCCGGGGAAATAAACCAATCACATCACATTAAATTCACAGACAAGTGTGAAGCCGTCACACTACGTACTCTGTGTGAAACCTACTGTTTGCTGATTGGTTGGTTGGTTTCAATAGACGATGTCGAGAGAGAGAGAGGACGTGCTATTTTTCAGTATTAACCGCAGCAGTTTAGCATGCAGTGCTTATTTTCAGCACTTAAGACATTATTTCAGATGGTGATCTTATTTTTAAGAATTTGTCGCATTAATTAAGCACCCAGCTCTATTTTTAAGCACGACCAGCGTTATTTCAGAACATAGTGGGTAGAAAAAATAATCATTTACCAAAAAAAGGCATTATCGACGCATGGGTTAGAATAAGTTTAGAATTTTTGTAAGCACCATATGGTGCTTAGGATTATGTCATATAAATTTTTGTAACTTATGCAAAGTGTGCTTACTGTCATTACCTTCCCTTGAATGTATATTTTGTGTCGGTGAAAAATTTTCAACATGCCTACTCCATGCATACATTATTTTCATATTGATGATGCCTGTTATCTGGAGTCCCTCATGTGCATAAAGTGAGAATTTATTATTATAAGATGCATTTTATTGTTATACGAAGGAAATGACTTCAAGCTTTATTTTTAACCAAGTCAGATCTACCTAAGGTGTTATAGCCAGTACAGACTGCGCTTGCTGTCGATTTTTTAGTCGCGTTGGTTGATGGAATCCTAAGAAGATCACTGAGGTTGGTAAATGAAGTTAGCTCGGTTAGCAAACAATTTTCGAGTAGTAACCAGGAAATGACAGAGTTGTGTGACTCTGTTAAGCGTACTTTTTGGTCGACTAGCTTCAACACTACCAGCAAACGACGACACCACTCATGCAGTCGTTCGAAACCCATACGTCGTACTGAAAAGGATCAACATTTGTTGGAACCAGAATACCTCTTGTAATGTCTGGTACTACGCCTTTAATTACCAGAAATGCACTTTATACACCATTTTACGTTTCTGTATAAATCAGACCGTTCGCGGTATGTTCTTGACCGCTGTATACTCTTTTGTTTGAAAGTACATCTTGTTAACTGCGAGTCATTTTATGCTCACCACTGTGCTCTTGACATTCGAATGCTGGATAACCTTATAACTGAAGGTTTGTACTATAACTGCTTGATATAGCTTTTTAAGTAAGACAATAAACCTAGCAGTTTCTTCAAGTTTTTTTTAACGCAACGACTGAAAATTAGATTAATTATCAAGTTTTGGTTTACTTCAAGTTCAAATCCCAAGAGATGCATACTGATGAAGCGAAGTCCTAACCTAGGACAGAACGCAATGGTGTTTAATTACTCTCCATTGTCTTTCAATACTTCTTCTCTGACTGCTATTAATCCTTGTCCACACTACAATTACTATTACACTCGTGTAGTTACCGGACAAAGATAGAATTCCTCACTACGCCACCATATTGGACCCGTGTTCTGAGTGGCAGAGACAATGTTAAGAGCGAAACCTATGACTTGCTTTGTTGTTAATAACATAATTTTAGGCTTTTTTATTTCTCTCTTATTTGTATTCTGTAGTGAATACCTTAAACATACATAGCTACCTAAATTATTAACATTGGCTTACTTATTTCTACTTTACTGTATTCCTTCTTTTGTGTCTCTACTGGTTCCGGCTATATTATCGCTATGAGTATCACAAAATTGGCCTGTCATTAACCTTCCTGTAATATTAGTTTTGTGGTTGCTTTTGTTCAGCAATAATATTAACTGACAATCTTGGTTGTGAACGCCATTATCACCATCTTAAAAATTTTGTTTTATGCAGGATTACTCACACTACCACTACAATAACCGCATTAGAGCTGACAATTAAATAACTAAGAAGATTGACATTGTGCAACTGGGGGTTAGAATTGTAGAAATAACAAAATAGACACGATGTTTAGGTAAAAAAACTAATGTGATGAATAATTGTTCATGCAATTAGGGATTAAATATGTAGAAATAGTAAAATGACAAAATAAACAGGAAGTTCGGGTATGAAAATATGGTAGTGTAGACAGGGATTAAGAAAACTTAAAAGTAACATGAATAAACAGGAAGTTTAGATAAGAAAGGCGATGGGATGTTCATTACTAAAAAAATTACCTATTTATGATGGCCATGGCAGGGACTGGGGTTGGACGTATTTCTTTTGGATACAAAGTGTGGGTTTCAGCCCATGAACACTACCCAGCCTGGTTAGTAAAACGAGACCAAAAGCGTGTATACAATTCAGTGACAGAACATCTGGTCAATTCAGGACATTCAGCGCCTTTCGATAAAATCCTTCAAAGTAATATACAAGATTCAATCAAACCTATCAAAGGGAGTAAAATTAAGACATCTGGGCATAGCCAAGGCACCAATCATCCAAAAGCTCAAACCCACGCTATGTATCCAAAAGAAATACGTCCAACCCCAGTCCCTGCCATGGTCATCATAAACAGGTAATTCTTTTAGCAATGATCATCCCATCACCTTTCTTATCTAAACTTCCTGTTTATTCATGTTATTTTTAAGTTTTTCTTAATCCCTGTTTACACTACCATATTTTCATACCCGAACTTCCTATTTATTTTGTCATTTTACTATTTCTACATATTTAATCCCTAATTGCATAAACAATTATTCGTCGCATTAGTTTTTTTTACCCAAACATCGTGTCTATTTTCGTTATTTCTACAATTCTAACCCCCAATTGCACAATGTCAATCTTCTTAGCTATCATGATGCTACTTTGTTTGAGTTTTATCCGTCCTCCCTCCTGTTTATTATGGCATTCTAATTCCTAATTGTAATTTTTATTAATTTGACCCTTAACCGGGGATTATTTTGGAACTTTCCCATCCATTTGATATAAATAAATACACGAATGTACAGCCTAGTTGACGGTGACACTTCGTCGAAAAGAAAATTTTCCTCACTGCAACTGTTTTCCTAATACAAACTAGAATTACTGTTATACTTGTGTAGTTAGTTACCAGGCAAAGAGAGAATTCCTCACTCTGCCATAAATTTTGCCGAGAATTCTTCTAAAAAAAAGGTATCAAGCTACAAGCATGAAAAAGATATTTATTGCTCACCCCGCCCCCCCGTTCGTCCTCCTCAAAATAGAAAGATACGCATTACAAATGTTACAGAAGGCGACGAAAACCAAACACACAAACCAGGAGAAATACATACAAAATCTAAAGAAATAGGCAACAGATTTTTAAGGGGCAAAAAATCTTTATAAAAAAACATTTTATCAATACATGAAAGACCATTTTGTTTTGTTTTTTTATCGTCTACAGCATCATCATCACCAAATAATATGAAGAAGAGGATAAACTCTCTGAAGGAAGGACATTAGAAAAACAATATTAAAAATAATCACAATAATAGTAATACATTTACAATTTTTCATCACGAAATTCTATCGTATCAGACAGAATTTACAACACAATCCACATTATCATAAGCATCACCAACATCATCATCATAATCATCATCACCAACAAAGTCGCCATCATCTTTGTCATTCTCAGGTGGTGGTGGTGGTGGTGGTTTACGAATCACGTCGAACAGTAAATCAATCTGTTGATCTAATCCTAAATAAGTATCTGACATTAGGAATAAAGTGAGTTGATAACGTTGTCTACATTCCAGGGAAGGAATGATACCATCAACACCACGATTACTGTCCGCTGATGATGGTGTTAGTGTTATTGGCGGCGGGAATTTTACCATTAAATTGATAAAATGTTTTCCTTTCGATGTATGATGTTTTTTGTGAATTACAACTGATTTCGGTGGTACACGTTTAAGCACTAGCAACTCTCCACCAGTGTTGATGTTGACTTCACAATTCCCCAACAGAAGGAACCAACCTTCGTAGGATTTGGATTTGATTAAAGAGGCTGTAATGACTGGCTGTTGTACAGAAAAAAGAGAAATAACAGGCAAAAATGAGTTAAAATAACACACACACACACACATACAGAAGGACTTGAGGCATCGACGTTCTCGTCACAATGGTGTTTATTTTTATGGAGTGGTGTTGATAACATCACAGTCACATTCCTTATTTCTTTTACCAACTTCCTATTATTGATTGGATGAGGTTTCGGAGTGTGAGTTAACCGGCTGGGAACAGAACCCAGACGATGTGCGCTATGGCATGGTGGTAGGCTAGTAATCCATCATCGACCAATGAAAAAAAAAACAACAACAACAGGCTACAATCGTATAAATGCTGGAAGGTAATGGGAAGTGTTGAAGGCGATTGACAGAAAGTCCTGATAAATTAGTCAGGAAATAGGTAGGGGGAATTTAGAGATAAAATAAATAATAATCGTAGTGATAATAATAATAACAATGACGACATGCATGTCAAACATGCGCAAGACAACACCAAGAATAAGGAATCTAAATCATCAGTAGTAATTCCACACAAGGAAGGAACCTCGGAAACCACCTTACGCAGAATTCTTAACAAGGCAGAAATAAAAGTGGCTGGCATTCAAACCCACAAACTCAATTAGACACAAGCTTTGTCGGTTAAAGGATCAATCCTGTGCAGCCTTTAAAACAAAACAATTTAGTTTATCTAATACCCTGCCTGCGATGATTGTCAGGTCAAACTAGTAGAACAGGGGAAGTCAGTCAGATTAACCGAGCATAAAAGCCTAGCAAAATCTAGATTGGTTCACCCGAATAAGATAAGAAATCTAGAGAATAGTTCAGCTATAGCACTACACCACATGCAATTACACACAACCATACAATAGGATGGCATGGGATAGGATGACAGTTTTAAAATCTAATGTCACAGCAAGATGGAGGGACAGATTGATAACTGACTGAGGCTTTACTTATCGAATCAACTGAGGAGAATACGTGTAACAGGAATGATTTATCACCTGTCCAGCCGGATATCTGGAAAATTCTACTACCCCAATGACGACAAATAGGAGAGAACAAAGAAAACTATAAAACTCAAGTTTCGAAGTCGTGTTGATTATAATTGATGAAATGATTGTGAACAATACATTTTGTTCGAAACTCTGTCATCCAGTAAATAATACTGTTTCACTAAATCACTGTGTGATGCATTTAATAAACAAACTATTATGGAATTACTTACTCCTACCACAGTGCCCAAGTTTTACACAGATATTAATAAACCCTGAAACTAGATCTGGCTTAATGGCAGTCGTAAGCATGGTGTATTCTGTCACAGTGAAGGAATTAATTAACGCCTCCGGTGAGATTTGAACCTGACTGATAAGTGGTCTCCTAGATGACTTTAATAGATAACACTGGTTGATCCATACAGAGTAACGAGCACTCTCATAAGTCAGCTTCCCTGATGTTGACTGAATTTTCCACCCCTTAAGTCTACAATATGATTATCATCAGCAAGTGAGGTGGGTAACTCATTAGATACATATCACGGTAAAATAGTTGAAGGGAACTGGTGAGTAGTTCTGGACCAACGATTTTATGCTTTTTACTACTTGTGAGCAAGGAGTATCTGCAACCTCGACAGAATCAATACCACCTGAAACTCGAATTGTCATCATTCACAGATAGATCCAGTGGTTGTTATTCAGAGATTACTCCATGCACATTTGGCGCTTACAAACCGGACTGTTGGACCGGTTGGCCTACCTATAAAAGCACCAGCTGGCCAGTACTCTGTGGTTTGGAATAGTTCTCATAAAAGACCCAGTATGGCCGAGGGTAGGTAGACTTCGATCCTCCACCTCCTTGGGTAAGTATTATTCAAAACTGTTTTCCATCGAGGGAAGAGGTGTTCCTCATAAGAAAGAGTCTGTAGCCTACAACCAGGCTGATGGACATGCTGATCTGCCTAAAGTGGTGAGCTAATAAAAGAACACTGATTCCAGACCTATGTGGTGTACATTGGCTCCAAAATCCAACAGGATAGAATGGCGACGTATGAACTTTCCGTTTTGGTCTGTCTCACCGTCAAATACAGCCTCCCGTAGCTGTTCCATTGCCTTGTAGAACACACTTCAAGTTGAAGGCTCAATAGTAGTACTAGAGTGGTACGTCAAGAAAAAAGCCTGTTTCAGGTCTAACAACCAGGGTAGTATTGTGGAGTGTGCTGCTGACAAGATTCATCAGCAGTATATAAAGAGACGTTCATCCGCACAAAAATATCAAATAGGTAGGAAATAGATTTGATGTCATCGACGGAGGAAATGAACCAGTATTGCGGGGGAAACATGGGAGACACGAAAAGTAGGCAAAGAAATACAATACAAAAATGGCGGAAGTAAAACAACATGGAAGATCTGTGCAATCGAATGTTTTCATATAAGGTGTACATAATTTCCCCATATAGAGATATCAAATTCCAAATAAACATTTCGTAACTAACCAATCTTGTGTTCTACAGTTACATTTGGTGTCGCCACCAGGCTGTGGTCATGGTGGGAAGGATTTCGCAGGACAGAGAGTTCTGGCATATGGATTTCCATGTTGATCGGGAGTCCAAGCCAAAGACGCAGGTGGTATGGATGACCTGTCAGAGGGCGAGTTGACAAAAGAGGGGCGGATCAACCTAAGAGGGAAACCCAGTACACAGAAGTCCCTGTGTGGTGCAGTAGTGGATTAGTGCATGCTATTGGTGGCCATGTGACGACCCGACCCGCGCGTGTAGACCACCTCCTTTCGAAATGTTACGGAAGGACACACACGAGTGGTTGGTAACGGGCTATTAATTTACCATTTGATACATACAGATACTGAGAAATTATTATACCATATATGAAGTCGTCTGCTAGCCTAATTGATGGACAGTAATTTACGTCAATGTTTATGTCCCATATCTTGGTCACAGTGGTTAGGACTTTGGCCGACCATGCACATGGTCCGGGGTTCGTTCCGCAGCCGACGGACACCTGATATCAATGGTCGGCCTGCAAAATTTGGACTACCGATATCAAATGCTGAAAATTCCAAACCTGTAACAAAAATATGGTGTGGAATCAAGCTGTAATAAAAAATCATAAGAAAAGAACAAGAACCAATCACAGCAGACTTTGCGTGGGCGGATACAATTCGCAGATAGATGATCTGACCTTCAAGAAACGGCCACAAAGAGATGAGAGACTAACTTTCAGTGAGAAACAACCAGTCAGAAGACTGTGTTTGTCTGCTAATAATAATCTATAATAATGTACATCAAAATCTATAAATATGTGTTGATTTCCTTAATAAACAATCTGTTACCTGGCTCTTATCATCTGTTGTTACAATATTTTTTGTTCAGACGAACGTCTACTTATATACTACTTATAAGTCTTGTCAGTAAGTAGTACGCACAAACTAATAAGAAATTCTAAAAAAACAACAACAACAACAACTGCTTACTTACTTTATTTCCATAATATTCATTATCAAGCGATGAACGCAACAATTCAATACGCAGAACATATTCTATATCAGAGTATACTGTTAAACAGTTTGAACTTTGACCAGTTTTATTATTGATAATAAATTCTCTAACTGTTGACTGAAGCGATGATGATAAGGATGGATTTGGACCAATTAAACATGAATGGATTTCAATTAGAGGAAAACGTTTCACTGCCTAAAGAGGGACACACACACAAAGAGAGACAGGAAGGCAATATATAATGTGATTAGGTAACATTACTGAACAATGCGGGTATAAGTACCTATCATCATGAGGCTATTATTGTCTTGAAATTATGAGACAATAAATACCCTTGCAAATTTACATCATCAGAAGACTTCACGGTAAAGTTCACCAATAGCGTCCAAAAGGGATGCGAACGCGCGTCTCCATTGCGTTCGGTTTACTGCCAATTTTTTCACCCAGCTCCAAGTCTGCCCACACTCTTTCATCTCCTCTTCACATGACCCCCTCCAAGTCACCCTTGCACTGACGACCAACTCGCCGCTTCCCATTCACGTTCCACTCGAGGGCTCGTCTAGTGATGTCACTTGATGGTTTCCTAAGAGTATGGCCAATCCATCTCCATTTCTTCCTGCTTATTTGTTTCACAATCGGTTCCTGGTTTGCTCGCTCCCAGAGATCCTTGTTGCTGATGTTTTCTGGCCATCTGATCTTGAGTATTGAGCGAAGACAACTGTAAATGAAGGTCTGAGGTTCGTTTGAGATGCTCTTTATGACGCGCTACCCAAGTTTCTGATCTGTATAGTAACAATGACTTGACATTGGAGTTGAAAATCTGGATCTTATTTTTGATGTTGAGTGCTTTTGACCTCCACACAGACTTGAGAGTAATGAAAGCTTGTCTTGCTTTCCCGATCCCTGCTTTGATATCCTCGTCATTTTCGTGCGCCTGTAGTTGAAACGATGCTTCCCAGGTAGGTAAAAGAGGCTGCTTCTTTCAGATTTCTCCCATTTATGCTGATTATTGTTTGTTGTTGTTGTTGCTGTTGGCCAGGAATCTTCATCACCTCTGTTTTCTATATGTTCACCTGAAGTTCTATTTTTCTCTGGATGCTTCTTCTGCCAACTTGTTGCTTTTCACCTGGATATCTTCCAGTTTGTCCGAAATCAGATATATATCACTGGCGAAGTCCAGGTCCTCCAAGTTTGACATGAGGGTCCATTTTATGCCTGTTTCCTCATCGCCCACTGTCTGTCGCATTATCCAATCTACTGCAATCAGGAAAATCATTGGCGGTAGTAGACAGCCTTGCCTCACTTCCGTCCTCACTTTGAAGGCTTCCGTAAGTTTACCGTAGTGGATTACTTGGCATGCAGAATTGTCGTATAACTGTTGGATGTGATGTATAATTGTCGATGGCACCCCGTAGTAGCGAAGTAGTTGCCAAATGACCTCTCGATCGACGCTATCGAAGGCCTTTTCAAATTCGATGAAGTTGAGATAGAGTGGTGACTGCCATTCCAAGCTTTGTTCAATGATGATTCGTTTAGTGTAGACTGAATTCTATCAGTAGCGAGCACTGATAGCTCAGTGGTAACGTCTCTGACTGAAAAACTGGGTAAGTTGGGTTGTAATCTTAGAAGGAAAATGAGTTCGTCGTCCAAGACTACAGAATATGCCTTGCTGACTACTGGTGAGCGCCAACATGTACGAAACCTAGGTTCATAACTGCCTGCTAAATGTCTCTAACCATCTGTCCTTTTGAATGAAGTTAGGAAGAAAAAACCATTCATAATCGGATCAAATATTCCTCGATTTTAAAAAATGATGAATGGTGTGACGAGTTTTACTACTTCAGTCGACAACGCATTTTTATCATAAATCTCCACCTTTAGCTAGTTGGTCACCGCCTAGAATCCCACTCCACCGATTTCACACACTGGCTAACTAGATAATATATTAGCAGGAGCCGTCAACAACAATAAAATAACTGTGGCTAACAGCTCCCGTGTTTCCAATGCAACAAAGGGCTCGAAGCTTGAGGCATCAAAGTTTCAGAACTGGTTATTTTGTTGATTTCACCGCGTCGTCAGATTGCTAGTCTCACGCCAAACATATCCTCCATACCCGACTGACTACTGACTGCTAGGCGAGATTTAGGGAAGTGTATTCGTCAGTCGGGAATCGAACCGGGACCACGTATGGCATGGTTCGCGAGCATCCTACTATGGAACCACTCAAAGGTGTTCTTTCGTCTTGTCATCATATTGAACACATTTCAAATTGGACTATTCGTGAATGAAGTGAAAAACACAGACTTAACCACCCTCAATCCTTATTCGTTTGTTTATTAGATGTATCACACAGTGAGTGAAACAGTATTATTTACTGGATAACACAGTTTCGAACACAATTTATTGTACATAATCATATCAATTGTAATCACATGACTTTGAAACTTGAGTTTTATAGTTTTCTTTGTTCTCTCCTATTTGTCGTCGTCGGGGTAGTAGAATTTTCCAGATATCTGAATGGACAGGTGTTGAATCATTCTTATTACACGTGCTCTCCTCAGTTGATTCGATAAGTAAAGCCTCAGTCAGTTATCAATCTCTCCCTCCACCCTGTGACATTGGATTTTAAAGCTGTCATCCTATTGTATGGTTGTGTGTAATTGCATGTGGTGTAGTGCTATAGCTGAACTATTCTCTAGATTTCTTATCTTATTCGGGTCAACCAATCTAGATTTCGCTGCTGAGTTTTTATGTCCAGTTAGTCTGACTGACTGACCCTGTTCTACTAGTTTGATCTATGCATCTGATCTGACACAAAGTTTTTCCAACTGGGTATTAATTAGATAAACTAAACTGTTTTGTTTTAAAGGCTCCACAGGATTAGTCTTTTAACCGTCATATCTTGTTTCCAATTGAGTTTGTGGGTGGTTTCAACGCCAGACACTTTTATTCCTGCATGTCTTGTTAAGAATTCTGCGTAAGGTTTCCGAGGTTCTAAATCATCAGTAGTAATTCTGTGGTGAGAGCAGCCTGCTAGCCAATTGGTTGACATTAATCTACGTCAATGTCTAGGTCACTAATATGGGCCGTGAGAAAATATGAACAAGGCTGTTTCAACAACCAATCACAGCAAATTTAAACGTGGGCAAATATGATTCGCAGATATATGGCTCCACTTTCCGAGAAATTCGAAAACAACCAATCAGAAGACTTTGTTTGTCTACTTGACTAGGATATAATAATGTATGTGAAATTTATATAAATACGTGTTGATTTTCGTATTAAAACTATCTGTTGCCTTGCCCTTGTCTTCTGTTGTTACAATTCCATACAAGAAAGGAACAGAAGCTTTGCTTATCGAATCAACTGCGAACCAATACGTGTAATAGGAATGATTCAACACCTGTCCATTCAGATATCTGGAAAATTCTACTACCCCGACGACGACAAATAGGAGAAAACAAAGAAAACTATAAAACTCAAGTTTCAAAGTCGTGCGATTATAATTGATGAAATGATTATGAACAATAAATTTTGTTCGAAACTGTGTTATCCAGTAAATAATACTGTTTCACTCACTGTGTGATACATCTAATAAACAAACCAATATGGAATCACTTACTACTACCACAGTGCCCAAGTTTTACACATACATCCTCAATCTTCTTTACAATCAAATTATAGCTTACTTGTTTGACAAGATTAATGATATTCGGCTCCATGTGACCTCGTAGCATAGAATCTAATCGATTAGGTGATGATGCAACATAATCAATAAGTTCAGGTAGTGAGTTTATATTTGTATTATGATTTCCTCTGAAAGAAACAAGAGTAAAACGAGACATTAAATTTTCAAAATATTGAATTACAAGGAAAGAAAATTTTAGGTGATCGGATGGTGTCATAGGAGTCATAATTTAGGGGTAGGGAGGAGTTAATTATCACATACTTCAACAACATAGCTCCACTTCAGTCTTGTTCTCTGCAGTTGTCATTACCTGGATCCACGATTGCCCATCAACTCTCATCTCTTCCACGTCGCCCTCGGACCCCCATATATCAAACACATCGTTTCCCATTCGACAGACGTCACTTAACAGTCCGCCCCTCCCCCTCAGCGAGTGTCTAACACATCTCTATTTCCATCTTCATAATTGTTGGGCAACAGGTTTGCAGGTTGGTTTGACGCCAGAATTCCTTGTTGATAGCTTGCTTATGCTTTCTGGAGACCTTATCTACATTATGGAGCCAGTTAAGGAAGTAGCCGTAAATTTTGCAATAGCCGGTTGGAAATGTCTTTTTTTTTATAACATCGAGTCTCTGGACTATATAAGAGAAGTGACTGACTTGATATTATTATCGTTGGAAATCCGAATCTAGTTTCTAAAAACTGCTGATTTCGACTAACTTTGACACTTTCATCCCGTGTCATCTATCTCTATTTAAAACGATGCTAACTGGTCAGAAAAGTGTGAGATGTGAATTACTTCAAATTTTTCCCGTTTATAGGGATTGCTGCTTGTGTTGTTTGGTTGATTGGTTGGTTAACTTCGTCACCTTCATCTTCTCTATGTTCATCACATTGAAGTCTTGCCTTCACTGCCTGCTTCTTCTACTATCCTGTTGATTTTCGTCTGAAGATCTTCGGTTTTCTGTGACATTGGACATAAATTGTCCGGGAAAAGTTCAGAACTCCCGGAGTCTTCTTATCGCTCCAAATAAATTCAGCCTTCTTGCTCTTTTTCCACAACGTTTATCATGATCCAGTCCACACCACAGTTAGGAATATCAACCATGTGATAGTGTATCTATGTAGGTTTGTCTTACTCCTGTCTTCACAGAGTTTTCGCTTGTGAATTCACTTGACATGCACAACTGTCATCTAGTTGTTGAATTAAGTTGATAAAGGTTTGAGGGACTTTGTGGTCACTGCTGTCGAAGGCCTGCCTATTCAAAGTCGATGTGACTGACAGCCATTCTATGCCTATGTTCGATGATGATGATGGAGCGTAGAGTTGCTATTTGATTCTGCATCCAGTTTGTTCTGGTTTGCACCCAGAGCATGTTTTAGTCTTACTAGTAGCCTGGAGTAGAGGAGAACACAGCATGATTTCTTGCCGGTTCTTGCAGGCCCTGAAGTCGCCCTTCTTTAATCACTTAACAACATAGCTAAGTTTATTAAAATTATATACATAATTGTTGCCCTAAGTCTTTATCAACCTCATTCAACAGCTGGCTATATGAAAATAATAATAATAATAATAATAACAGCTTTATTCCAAACAGTATTTGTGGTACAGGTATGGAATTTTCAGCGTGCATTACAGTATATTGCATCTAATTACCTCATAAATTATATAAGATTTTTAAAAATCAAAAATAAATAAAAATAAAATAAATAAGTCATAAATAAATAAAATAAATAAATATTAAAAATGAAGAAAAAAAACAAACAGCGTAGAGTATTTCATTTCAAACAATGCACCACAGGATTTGGAATATAAAGTTGATGTGTGGTAGTAGATGAGAACAACAGTGTAGTAGTAACGAGGAAAGGAAAACAAAAACTAATGAGACTATTTGTTAGAGTGCTGCAGTAAGTTTATCGTGTCATACCTAACGGATTGCTCATCACATAACAGCTGTGCCAGATAAGGAAGGTATTGTGGAGTTTTTGTACTTGGTGACAGTGATAGCATATATCCTCCTACAGATGCTTCTAGTTCTTCCAGATGAAATGCAAGGAGATAGATGCGTATAGAGAGGATGCTCGGGGTCTGACAATATTGTATTCACTAGTTTCTTACATGACATATTATGTCTATCCACAATAGTGTTAACCAGTTGGTTTAACGATATCCCACTTGCCCTACAACGGGGCTATTAGTACCCTTCTCAGCAAAGCAAAGTCTTTCTTAAGTAGTCCAGGAAAGACTAATGGGGAGCAAGCAGTAAAGGAGGATGGGTAGAATACAAGAATTTACAAACTGAGAAAGCAAAGACTGCTTTATACCAGACTGCCTAAATTTCCTAATGTAGAACGTTAAGCAAAACATCTTTCTAGTAACTAGCAAGATGTGGGAAGACCAGGAAAGATCGGTGGAAAAACTCATGTCAGGTGATGCACAACGGAAATACTCATTGAAGCATTTACAGTGAATACAGGAGTAAGACAAGGCTGGATGCCTGTTATCACCGATGATATTCTTAATTATGCTGGACTGGATTATGCATCAGACTGTAAATAGCGAGTGAGAAGACTGGAATACGTTGAACTGGCCGATAAGAAGACTCTAGAAGATCTAGATTTCGTGGGTGGATAATTCATGTCTAATATCACGTACACACACTCACTCTAAGACTTACAAGCAGGCAGGTGAAAACCAAGAAAAATTGGAGGAAGAGACTGTCTGATGGCGAAAACAGGACTCTAGGTGAACAACGAGAATAGGGAGGTGATGATGAAGAAGAAGAAGAAGAAGAACAACCAGTACCAATCACCATCAGCGGGAGAGACGGATGAAGTTGTCATCAGAGTCAGTCAGCCAGCTAGAATATGAAAGGCAAGATATGCTTTCATCAACCTGAAACCAATTAAAAATTTTCTGCACCCACTAAGGTGGTGTCTATAGTTAGGACGATGCTTACTGGATAAGTGAAAGCATTGATTTTCTTCGAATTTCTCCAGTTGATACAGATGCATTCGATGAATCGATCATATCTTTACTCTTCAACAGAATCTGGAACATAGGTATACTTATCGCTGTCCAACTATCGTCAAATTTCTTGACCTGAAGGCGACAACATTCATTTCTGTCGACCGAGGGGTGCTATAGTGATATGTGGCTGTGAAGTGAATGCCCGAGAAAACACATCTCATTGATCAGGGCAATCTAATCGAACTCATATTCCTTTCTACCATTACCCATTCTGTTTCACTCTTATACTTGTCAAACTCTATTAATTCTCTTCACTCATCTTCTTGTCTACCTCTGTGTGCTATTTGGAAGGTGGCGACTCGAACTGGTGCACTTCGGTGCGAAGTTCTATGTTGAATCCAGACAGACAGACATGCGGCCAGGTCATAGCCCACGGAGAGTTGTCAACTGAAGTGATGACAACTGGTGGTGTCCCTCGTGGTTACCCAGTTTCCTCATTTCTGTTTAATTTTATTATAGATGTACTCTAATCGACCTAACCCTAACTGACTTCACTGACTTAGGGATTGACTTGTTACCATCAGGGAATAATCTCGTTGACTTAGAATATGCAGATAATATAGTCCACCTTCTAGGTGAAGACGATGACAAAATACAGAGTTTTCTGAAGACGTTGAACAGCTGCTATCTGCGAATGTTTGCCATGTGATTCGCTTCTGCTGTCAAATGTAAGACGATGCTACAGGAGTGGACTACATTGACTCCTAGCTTAGAAATAGGGTGTGTGAAGTGATAAAACACACTGACCACTTCACTTATTTGCGAAGTCACATCAGCCAACGCCAGCCGGTTGATCGCTGACAAAATCTCAGCACCGATACACAAGGCTAGTTTGGTGTGTGCCAGTTTACGCTGTTTGTGGCGTAGACGTGATATCCGGCTATTGACCAAAGGACGTATGTACTGCTCAACAGTCCGCTCCGTCCTCCTTTATGGCTGTCTGTGAGACCTGGCCATTGAGAGTGGAAGACATGAAAAGGCTGGTTGGCTATCTTTGATCCCAGGTGTCTGCATTCTATCTCATGAGTGAAGTGGTATTAGTAAGGTGAGCAGTACCAAGGTTAGGCGTCGAGTGCTAGGTAATTTTATTATTTATTGATTTTATTTTTGATTACAGCTTGATTCCACACCGTATTTTCAGTACAAGTATGGAATTTTCAGTGTGGATATCGGTAGCCCAAATTTCGCAGGCAGACCATAGATATCACGTGGGAAAGAAAATCAATCGACGAGGTTGTGAAGCTACATCGACTGAGATGGTTGGGATATGTGTTAAGTATGCCTAGCGATAGCCTTCCTCGACAAAGGGCAATGTTAGCTGACATAGGGTCAGGTTGGAAAGGAGCTAGCGGCGGTCAAACCAAACACATGGCACCAGTCAATGAAATCTACAACAGTTAGTTTAAGCCAGCCACCTAGGAAGATATAGACTTCCTGGTTGGGGTCCTCGGGATGGTAGGAATCAATACCAATGGCGACTGGAGACAATTGGTGATATGGCTCAAAATTGTTTTCAATGGCTGGCGCAGATGCATCCACTCTTTGTGACTTGTAATACCCGATGAAACTATATTGTTCTTCGTTATAACTGTTCCTTTTGTCTCATATCCCTGTTTACCATCTTTATTATGCATTTCTTCTACTTTCTTCCCTTGCTTTGTGTGCTACATGAAGGGAGTATGGCGACTTGAACTGCTGCACACCGGTGCAAAGTTCTATGTTGAAAACAGACAGACATTTGAAGCTCTATGTTCCACTCGGAACCCAAGGGGATAATAATAATGTGTAATAATAATAATAATATATCGTAATAATAGTTGTTATTCAAACGTAAATATTTCTACCTGAAATAATCTAAATGTTCACGTGTTATTCTCGGTAATTGTAGAAGACTACTACCATATTCTTCAACCCATAATCCTTGCGTAATCATTTGCATTAGCAGGATACAATTTAAACAAGTACGCAGCCATCCACATTCAGCGCTAACATCTAACATAGCCTGGCAAAGAAGGAAAATACAAAACAACAACGCTAAAAAATAACAAAACAACCCATAGTAGGATTGAATACAACACAAATATGAGAAAATGATGTAAAAATAAATAGATAAATAAACAGAAATTGTGAATCGACTGATTTTAGAATGCATGAACTATTCATTTGGATTCTTGACTCAGTAAAGTGATTATGAACGGTCAATCAGTTCATCTAGTAAATTGATGTTCATGGGTCCTATCCTTCACCCCCTCTTGGGGGGTCATGGAAGTGTATTTTTGAAGAGTCCAAAAACAAGGAAGTCGAGACAACTATCCATGAATACTCCCTGTTGGTTTCTTTTTGAATGGCTCTCAGAATGAAGTCAGTTTGTGATCAGTCAAATCCCTGATATACAACACTTGAAGATCATAGTTCACACTTGCCTCAGTATGTATGATAATTAATTAGTTTAGACTGTAGAATTTGTGGATATGTATGTATATATATTAGTCACGAATCAACATTAGTTAAAGATGGAGCAGGCGAAACCGGTTTCGTTCCACTTCAGGACTCTTCATCAGTGGGCACCGCGACCGCACCACCACCAGGAGTCGAACCTGTGACATGTAGGTCACAACGAGACTAAACCAATTCAGCCAAAATTCAATGATCTGCTGGGTGGATACCACTGAAGAGTATCAAAATAAGATGAAACAGCCATCCAGTGTTCCCTTATGGTTTTCAATGATCTTTCTGATTGATGTCCGATTGTGACGAATATACACCAGTTGAAATAAAATCCACAAATCCTATAGTCTAAATATTAATTGCCACTGGATGAATTTGCCGAAGCTATAGTGGCGAGTCGTGACCAGCAAAGTGCACCATGTTAAGGTGAAGTCTATGTTCACCGAAGGAACTGGTGAGTACAACGCTGTATCACAACATGTTAACAAAGTTATAATTCATGGGTCATTGAATACCACCGGCATAAATGGCTGAATGGTCAAAAACCTTGGTTTCGTTGCGACAAAAAGACTACAGGTTCGATCCCTGGCAACGTCCTGGGTGCGCACCAATTAAGAGTCCCAAACTTGAACAAAACAGTTGACCAGTAGTGCTCCCTACCGATTTTCAATGATCTCTCTAACTGATATTGACTCGTACACACCCCACCAAGGTTTGAAACCTAGGACCTGTCGGTTATAAGGTAAGCGCTCGTAGGCTATTCTAGTCACTGGGACTCGACCCATTAAGCTCATGGAATCCCATTTTCTGTTGAATCGCGCAAATACCGATTAATGTCATCCGGAGAGTAACTCTCCTCTTATCTTGCCTGACTTGATGAACCCTACTGCTTGAGATTTCACACTTGAAAACTCTATGGAACTTCCTGTATAAAGCCAACTAGTCAACGAACGCTAGTGAGGAGTGAGCGCACCCGATTAATGTTTTCTTGAAATGACTAATGGCTTCCCAAAGGAATGTTTGTTCTCTAACTGATGTCAGTAGATGTGATCAAATCCCTGTAAAACCAACACTTGAATATCTTTCTCTTCGTTCGTTCCCATGTTGATAACAGTGAACAAACTTTGACGGCGTCAATACCAATGTCTATTATAGTTTGTCTACAAGATGCGTAGAGATATGCAGCGTCAGTAACACAGCAGTAGAATGTTCGCCAACGACATCTCAATACTAATACCTGGTTGACTGACGCACTCCTTTACCTTACTAAGCCAGGAATAAGACTGAGAAAAAGGGAAGGTTGGGCACTTATTTAAACGCATAAAAAAACTTGGTACAATATCGCACCAAGAAAGATGCGCCATACAATAATAATAAAACAACATAGATTATAAGTTAAAAAAAAGAAGTAAAGAACGGATGAAGAACTTCATCTGGAGGGGAAACACTCATGCTTAACAAGTTCAGACAGTACTCGTTAACTATCATCGGGAAGGGAAGAAAGAAGGAAATTGCAACACGTTCACCATTGATTACAATTCTTGGCCATATCCGATAACGTTTCGAGCTATCTCACGGACCCCAACCAGGGAGTCGTGACACACCAGTAGTGAATGGTGATGAATGCTGATGTCCACTGGGTTCAAACACACGCCGCCTAACCTCAGAATTACTCACGCGATGATGCCATCGAACGCAAACAATCCTGCGGAGACAATGACGATCGAACACGCAGAGTCACCGCACATCCTCAGCCTACTCGGAGAGGCCAGGTTTCACAGGCGTAGAGCAGGGCATCCCGCACCGAAGTATTGTATACCCGACCTTTGACAGCCAGGCTAACATCGCGACGGCGCCATAGGTGCCTCAAGTTGATGTATGCCACCCTAGCCTTCATTACACGGTTGGAAGTTTCATCTGTCACCCCTCCGCCAGCACTCACACAACTACCCAGATACACAAACTTATCAACAACTTCAAGCGGTTCGCCTGCAAGAGTGAGTGCAGGTACAGGCGGATCCTGACAATCTTGTAACAGTACTTTGCAATTAGATGACGCGAAGTACATACCATACTTACAGACACTGAAGGCTGGGCATGCATAATGCTAACAACCCCATCCCGTAAAAGCAAACACCCCACTGCTACCGAAACTTCAAGGCTCTCTAGCTTGAAGGCGCCACTGGGAACGTAACAAGGAAACTATATGTTTTAAAGATAGTAATAATAATATTATTATTGTTATAAATAATACAGGGCATTCTCTTATTACTTACTTGTAATATTCTTATCGCTTGATCTAGTACAGAACGTGTATCCGTCTTGTAGTCAACAATCGGTAACTCTTCAATACGTGAAAAATGCGCTTGAAATAGTAAATGAGTTTTTGTATGCGGTGAATCCATTGGACCGATAGCTGGTAGTGGTAATTGATTCGCCAGTAGTTTATTCATTTCATCTTCATTATGTCGAACAGGTAATAAATAGTATTCATGAGCATTCTAAGTGTGTGGAGGATAGAAATAAGAGAAAGAGTATTATTATCATTAAGCGAGGGGGGGGATATATATACCGAAGCTACAAATATCTCTTCATAACAATGGTTGGTCCTACTCCCCGAAAAAGGAAGGAAGGCAGGAAGGAAGGTTCGATACGGCGGTCTAGCTACCCTATCGCGGGAAAACAATCCAAGTGCTCTATAGAAAATATCAAAAACAAACACATGCTCCTTACTGAAATCGGAGACAAAATGATACAGGCTGGTGAAGGCCTACCAGTGAACAGGTAGGTATGGTGAGATAGAATGTTCAAACAGTGTCCTCAAAGAAACAAGAAGGAACATTATGGTAAAGCTAAGAATCTGTGAGATGGCATGGAATGGCAGTGGACTCTTCTAGTTTTTAATTGAAGGGTCAATAACCTGCAGAGTGCTCTTCAAGCCTTTCTCAATCTCATTCAACAGCTGTATGACAACACCACATGTCGAGTGACTCACAACATATGATAGGGAAGATTTTTAGCTCAGGTGGATAACTTCGAGGTGGTTGTGTTCTCTGAGCTGCTTGGATAGTTTATTTGCGAAGTTTTCATCGCCCTACTAGGCGACATCTTCAGCGCATACTTCAATTTGAAGTGAAGTGAGCTTTTAGATTTCTCCATGAGTTTATTAATCATCTCTCCTGGTGACCACCTTGAACGGGATTGGTTGTTTTTGTGTATTTTTACACCTTCTGGGCGGCTAATTGTATTGGAACAGATCGTTTCTTTGACTTGAACCTTGACCCTTTGTGTGTTAGGCTTCTTTCTTATCGGTTGATAAATTTTGTCTATTGACTCAGGTTTGAGCCGCATCACCAACTGTCTCCAGCCACCATTGATGTTGGTTTTTACCATCCCGAGAACACCAATCAACCAACCAGTCAGTCAGCAAGTCTACACCTCCATCCCTACGTGACTACCTGGCTTGAAATGACTGTTGTGGATTTGATTGACTGATGAAGCAATGTTTTGGTTTGACCACCGCTAGCTCTATTCCAGCCTGACCCTATGTCAGCTAACATTGTCCATCGCTCAAGGAAGGAGATGACTAGGCATAAGTAACACATGTCCTAACCACCTCAGTCGGTATAACTTCACCGTCTCATCGACTGGTTCGCCCTCCCTCCTTAACTAGCACTCGACCGATGTCTCACCTCAATCTTATTCACCTTGTTATACCACTTAATACATAGGAGATAGAACGCAGACACCTATAAGCAAAGGCAGCTAGCCGACCTTCTCATGTATTGCACTCTGAATGGCCAGGTCTCACTCACAGCCAGCCATAAAAATGGACTGAGCGGAATGCTGAGCAGTACACATGCCCTTTGGTCAAAAGCCAGCCAGATATCACGTCTACGCTATAGACAGCGTAAACTGGTATATGCGAAACTAGCCTTATGTATCTGTGCTGAGATTTCGTTAGCGATCAACCCGTTGGTGCTGGCCGATGCAACTTCCAAAAATAAGTGAAATGGTCAGTGTGCTTTACCACTTCACACACCCTATTTCTAAGCTAGGCGTCAATGTAGTCCACTCCTGTAGCATCGTCTTACATTTGACAGCAGGAGCGAATCGCATGCCAACATTCTGAAATTGCAGCCCAACGTGTTCAGAAGACTCTGCATTTTGTCATCGTCTTCACCTAGAAGGTGAACTAAATTATCTGCATATTCTAAGTCAAGGAATTTATTTTCTGGTAGCAGGTCAATCCCTGAGTCACTGAAGTCATTCATCACTTTGGATGACAACCATCCGTAGGCTATGACCCGTCTGTATGCGTTCGAGTAGAGTGCCATGATCAGTGCAATGTACTTTCTTGGCATTCACTACACAGCCAAACACAACCATAGTACCTCTCGGTCGACGAGAATCGAATTCCGTCTTTAGGTCAAGAAATATGACGATTGTTGGACAGATTCTGTTGAAGTGTAAAGATATGATCAATTCATCGAATTCATCAGTATCAACTGGAGAAATTCGAAGAGAATCCTTCGTTTCACTTATGTAGGAAGCAGTGTCTCAAATATAGGCATTACGGATAAAGATATAAAAGATAAGATAGGAAACCAATAAGAAAGAAACTTCACACACACAAAGGGTCAAAGTTCAAATCAAAGAAACAGTCAGTTCCAATACAAGTAATCTAGAAGATGTGAAAACACACATAAACAACCAATCCCGTTCAAGGTGGTCACCAGGAGAGATGATTAATAGACTCGTGGAGAAATCTAAAAGCTCACTTCACTTCAAATTGAAGTATGCGCTGAAGATGTCACCCAGTAGGGTGATGAAAGCTTCGCAAATTAACCATCCAGCTCAGAGAACAAAACCACATCAAAAGATAGGAAACACAAAGCAAGAAATGCCTTCTATATTGTAAAATCAGTCTGGAAACCTACTGCACTAACTAACTATAAGGAACAACATTCTCATTGTCAACAGTAATGTCAAGTTACTTCTTCGATATGGTTCAGAGACTTCGTGCACGAGTCAAACGGGCTACTGTAGACATTTTTATCAGCGGCTGCCTTCACTGGTTACACACTGAAGGTCAGAGGGCCAGTCGGAGAAGATCAACTATGAATATCTGATATGTATCCACACAATATGTGTGTTTGTTTTTGACAGTCTGTTATATTTTTTGCTATGTATATATGGATCGATATTCCATTATAATTAACAATATGTTTTTGTCTGTCCACTAACTAAACAAACATGTCTGACCTTGTTGTCACATGACATTACAACCAATCATGTTAAAACTGTCTATTGATTCGTTCATTTTTTGAACATTCGCTCATACACTTGTGTGACATTGATTTTTCTTGTTGTTTGAAAAATACAAGTATCGTCGTGAACCTGGTGGTTTCCTGATTTCCGCCTTCTTGCGTCAGGACTATTAATTACTCGACCAGTACATAACAATATCTATTCATAATACTGATCATATCCAGTGTAGACTTCCTCACAAACTAACACATCAGCTAAACAATCAACACCATCTGTGTCATCTGTAGGTAAAACGATAATTTACCCTCGTGCCGAGTTGTGATGTACCAGCTGATGCTAAACTAACACAAAATATCCTTCATCCCACAACACTACGTCATAGGCAGTTGGTGGTTACCTCCCCACGTTTTCCATCTAGTCTGAGGGCTGGCAAACAGTCACCGGTACACGGGCTTCCACAATGATATTCGTAGAAAATATACAAGCCTCTGAAGCCGATATATCTAGATAACGTCACTCAATGAATGATGATCTCCGTGTTGTGTCAAAACACAAGCTGCCGGAATTACTTACACGATGATCGAATATGCAGAGTTGCCGCATATCCTCAGCTCGAAGAGGCCGCGTTTCACAGGCGTAGAACAAGACAGAGAGCGCCGAAGTACTGATGTAAACCAGACATTTGACAGTTGATCTAATGTCACAACGGCGCCAGACACGACACAAATCGGCATAATGCCACCCTACCTTTCCTTATACTATACGGTTAGAAATCCCGTCCGTTACACCTCAGTCAGCACTCACACAACTACCTAGATATTCAGGAACTTATCGAAAACTTCAAGCGGTTCACGTGCAAGGATGAGTGCAGGTACAGGCTGCTGCCAATCGTGTAACAACGCACACCATACTTACAGAGGCTGACCACCTAGTTGTACTAGTCAGTCCTACTCCCAAAAAATAACAGTGAATGTTAGGCGGCGGGACCAGACACCCTACACCAGAAAACCAATCAGATAATGATGAAAACAAAATAGGCAATGCAATAAAGAATTTAAACTTACTGATAATATTTTCAATAGTTCATGCACATCTGATGTTGGTCGAATTGTACTCGTGAATAATTTCATAGTTAAATGTGATAAATAGTAATATGAAGCTAATCGACCGAGTGGTGTTGATACTAACATTTGTTCACTAATTGCATCTTTATGTAAACATGAAGATTCAGCCAAATGTTGGCATGCTGATGTAATGATACCTGATAGAAAGGTATTCACTGATTGCGGTTCACAATCCTCTAAACCATAATAACTGAAATAAGAAAGTATACATGTATAGAATTAATACATGAATGAATAGGAATAATAATAACAATAAAATGACTGGACAGCCGTTTCGTCCTGGTTAACGACTCTTCAGAAGAACGTATCCATCAAAGGGGGGTTCGAACCCAGGACGTTCCAGTTACAAAGAGAGCTCTTGGACCATATTCTAGCCAGACCTGGTAAGACCCGGTAGTCACGACTTCGTCCTTTAATTAGCGTCATCAGTGAACATCCAAGAGTAGATCAAAGATTGAAAACCAGTAGCGAGTACTAGACAGGTGTTTCGTCCTTTTTCGGGACTTTTCATCAACACGCGAGCTAGCGACACCACCAAGCATCCAACACAAAACCTACAGATCACAAATCAAACTTATATATTATTCAACCAGTGGAACCATTGAAACAGGCATTACTATTTACTGAAATTACGCAATCCATTGGAAAGAATCGACCTACCAGCTGTGATTCATTAGCTAAAGAACTCAACTTACAGCCCGTGGATGCCAGAGTTCAGTTTAGCTGAAATTATTCAGGTCTCACAGAATAATTATGAGTCAGACAGTCTGCTACACGAGATATCTTGATTGGACACTAGTAACCAGTGTGACGTGTCTAGTCCTTTCTTTGGTACAGACGGAATTCTCACATCAGTCAGGTTTGCAATGTAGCCACTATTCTAGGTAGCTCGCCATCAGAAGGGGCATAATTTCCTTCAAAGTTGCAGATACGCCTTGCTGAAGAGTGTCAACTAACATGAAACCTAGGTTCAAGGCTTCCTGCCAATCACCTCCAACTATCTAATATCCTCAAATCAATGTGCACCGTGATGGCGAGCTACATAGAATGGTGGGCATATTACAAACCTGACTGATGTGAGAATTCAGTCTGCACCAAAGAAAGGAGTAGACACATCACACTAGTTACAAGTGTCTAATGAAAATATCCACTACAGTCTTACAGGAGGTTAATCGCGAGCCAGCCCGAATAGCTCAGTGGTAACGTCTCTGACAGCAGGTGGCACTGGGTGACGCGGGTTCAAATCTCAGAAGGGAAATGAGTTCCTTCAAGAATGCTTGATAGGCCTTGCCAATGAGTGCCAACTAGCACGACGCCTAGGTCCGAGGCTTCACGTGGCCGATTGCCTCCAACTATCTAATAACATGAGATATCTATTCCGCATAACGCAGTTAACACAGCGTCCAAATGATGCGCTTATCTTATATACATCTTAGTGACATATATGAAGATAAATAATTATTATTAAAACACAAATTTGAGACATTGTGGGCACCAAGAGATATTTTTTTCTTCCTTCAAGTTCCCAGTGGAACATAGGGCTTCAAGCTAAAGGCTTGAAGTTTCAGTAGCAGTGTTTATTTTTTACAAGATGGGATGGCTAGCCTCTTTACCAGCTTTTATTTCTGGCTTAGCGAGGAAAAGGAGTGCGTCCACTGGTCGGGCATCGAACCCCGGACCATGTGCATAGTAGGCGAGAGTCCTAACCACACTGCACCAAGAGATACGCCACACAAAATTTTATTGTTCCACAGGTGTGATAGTACCCGAACAACCAGAACGTAGTAGCAGAGCCCATACCCTGAGCCTCATCTATAAGGCAGTGGAGCAGAGTCAAGAGCTACGTTCCCATGGTTTCCACTTTAAAACAGAAACAAGTTCATACGTCATTCAATCTCTTCAGGGTTTCTCCAGCTCCCATAGGTACACCAGTAAGCATACTCACCAGTCCGTTTGTAAGCGCCAGATGTGAAATTTTTCCACAAACACTACCACATAATACATCATTCAAAGAAAATGAAATGACTTCATCATTAGCAGACATTGGTTAAAGAACCATTGGGGAACCAACAGGGAGTACTGGACAACTGTTTCGTCCTAGTTTTGGACTCTACTTCATCAGTACGCAACCACCTGGGTTCGAAACCAGGACCTTCCGGTTACAAGGCGAGCTCGTATACCATTAAGCCGCTGGGAGCCTATCCAATGGCCTCGGTGGGTGCGTACTTCTGAGGAGTCCCAAACTAGGACGAAACAGTGGTCCAGTACTCCCTGGTTGGTTTTCCAATGATTCTCTATCCAATGTCAGCTCATGATGAAATCCTGCAACCAATCAATCAAATCCCTATAAACCAACACTTGAAAATGAAATGAAGTTATTGAATTCACAAAATAACAACACCTACCATGGATTTGAATAGAGACGTCGAAAAAAGAATGTCCATGTTAAATAATCCAATGCTTCTTGCATAGTTGTTACTGTACCGGCAACAATTTCAGCATTTAAATGATCCGGCAGTACATGAATTAAATAACTCTCAACAGGGAATGGTTCATACAAAAATCTTTTATAAAATGTTTTCTTTGAATTCTGTACCATAATTACAGCTTTACCTTGGTCGTCGAATTGTGGACGTCCAGCACGTCCCATCATCTGTAGAACATCTATTGGTATAAATAATAAAATGTAAAATTTAATAAAGAACTATCACTTCTACCAACTGGAGATTTTAGCACGAATACCAACCGATATCGTCGGCGACAATTCTTCCTCTAGTGGGCTACACTGATCACTACTTCTCACTAGAACTCCCGGCAACGTCAATCTTGTAGGCAGTCACTGGTGAGCACTAAAATTTATGAGACATTGTATTCCGACTCAATGGGCGTGACTTATAACCGGGGGATCCTGGACTCGAACCGTGGAGGGCGCGAATCGATGAAGAGTCCTATACTTGGACGAAGCATCTGTGTCAAGTACTCCCTGATGGTTCTTCCTCTCTCTCTCTCTCAATCGGCAATCAAACGTGAGCAAAGGTGTCAGCAAGGAGTGATGACACAGCAGTGTTAGAACGCTTATATAGAGGAGAGAGAGGTCATCTGAAGTGATGACGACAAACAGCGGTGTCCACGTCAGAGATGTTCACTGTCCCCCCACCCATTTTTGTTCAATTTATTTCATTATGTATGTACTTACTAATGGAAATGACCCCAAACTAACTTTAGCGACTCAGAGGGTGGCTTGTTACCACCAGGGAAAAGTCTTGTGCCCTTAGAGTATGTGGATGCTATTTTCCTCTTAGGTGAATTGGTTGATAAAGTTCAGAGAATCTTCTCAACACTAAGAGCAAAGATCTCCAAATGTGTTTGGCATGCGATTTTCTCCTAATAAATACAAGATGATCCCTGCAGGACTGAAGTGCACTGACTCCTAGCTTAAAGATTTTGGGAGTGAAATGGTAGAGGAAGTGTTGACCATTCCACTTTATTTATTTACGCGCATAAAAACTTGGTACAATATGGCACCAAGAAGGATGCGCCACACAATAATAATAAAACATCATAGATCAAAAGAAAAAAAAGAAAGAAGAGTATATATATATATAAAGTAGAGAACGGATAAAGAACTTCATCTGGAAGGAAAACAGTCATGCTTAACAAGTTCAAACAGTATTCGTTAACTGTCATCGGGAAGGGAAGAAATAAGGAAACTGCAACACGTGTAATAGCACGCGATAAGTTTCATTGATTGTTTGTTGCTTTATTCAATTCATTGTGTGAGGGCTGAGATAGTGCCCGGGCGCCCAGACCGAAGCAGGTGGTTATATTAAGGGACCACCCCCGAGCCTTTGACTTGGAGTTTAATCCGGAAGGCAGCGGAGCAGCGTCAGGAGCTGCATTCCCATGGTTTTCGGTGACCCATATGGGTTCATACGCCATTTGATCCGATCGGATACTGGAGATGATGTACCACGTGGTAACTGCTTTTAGTTTAACCGCTATCCAAACAACCTTCGTGACATGGTAGGACCTGCAGGGATAGAGTCCCAGTCAGTTTAGCATGTTGGGTCATTACGGTATTCAAGCCCGACCACCACGACAAGGTAGCAGTTATCGGCCGGCCACTCCACTTATTTGAGTAGGTGGATCAACCGCGATTAACTCATTGTTGACAAAAACTCAAACGCAGAAACAATAAACTAACCAGGTAACTGAAACATATAGTATATTAAAGACAGACAAATAACCGAACAACTATAACTTCCATGGTAAGTTAGTTGAAAGAGTGGATAGCATTACAAATAGACACTTGGAAACTAGAAACTACTGGATATGTATTTCCTCCTTGTTTGCGACTCTTCATCAGTACGCACCCACAACTCGAATCCAAGATCTTCAGGTTACAATGTCAAACTTGTACATCAATCAACCACTGGGGCGGAATCCAATGACTGACTTATCAATTCTAACCTCTGCAAATTCGGGTTTTATGGAGAAACCGCTGGCCAATGTCATCAGTATGAGTACCTACCCGTCCTCACGCCAAACTTAGTAGAGCCCACTGATCTCAATAAAACATTTCAATTTTGACTACGAATTGTCCTCATTAGTTAAAGAAGCATTGGAAACCAGAAGGTATTTCATTCTATTTGGGATTCATCATCCGCACGAAATGCACATTTTGGATTCTACCGCTGGTCACCAGTAACCGAATAATCAGCGTGTTAGTCTTCAGACATCTAAGAGTCTGTACTAGGAGTTGATGTGTCACAAGAGACTGAACATTTTGGTCCTACACACACACACACACGCATAATAATAATAAAACCAAGTTGAAAACAATGAAACCTCACAAATGATTACTTACCAGTTATTGGATAATCTACATATGTCTTTGTTTTGCCATCATAATATTCAGTACCTTTGACAATAACTAAATGCGCTGGAAAATTTACACCCCAAGCTAATGTTGAAGTGGCGATTAATATCTTTTGTGATGTAAGAACGAACAAAAATAATACAGTTAGAGATTTGAAGAAGTATAGATAAAGTCTATTCAACACTAACTCTAATATATAGATTATCTGTAGACAAAAAACTGTTTGAAGAAAACGTGCAGACTTTCATCAATAGCTGCATCTCCATGCTGAAACTCAGTCTGTGGTGAGAGCTGTCTCCTAGCCAAAATTGGTAGACAGCAATTTACGTCAATATGTTTACGTCCCAAATCGGGGGCATGAGAGAAAAAACAAGAATAAAGCCTAACCTTGAGGAAATCAACAACCAATCACAGTAGACTTTGCGTGGGTGGATACGAATCGCAAATATATATATGATCGGACTTTCTAAGAAACGCCCAAAAACAGATGACAGAATAACCTTCAGCAGGAAAACAACCAATCAGAAGACGTCACCTCTCTGCTAACAATAACGCTAATAATAATGTATATAAAAATGTATAAATATCTGTTAATATTCCCAATAAACGATCTGTTGCCTGGCTAGCCTTGTCTTCTGTCGTTACACAGACATGCGGAAGGAAATTGGGATTGGTTGGACACACGCATTCGGGAGACCACTGAGTGACGTCATACACCAGGTACCCAACTGAGAAATGACGACTTGAGTGTGAGACCCAAGGATGACATAGAGAAGATCATGTGAAGAGAAAATCAAAGTCTATTAAACGATTATGGAGGTATCTAAAAATAAAGCCTACAGAGAACAAAGAGGAATAGAGATGTGTACTGCTGAAGCCATATATATTCCACTCGGAACCATAGGGAATAATAATGCGAGGGAGAAAGAATAGTAACATGGGGAACATGAAGGTTTAATGACAACGATTTTGAACCACATCACCACCAGTCTGCAGTCACTTGTTCTTAGAATCCCAAGAACCAACCATTCTTCCAATCTAATCCTATGTCCGTTAACACTGTTTCTATTGAGGAAGATGTGGTGCCTTGTCAGGCGCAACACACGTTCTAGCTATCTCAACCGATTTGCCTTCATGAAACCATCAATTGAATTACCTGACTGACTAACTGGTCTCAACGTAGAACTTTGCACAGATGTACAGCAGTTCAAGTCGCCACACTTCCCTTAGAACACAAAGCAGAGACAGAAATAAAAATAAATGCAAAACAAAAAGATTAAACTTAACTATGAGGAAAAAAGAATAGTAATATGGATGAACCATATATATTTATTGGATATATGTCACAAAGAGTGGATTTATCTGCGCCATTGACAACGATTTTGAGTCAGCCATTGATATTTGACGTTCAGAGGACCCCATACAGGAAGTCCACAGCGCCCTCACTACGTGACTAACTGACGAAGCCATGTTCCAGTTTGACAACCACTAACTAACTCTTTTCCGACCTGATCCATTCTATGTAAGCAAGCATTGCCCGTTTGTCGAGGAAGGCACTGGCTAGGCCACACGAAACACATGTCCTACCCATTTCAGTTGGGGAAACTTCACAGCCTCGTCGATTGATTTCTCTTCCTTACCTAGCAGTCGACTGATGTCTAAGCGGAATACTGCTCACCCTATTATACCATTTTACACACACACAGGTGACAGAACGCAAGCACCTATGATCAAAGACAGCCAGCCAGACAGCCTTTTCATGCATTCCACTTTTAATGACCATGTCTGACTCAAAGCCAGCCATAAAGGAGCATAGAGCGTACTGCTTAGCGGTACACACGTCTTTTGCTCGACAGACAGCCAGATATCACGTCTACTAGGCCAGAGACGGTGTAAACTGGCATATGCGAAACTAGCCCTCCGTGTCTGTGCTGAGATTTCGTCAGTGATCGATCTGTTGAGGTTGATGGAACTTCTCAAAGCGCTTTACCACCTCACTCCCTATTTCTAAGCTAGGAGCCAATGTAGTCCAATCATATAACAGCAGCGAATCGCATGTCAAACATTCGCAGATTGCAAGACGACAAAACAAACTGTTAAGCAGCCACAATACCCCTGTACAATACACTAAAAAGAAAACATAATGAAATGTTAAAAGCTTCCTATTTTCTCTTTTATAACATTTTTGAAGACAAATTCTTCAGAAAACTGACTACCTTACTTGAATTTTTTGATTTGCAAATAATTCTTCAACTAATGAACGATCTTTATTCTGCAGACCAGCATGATGTAATCCAATCCCAAAGGTTAAAGTTAATCGGAGATTTGCTTCTTGTATATTTTCACAAATTAATTCCATCTAAATGTAAAAGAGAAAGGTCAAAGGGAAACAGTCAGAAATAAACTTCCTGTTGTTTTGTAGAGATCTGTCATTATGGTTCACGAGGTCACATGAGTTGGAAGCCAGCAGTTTCCGGTTACAAATCCAAGCGCATAGACGACTTCGTAATGAGAAGTATACGTATGTATATCGCGAAATGGCGGAAGTTGGAATTCATGGGACATTAGGTCAAGTCCTTTTGGCTGAATGGTCTACTAGCTTTCCCTGTCACCAGTAGGTCCTGTGTGTTCAAACCCTGGTGGGTGTATATACTGGAGAGACCACAAACATTGTACACCCCAACATACCCTAAAGTGGTCCGTAACCGGCGGTGAATTACTAATACAGAACTAATCCAAGAAATCAGTTCATACAGGCCGTGTGTGACTACTGGTCAGCCTCAAGCAGTTATCCCCTGGGCTCTGCGGTCACGCAACACTAACCCTCTTTCTGTTTCAGGTACACGGAGATTCAACTGAATTCCAAGGTGTTGGCAGCTGGGAGGTGACAATCACCCACACACTTCCAAAAGCACACAAAGCCCTCCTGAGCAGCATTCTCATTTTACCCACATCACCCCCATCATCTTACTTCCCTACTACAGTCAGTACAGATACGATGATTATGAAAAGCAATAAATTACTGTACTCAAAACGTTGTCATCAGTAAATGTTAAGTCGTCGACGAAAATAATCTAGACATGGGTATTGTGATTCACCAATAAAGCGATGCGCTTTCAATGTCCAGTTCAAGTTTAACAACACACTCTATAGAAAGAGAGATGGAGTGGCAATGGGGTCGCCATTGGGTCCTTTACTTGCAGAAAAAGTTTGTCCAGTCTCTTATGCTACCATGGTCTTAACATCACCATTAACCGCTTCCTATGAATTTTTTAAAATATTTTTAATGATTACTTTGCTTTTTCACATAGGATGATCAACTGTCTACCTTTTTGCATCCAGTCTCAGGGTTGGCTAGCGAACAGCAACATTCACAACACATGTCCACAAACCACCGAAGGTGAAGGCACAAGATGACCGGTAAGCACCAACATCTCCAAATAATACAGATTCCCAGACCTTAGAATTCCACGGGGATAGCGACGACAGCCGCATATCGTTGTATATTGGAGAGGTAAGGTTTCCAAGGCGTCAAAGAATAAAGACAGTGCCTTTTCCCTGTAGTCTTAAACTAAGAGGAGCCCAAAAGAGGCTATAGAATTAATCTGGTAAACATGTCACACGGATAAACAATAGATCAAAAGAGGTTGCAAAACTTACCTCTTCTGGTTTCATGTGTAGCCAACATTTAGAATCTTCAGAGGCGGCAACAAAGCTGACTAAATCCAGCGCAGTTAGCCTAGTCTGACGACGACTTGATACAAATATTAGTACAGGTTTTGTCGGTGAATGACTGCGAATAGCTGTTTGGTTAGAAATAAAGGCAAAATATATAAAACAATGGTGAATATGAAAATGAGATTAGTTATGCAATTTACAAGGAGCTAGAATATACCTTCATATCCATTGTGATTGCACAGGATTCGCATTTTCAGTCCTTCTATACAGGTCAGAAACTTGGCCAGCGTGTAACTAAAAAGGATTTCCTGCTAGGCAACTGCAGACTTTTATCAACAGCTGTCACCCTCACTGGCTGGCTGCATACTGAGGATCAAATGGCTAAAAAGAATTTGTAACAGCCAATATTTGAATATCAATGAAATGTTCACTAGCGACTGACCCTATTCAGGTAGGTAGTTACCTGGGTTCTAATGGGAAATCGTGACCAGTAGGGTCCAGCAAGTCAGGTGTGAGGATAAATACTCACCGCTACGGATGACATTGACTAGCGGTAGCACTATGCCGTGAACCGGCAGAAATTAGAATTCATGGACTGATCGCTGAATCAGGTTCCAGGGGCTTAATGGTCTACCAGCTCGCCTTGTAAGCAAAAGGTCTTGGGTTCAAAACCCGGTGGATGCGGACCGACTACCAACTCGTCACGTCTTATTCGGGTTCCACTCGAGCGATGGCCAGTCAGGAAATGTCATTCGATGGTCTCCTCAACTTATCCCTGATCAGTCCATCTCCATTTCTTTCTGCATATTTGTTTGAGTGATCGGCTCTTAGTGGAAGTGAAGTGGTTGCAAAAGAAGTTGCTGACGAAATCTCAGAACGCATACCAAAGGCTCAAAAGTGAAATTTGCCAACTTACGTCTATTCTGGCGTAGACGCAGTATCCGGTTATTATTCAAAGGAGGTGTGCGTACTGTTCAGCACTTCGTTCGTCTTGCATTACGACTCTAAAACATGACCATTCAAAATGGAAGACCTGAAGAGATTGGCTGTCTTTGACCATAGAGGTTAAGTGGTATAATATCGTGAGTAATATTGAGATTAGGCGTCGGTCGACTGCTAGGATAGGAGGGGAAGTCAATCAATGATTTAGTTGTGAAGCTAAGTAGATTCAGACGGCTGAGAGCTGTGTTATGCATTCCAAGATATCACCTACCTCGACAGGGGATGTTAACGCTGACACAGGATCGGTGAGGTAGGAAAAGAGCTAATGGTGGTCAATTCAAAAACATGGAATGATTTCATGAAATCTTAAATAGTTATTTTGAACTTGATATGTAGGGAGGTGCAGACTTCCTAACTGACTGGTTGGGGTCCTCGAGATGATAAAAACCAATGATGGCTGGAGACAATGGGTGATACGTCCCAAAATTGTTCTCATTGGCACAGATGTACTCATATTCATTAAACCTTAATGTTTTTCCATATTAATCATATTCTTACTCCTTCAATTTCCTGCTCATATTCTGGTAAAAAGAAAAAGGCACAAATAGCGAAGAAAATTTTCCCTTTTAGACGATTCATTTTCATAAGCTGCTGTACAATAATCGTAATTATATTAAATAAAGAAGTCTTTAGACCAATCAGATACTGGTAAACTTTGTCCTTGCAAAATTGTATTACATAATGTAAGGTGTTAGAAGAGATGACTAATTGTAAGTTAGAAAAGAGACAGAAGTTGGCATGACGTAATAAGTTTGAGATAATGACTAATCAATAAGGTGGTGTAGAATGGACAGGAACTAGTGGAAAGGCAATAGTGTTTTTATATAAAATCTGTATGAAAAGCAATGTTGTTGGTAAACAGTAATAGAGTGGTTATAAAGTGTGGATGATAGGAAAAATAGTGATAATAAAAGTATTAAGAACAATAATAATAATAGTGAACTTACATAATAAGGTAAAGAAGCAATATTTTAGTAAGAACTTTACTCTGGCCATGGTAGGGCAAGAGAATGTATGTATCACTTTTGAATGCAGAGATCCGGTGTCAGGTCTCGAATAGCTAATGCTTCAGCTATGTACAGATGGCGTATCCGAAGTCCCTTTGTACGATGATATTGAGGGACTCTGTGTATCACTGTGAAGCATTCATGCATGTAGAGGTGCTCGATGTCCGGAGATGGCAAGGTGTTTGAGGATACAGCTGGTGCTATTCTTCTTTTCTCCTCTGGCTAACCCAGCTGGACAGTGTTCCAGAAGACGTTTGTTGACTCGACGTTGCGTACAGCCGATATACTTTGCTCCACACGAGCAATTAAATTGATCAATACACACTGAAGTGGTCAGAAGCGATATCTTGTCCTTAGAGTTAGACTGGATTAACTGTCTGTAGGAAAATGTGATACGTAAGGTGGCTGTTAGAAAAGCGGTTTCTGAGAATTTCCGCTGCGATATCACCTTTGAATTCTAAGTTCGTTCATGAAGAGAGTCTTCTTAGGAACCGCTGCGATGTCTGACACCAGAGGCTTCTCCTTCATGTTTTTGTCGATAAATCTTGGTGGATACCCGTGTTCTCTAGTAGGGTTTCACGTAATAAATTTTATTCTTTCTTTACCACGTCTCCCGAACACAATGCATATACCAGGTTTCGGTTTCGGATCAGTGGGACAAAGCTCTGGAAGTTGATAAACTGTCCAGTCCATGTTGGCTTACGATATATCGATCTTTGGATCGTATAGTCATGTCTTCTGGTGAGAAGTACATCGAGGAATGGAAATGCGTTGTTCTGGTCCTTTTAAATCCCTGTTTGTCTGTTTCTTTTTTCTCTGCCTTTGTGCGATTCATGGAGTGTGACAACTTGAAGTGTTAGTGCACACTTCTGTGCAACAAAGTTCCATATCCTAACTCAGTCAGTCAGTTAGTTAGTTACTTAACAAAACACAAAAATAAGAGCACATGAAATATTTTACTACTCACCTTGATATATCGGTCGATTCATTGTAGCCATACGTGGACAATAATGTCTCCCAGGATAGCCTTGAATATGAACCTCCAATGGGACTGGTCTAACTGACGGTCGAAAGTTGAATAAACCTCTACCCGTCAGGCCATAGCTAACACCTGATATCGAGGCTACTTCTGAGATAGACGTCATTGTAGATGGTATATGCAACCAAGCCGCCAGATCGGGGGCATTCGCTAAAGCAGTGGATAAACCAATTATTCTAACAGACTGGCCAAGTTGATTTGCGATGTAATTGGCTCGTGAAACAAGAACCTGAAAGAAAATATAAATATAAGTACATATTAGAGGGAATATCTTAAAATGTACAGCTATATACTACTGATTAACTGAGACGAGTAGTTGTGTACTATTCATTCACAGCAAGCAGTAGTGCTTGTCAGCGTCTTCACGCAGAAGGTAGACTACATCATCTGCATATTCTCAGTCAACGAGACCATTATTCCCTGATGGTAACAAGTCAATCCCCGAGTCTCTGAACTCACTTAGGATTAATTCCATAATTACATCTATGATGAATTGAATAGAAATGAGGATAGTGGGCATCCCTCGCTGATGGACACCACTAGTCATCACCACTTCAGAGGACAACTCGCCGTAAGCTCTCATCTGGCTGACAGCATGAGTTCGAGGAGAGTGCTTTGATCCGTGCAACGTATTTTCTCGGAATTCCTTCTACATTTCCAGAGTGTACCTCTCGGTCGACAGAATCGAATGCCTCCTTTAGATCAAGAAATATAACGATTGTTGGACACCTATAAGTATGCCTATATTCTAGAATCTGTCGAAGGGTGAAGATATGATCGATACACCCTGTTTCTGATCTACAGCCGATCTGGTTCTCTCGTGTTTGCGCCAACCGGGCAACACTTAGTCTACGCATTATTATTGAGCCTAGGATGTTAGATACTATATTAGTCAAGCTAATCCCTCTATGATTATCTGTCTGTCTGTCTCTGTCTGTTTTCGACATAGAACTTTGCACAAATGTGCGGAAGTTCAAGTCGCCACATTCCGTGTAGCACACGAAGCAACAGAAGAAAGTACAAGAAAAGCATAATAGAAACAGTGAGCAGAGGTGTGAGACAAAGCAGGAGTAATAAGGAAATACAAAACAGTTTCATTGAAGATCATAAGTCACAGGGAGTGGATGCATCTGCGCTAGCCACTGAGAACGATTTCGAGCCATGTCACCAATTGTTTCCAACCATAGATTTTTACCGTCCCGAGGACCCCAACCAGGAAGCCAGTCTACACCTTCCTACGTGGCTTAGACCAACTGTTGTGGATATCATTGACTGGTAAGGCCAAGTTTTTGTTTGGCCGCCGCTAGCTTTTTTCCAGCCTGACCCTATATCCGCTAACATTGCTCGTCGAGGGAGGCGATGGCTTGGCATACATAACACATGTCCTAACCATCTCAGTCTTTGTAGCTTCACGACTTCGTCGATTGATTTCCCCTGTTTACCTAGAACTCGTCGCCTAACCTCCATGTTGCTCACCTTATTATGCCAGTTTACATGGGAAATAGAGCGCAGGCACCTATGATCAAAGACAGCTAGTCTTTTCATGTCTTCCACTCTCAGTGACCAGGTCTCACAGCCATCCATAAAGGAGGACGGAGCGGACTGATGAGCAGTACACCCGCCCTTTGGTCGATAGTCGAACATCTCGTCTACGCCAGAGTCGGCGTAAACTAACAAATGCGAAACGAGCCCTTTGTATTCGTGCTGAGATTTCGTCAGAGATCAACCCGTTGGGGCTGATGGTACTTCCCAAATAAGTGAAGCGGTCAACGTGCTCTACCACTTCACTTCCTATTTTTAAATTAGGCGTCGATGTAGTCCAGTCCTGTAACATCATCTTGCATTTGGCACGAGCGAATCGCATGCCAAACATTCGTAGATTGCGGCTCAAGGTGTTTAGAAGACTCTGCATTTCGTCAGCGTCTTCGCCTAGAAGGACTATATCGTCTGCATATTCCAAGTCAACGAGATTATTCCCCGGTAGCAAGTCAATTCCTGAGTCACTGAAGTCACCTAGGGTTAAGTCCATTAACACATCTATGATGAAGTTGAATAGAAAAGGAGATAGTGGGCATCCTTGACGGACACCACTGGTCGTCATCAGTTCAGATGACAGCTCGCCGTAAGCTTATCTCTTTGTATCCTGGAATAATCAATGACTCACAGCAGTCCGACGGAACTATGTCGGACTCCCAGACATTGTTTAATATCTTAACCAACCCAGAAAGCGAATTTTCACCACTGTTCATAAACATCTCTAGAGTCATTCTATGAGGTCCTGTTACATTGACACGTTTCAAAAAAAAGAGCGACATCATCAAATACAAAAAAGATGGAAAAGATACACTTACTTCAAGAACAGGACCACGTTCTTCACCAAGTAAGTGAATTTCATCGATAACAATTAAAGCGACTTGACGAACATATGATCTATGCTGCCATGAACGTGATATACCATCCCATTTCTCTGGTGTAGTAACAATTAAATCAGAACGTAATAGATGCTGGATGTCAGGTGTTACATCACCAGTTAATTCAACAACCCTATGTGAGCAAAATCACAGGATGGAATTAGGCAGAAAGGAGGAAATGCATGGCTGTATTGAAATGTGCAAATAAAGTCGAACAAATTAAACTAAAATACGTCAATGAACCGCTTACATTTTAATCGATGATTCACAACGTTACCTACTTGGACAATTAGTAGATTGGAAGTATTGGGTTTGTAGCGACTTTTGTTTGATTGGATGGAGGATTTCATCATTTAGTGGGAAGCCGTGACCAGTAGGGTCATGAATTAGCAGAAGTTGGAATTTATGGACTGGTCACTGAGTAGGGTCTCAGTGGCTTAATGGTCTACGAGCTCACTAGACTTGTAACCAGAAGTTCCTCGGGTTCAAACCCCAGTGGATGCGTATTCTCTGTCTGTCTGTCTGTTTTCGACATAGAACTTTGCACAAATGTGCGGAAGTTCAAGTCGCCACACTCCGTGTAGCACGCGATATAGAGAGGTTTCGCGTGCGTTTTGGATTGTGAGGGCGATTGTTACTTCCCGGCTGCCCACACCGTGGAAGTTGGTTGCGTGACCGCAGAGCCCAGGGGACAACTGCTTGAGGCCGGTCACACGCGGCCTGTTTTTGTTCGTTCTCTTTTGTTTGGTGTGCCTCAGTAGCATACTTATCACTCCTGCCCTGTGACACGGCAGCAGGAAGCGCGGTCGTTGTTAATCTGGGCCACGGCCGATCCGGCATGAAATTTTGTGAATTTGTTTGAATCATGGTATTGAATGGGGTAGCTGCTTTTTGTTTAACCGCTATCCAAACAACCTGCCTGGCATGGTAGAACCTCAAGAGACATAAGTCTCAGCCAGTATAGCTTGAGTAGATCATTGCGGTGTTCAAGCCCGACCACCACGTCAAGGTAGCAGCTTTCGGTCAGGGGATGCGTATTGCTTAATCAGAGTCCCAAACTAGGACTAAACAGCTGTCCAGTACTCCCAGGTTTTCCAGTGGTCCTCTAACTGATGTCACCACTTGATGGAATCCTTCATCCAAACAGCTTAATCGCTAAAAATATGTCGTAATCTTGAGTACTAAAGTCACAGTTCTTTAGATTTGTCTTAAAATAGTATTTTTATGCGGCAGATTGTACCTGCAATCACCCTTTTTGGAGAACTACTTCAAGCTGTCAACACCTAATTAGGTTTTTCTATGAGTATTGGTGGAGGTGTGACGGATGAGATTTCTGAAGTGGCATACGCCGATTTAGGCTAATTCTGGCACCATCACGACGTTGTCAGCCTCGTTGTTAAAGGTCGGACTTACAATAATTTGGTGTGCGAATACTTGTTCTACGCCTATGAAACCCAACCACCTCTCGTAGCTGAGGATGTATAGGACCTCTGAGTATTCAACCATTGTTGTTTCTGCAAAATTGCTTGTGTTTAATGGTATCATTGTGTGGGTAATTCTGAGGCCCAGCAGTGTGAGTCTGGACACAGTGGAGTTCGATACGTGCTACGAATCTCACACCAGAGGCTTCCGTATTAGACTGTTCGCTAGTCCTGAGAATAGATGAATTAAACAGAGAGGTAGCCATCTTATGGTGTTGTGCGACGGGATGAAGGATACTTGTGTTAAGTTAGTATCTGTCGGTACACCATGACTCCCTGGTTGGGGTCCGGAAGGTTGTTGAAGTCGGTGACTCGAAAGTTTGTAACATACGATAAAAAGTAGCAACCAGTGTTGAACATGCTGAAATTCCCTTCTTTCTTCCCCCCTCCATTCTGAAAGCGACATGAAGGGATGACTGTTGAATGATCTTGACAGGTATGAGCTGGTTAGTTTAATTGCGAAACTTTCGTCGTCCTTATGGACAACATATTCAGAGCACGTTTTAGCACAAAATGAACTGATTTCTATGTCAGCAGTCAATCTTCCCATCTCATCTTACATCGCATTTTCGGTGGTATCGTATATTATTAGATGATAAGACGCGATCCGCCACACGAAGCCCTCCTTTATCTAGATTTCGTGCTAGTTGGCACTAACCAGTCAGCAAGGCCTATCTGAAACCTTGAAGGAACTCATGTCCCACTCCTCTGAGGTTCAAACCCCCGTTACCCAGTGCCGTCTGCAGTCAGAGACGTTACCACTGAGCTATTCAGGTTCGCGACTGACCTCTTTTAGGACTGTATTAGATATCTGCAATGTGGCTACCATTCTAAGTAGCTTGCCATCACGATACCGTTGTTGATAATATTGGTTAGAACAACAGGCTCGAGAATCACCTAGGTAGGAAATTGATTAGTGCAACTATAAGTGTATTAAGGATCATATCAAATTTATAGACACCTGTCATAGAATAATGGTCAGTTGACAAATTTCAGCAGTTTTAAGTACTATCCTATTCGAACACCTGCTACTGGGACAGTCGGCGAATGCATACTCCTGATGCTGTTACTTAGAAAAAGTTTAGTCTTCTAAGAATAATCCCAGAGGAAAATGCATTATAGACAAGAATATACAATTAGAACCTATAAATCCTAAATTCAAAGGTGACTTAGCCACCGACATCCCCAAAAACGGAGGATCTAATAATAGTCCCTGAAAAAGACATTCGCTGAATTGCCGTTGAAAATAGGGATCTTCATTTGACCATTACTGTTCAATAACCTGAAGGGGAAGATCCGGCAGTCAACGAAATTTAAGCGTGTGTTCACCAGTTCACCTATTCGTGTGGAGCTATGTATATCGGTTGTTCGACACATATTCTGTCCAAAATGCCTCGAGAACACTATCCTGAGTGGATATATGACGAGGTGGAATTGCGGCTATAAACAGTGCAATAATTGAACATATGATAATCGATATTGACTACTTTATCTCTACAACCTCTTCCTTTAAAGTTAGTATATGAGGGGAAAAATAATGTGCCGAAATCATTAGGCATCCGACTCATTTGTATTGCTTAAGTTACAGCCATCAAAACAGAAAAGACACTACGATAATCCCCATTGCTACACTGGCCTTATTTATTTTTCGTTCTGTGATAATCAACATCGCGACCACTAGACAATATCATCGATGAGTATTCCTTCTCACTCCCGACCGGGTGTATCCCACAGGTCACAAATTCTCACTCTGACCTCTAGCCCACTTCATCTTGTAGTCAATCAAAAGATAGTATCAGATTAATTTTCAAGAGTTAGTGGATAGCGATCTGATTTGTTGCAAGTTTGATCACGGATTGATATGAGTTAGAACACTGAACAGTTGTCTTGTCCTAATTCCGGACTCATCGACAGAACCCACTCAACCACTGAGGTTCTAAATCAAGCCTTTCAGGTTACAATGCAAGCTCGTAAACTACTTATAGATTCCATCTATTTCGTCATTAAATCTTTTGTCACACTGAAAGTGTTCCCTACACTACATACTTTCACATAAAATAATTACACTAAAACACTCTAGAAATACGCTTACCGTTTCTTCAACTTTTGACCAATTCGAATACTCCAATCTTCAATACGTTCACGGACAAGTGCTTTCAATGGGGCGATATACACACACTATAGTAGGAAATGAGACAAGGTGACATACTAAGGAATATTTTATGATAAATACCATGATATTATTGGATAATAGTAATAGTGTAACGACCTAAAACAAGGGTCAGGCAACAGATATTCATAGATTTTTATGTACATTACTACTCATTATTCTTATCATAGAAGCAACGTCTTCTGATTGGTTGTTTTCCTCCTGAAGGTTATTATGTCTTAGACAGTCCGTTGATATGTCTGCCAATCGTATCCTCCCACGCTAAGTCTCCTGTGACTGGTTGTTGAGTTCCTCAAGGTTAGGCTTTGTTCTTCATTTTTCTCGTGACCCCGATTTGGGACGTTAACATTGACGTAAATTGTAGACTACAATTTTGTCTTGGAGACAGCTCTCACCGCAGTAGTGCTTCAAAAATTAGACTTCTTTTCAGCGACTTTATCATACATGTGTAACAACAGTAGACAAGGGCCAAGGAACAGATCATTTATTAGGAAAATCAACACATATTTATAGATTTTCATGTACATTATTATAGCTTATTCAAGCAAACAAATAAAGTCTTCTGATTGGTTGTTTCTCACAGAAAGTTAACCTTGCATCTCTTTGTGACTGTTTTTTGAATCTCAGATCATCTATATGTTAACTGTATCCGCCTACGCAAAGTCTTTGTTCTCATTTTTCTCACGACCAATACTGGGAACATAAACATTAATGTAAATTACTGTCCACCAATTTCGACTAACAGCCAGCTCTCACCACACATGTTGAACCAGTTGTATTTATATTACAAAGAAAAAAGACATTATTCTCTAAGTGTTGATTTGCAAGGATTTTATTGATTTCGAGTTTGATTACGAATGGAGCTATTGAAAACGAGGAGCATTGGAAGAGCTGATTCCTCCTAGTTTGTAGCTCTTATACAGTACACACCCATCAGAGGTCGGACCCAGGACTTTAAGGTTACAGGGTAGGCTTGTCGAACATTCAGCCATTAGAACAAAATAAAGTGGTTCATCAACTCCAGGTTTTGCCAGCTAATAGCACACCCAGTTACTTTGTGGACCTTCCGCTACTTACGATTTCTCACCAGAACTCCCAAGCAGCTTCATCCTGTAGTCAGTTAGTCACACACTACTGAATTCTGTCTCAGTAGCTGAATGGTCACCGGTTTGATGTGGTTACATAAAGGTGTTGGGTTTGGCGCCTCATTCGACTGCTATATACGAAAATGTCGCAAATGTCAAGTGATCCACAACGAAAACCTCCAGGATGCCTTCCAAGTGAAGACAGAAGTAATATAAGACTGCTGCCTATTGTCACCGACAATATTCCTGATTATGGTAGACTGAATCAATCGGCGGAACATGAGAAGAGAGAGAGAGAGAGAAAGGGATAAAACAGGAATACGTTTGGCTGACAACACAACAAGACTACAGAACATTTGGGCTTCGTGGACGTCTCATGCATAATGTCACAAAAACTCAATGTGCAGGCTGAAACCAAACAAGTCGGCAGAAGAAGCAGGCAGTAAAGACAGGAAACTTTTGAGTGAATCCAGTATAAATGTTCCCTAGTGAAATGTTAGTTTTCAAAGGCCCAAAAATATGTAAGATCGACACATTGATGGATGAGATTCGACATATATACATTCAGTTTTATTAGCTAATGGTTGTCAAGAAAACTTTATCAATTGTCACAGTAAGCATAAACCACATCTAGACAAAACAGCTTGTGTGCCAAAGAAAGCTATCTTTATTAACCTACCTATGATTCAAGGGTGACCACATTATGCAGGTGACAGCTAGCTCAAAGACACTTCGATCAGCCATCAAACGCACATTCTACGCCGTAACTCTTTCCCTCACATTTTCGATCCCTGTACCTACGATTAAAGGACGAAATTCTGTTGACTCTACTTCAAACTGTATGTACAAGTCCACCTGCAGTTGTTGCGGTGACACCTATTTAGATAGAACCAACAGAATGTTCCATTGTGGTCATCGAAAAGAACATATTTCAATAAGGTTATTAAGACACTAGAAAATTTCAGTGCAGTTAATCTGAATAGAAATCCATCACCAGCATCCATTGCAAAACACTTATTAATGTCAGGTCACAAAATCAATATCAATTAATGACTGTTTCACAATTATTTCATCAGATAGCTCTAATTCAACGTTACTAAAGGTGATGGAAGCAGTTTGGATTAATCATCACATAAATCCGAAACTATGTTTACAGTAAGCAACAGACTTCAATCTTCGCCTACCATGGACTGACTACTTGACCTACTTAAATATGATTGGTCATTAGTATGTACTTTTGTTTTATATAAATGAGTAATTGACATGCATTTTGTTTTATCATATTATAGTGAACCATGTTAGTTATAAAGCGATTGTAAAGAAACTACGAAATGACGATATCGTCTCGCAAAATTTGTCTTCTAAATGCCCTTTATACGAATATACAGAAAACAAAAGTGATCAAAACATTCAACAAAAATAACTACTACTACTACAAGCACTAGTTATTATTAACAGGAAGCATTTGAACGAGGTTACTTTTTTCCCTTAACTTCGCACCATCCTTTCAACTATAGACACGTGGCATGAAAGAGGATGTAAAAACCAGGAGCAGAAATGACAAGACAAACACGTTCATCTCCCTGAAATCGGTTAGGAAATATCCTGAACTCACAGCATAAAGAACAAAATATTCGAATTTTCCACAATAATGTCAAGTAAATTCTTCTGCATGGGTCAGAAACTTGATGCGTCACCGCCGAATAGAGAACGACGAGTTAGGAGTCCAAGGGTGACATGGACTGTGAAAGGAACGTCGAGAAAATATATGGAACTGATCAAGACACTCTCCTCTAACTCAAGCTGTCAGCTAGATGATAGCTTAAGGCAAGTTGTCATCTGAACTGGTGACAACTAGTGGTGTCCGTCAGAGAGGAATGCCCACTATCCTCATTTCTATTCAATTTCATCATAGATGTAATAATGGAATTAATCCTAAGTGACTTCAGAGACTCAAGGATTGACTTGCTACCAGGGAATAATCTCCTTTACTTAGAATATGCAGATGATATAGTCCTTCTAGGCGAGGATGCTGAAAAAATGTAGAGTCTTCTGAACACGTACGGAATGCGATTGGCTCCCGTCAAACGTAAGATGATGATGCTACAGGACTAGATTACATTGACTTCTAGTTTAAAAATAGAGGGGAGTGGAGTGGCTGAAGGAGCGTGGTCACCACTTCACTTATTTTTGGAATTTGCATGAGCAAGCACCAACAGGTTGATTGCTGACGAAATGTCAGAATCGATAGAGAAGGCTAGTTTCTCATAAGCCAGTTTACGCCGTCTCTGGCATAGACGTGATATCCAGCTGGCTATCGACCAAACAAGCGTGTATACTGTTCAACAGTCAGCTCCGTTCTCCTTTATGGCTAGCTGTCTTTGATCATATGTATCTGCGTTCTGTCACTTGTGTATGTTAAGTAACAAGACAGGCAATACTGATGTAAGGCATAAGTCGAGGACTGGGTAAGGAGAGGAGGCTGTCATGTTACATCGACTGAGATGGTTAGGACATGTGTTACGCATGTCTAGCCTAGCCATCGCTTTCCTCGACAATGGGCAATATTAGCTGACTAACATGGGATGGATGAGGTTGGAAAAGAGTTAGCTAGTGGTAGTCAAACCAAAACATGGCTTCATCAGTCAATGAAATCCACAACAGTTAGTTTAAGCCACCCGCGTAGGAAGGTGTAGACTTCCTGACTGGTTGGGGTCCTTGGGACGGTAAACACCAATGGCGGCTGGAGACAGTTGATGGTGTGGCTGGCTCAAAATCTCTCTCGATGACTGGCTGGCGCAGATAGATCCACTGCTTGTAACTTATACTACCCAATGAAACTAAATTGTTCTTCGATATTACTATTCTGTTTGCCTCATATTTCTGTTTACTGTCTCTGTTTTGCATTTACTTTTACTTTCTTCTATTGCAACTCTACGCATCATCATCGAACAAAGCACGGAATGGCAATAAAACCTCTCTGTACCTCAACTTTATAGACTTTGAGAAGGCCTTCGACAGACAGGGTTGACCGCGAAGTAATTTGGAAACTACTCGAGTACTACGCCATACTCCAAATATTCATCAACCTTATTCAACAGCTGTACGATAACGGAAAACTCAGCGAGGCGTTAGCGGCAAACACAGGAGTCAGACAAGGGTGCTTATTATCACCAATGATATTCCTAATTGTGGTGGACTGGATTATGCGTCAGACAGTGGGAAACGAGAATACAGGGATATCTTGGACCGACGTGAAGAACCTAGAAGACCTGTATTTCGCGCGTGGATGATTTATGTTTGATGTCACTTTTCCAGGGAGCATTGTCTCAACTACACGCAGTCGGAACGGACGAGGATGTCAAATCGAGAATCGGGAAGACGAGAAACACATTCATCAACCAACCTGAAACCAATCTCGAAATCTTCGTCACTCAGCCTGCATCAACAACACAATTTAGTCGGATTTTCAATACAAACGTCACGTCAGTTCTTCTATACGGATCAGAAACTTGGCGGGCGGATCACAAAGAATATTTCCAACAGCCTGTTGCAGACCTTTATCAAAAACTGTCTTCGCTCTATACCGAAGATCAGATGGCCCAGCGGGGCCGGAAAGAATCGCTAACAAGAAACTATGGCTGGGAACAAACAAACAAAACAAGAAACAATCGCCCAACACAAATATGCAGGAGAAAGTGGAGATGACACATTTGACACTCGCTGAGGAGGCCGCCAATAGGTGACATCGCGCGCGAGTCATGCCATTGCTCGAGTGGAACCAGGCCTAAAGGGAAGCGGTGAGTGGGACGTCAGTGTAAGGGTGACATGGAGGTGATCGTGTGAAGAGGAGTTAAAACAGTATGGACTAACATGGATGTAGGTGAAAAGTACATCAGAAGACAGAAGCAAGTGGAGACGTGCAGTTGAAGCTGTATGTTGGCACTAGGAATCCAAGGGAACAATAATAATAATAATAATTGCTTAGTGTACCGAGTGAAGTGTGGCGACACGAGCTGTTAGATATCAGTGCAAAGGTCTAAGTTGGAACCATTCAGTCTGTCAAGGGTGACACGGAGGGAATTACGTGAAGAGGACGAAGAGATGAGAGAGTAAAGCTGACGGGCAATTATGAAGCTAGGAAAAGACGACTACCGAGAACAGGAAGAGAAGCCATGCAATGCACACTGTGTGTTGAAGCCTTAAGTTCCATACACACACACACACTCTCCATAATCAATACTGTGCATTAACATAAATATCGAGAAAAGAAAGTAAGACAAACCCTACACAAAACACACAACTAACCTTCTGTTTAGGTGATTCATTGAAAACACGAAAGATGGCTAGTTCTGCAGCTACAGTTTTCCCAGATCCTGTTGGTGCACCCAACAACACATTAACATTTTGATGATACAGTGTATGAAATAGTTGGGTTTGAATTGGATTAAAGTGAGTAAAATTGTATAATAATTCATAATTGGAATTTTTCAATGCTGTAATAGGCAAAGGCTGTAATCGAAGGAGATCTGTAAGAATATGATAAAAAAAAGAAGAATAACCGTGAGTAATATTCGCTCTTAGAATATAATAATATGTTGACTGAAAGAAGATTTTTTGTTCCTCTCACATTACTTGAGTTCCAAGTGGAAATATAGAACTTCAAGATACCACAGACTCAGAGGCGGTGTTTTCGTCGTTTTCAAGGAGGTGAAGTTGTTAGCCTTGATATAAGAATAAAACTTGTGCACTGTGGTGGTAGAGTGCAATTCTATTATGGGTAAATTATGTTTTGATAAAGTCTCACAGTGTTTGTTATACAGTAATGTTTACTGATGACCAAGTTTCGGGTACAATTTATTACTCCTCATAATCATATCAAGGTAATCACACGACCTCCTAACTTCATTTATATAGTTCCATTATTTTTCACTTGATTTTCGCTTGATTTGCACACCAGTGTGTACAAAAAAACCAACACATTCTAATAGATACTAATAGATGCTTTAATTCACCTCATCTCTTAACTGTTAAGGCAGGCTTAGTTAAGTGTTTAACAAACCGAGCAGTAGCACTAAGTAGCACAAGAAAAGACCTAAATGATGAACTAAAACAGATAGAAGAGGCGTTGGTGTTAAATAACTATCCTTTATAATTCATTAAGAAGATCGAAATAGGCCAAAAGAATAAGAAAAATAATTGTGAAACTAGTAATAAAAGCATAAATAAGAGAGAATATAAGTCATCTACAGTTATACCATATAAAGAGGTGACATCTGAGACCCTACGTAGGATTCTTAATAAAGCCGGAATTAGAGTGGCATTTAAACCTACAAACTCACTCAGGTAGGACAAACTGTGTGGGTTAAAGGACCCAGTTGACCCAATTAGACAAAATAATATAATTTATAGAATGCCTTGTGATGACTGTGAGGTCAACTACATAGGTCAAACTAGTAGGCCACGAGTAGTCAGATTGTCGGAACATAAGAATTTAGCTAAGGTAAAAATGGTTAACCTCGAGAAGATAAGTAATTTAGAAAAAAGCTCAGCAGTTGCACTGCATGTATTAACACACAACCACACAATGGCATGGTGGGAGAGGGTTAAAATTCTAAGAAGTAATATAGGCAGGTGGAGAGTGAGATTGATTACTGAATCCTGGTTCTTCGAGTCTACACCCAACACATGCAATAGGAATGATTCAACACTCATACCCGAAATATGTTCCCTATGTTCCACTAGGAACCTAAGGAAACAATAATAATGGAAAGCTCTACTGCCAATCAAATCAAGCGAAAATCGAGTGAAAAATAATGGAACTATATAAATGAAGTTAAGAAGTCGTGTGAGTAACTTGATATGATTAGGAGCAGTAATAAATTGTACCCGAAACTTGGTCACCAATAAACATTACTGTATAACAAACACTGTGAGACTTTATCAAAACAAAAATTTACCCATAACGGAGGTTGCTAGCCACCTAGACATACGTCCAACCTTGCCCTTTACTCGGATTATTATTATTATTATGATTTCTCAGCTTCCCTAGGCGGACATGCATGTCCAGTGGTTAGGTGTTACGTGCCAGATGTATGTGTTCGCCTCTTTCACTTCTGTGAGAAACATTCCTTCCGCCGCGTGAGGGATATGAATAACAGTTACCTAGAAGAGGCCATGAATGCTTGGTCGCTTGATAGCATTTCGAAAAGATGATCGGAATCTAGCAACCACAGACCATACCACGTTGTTCATACTCTCATCCTTCCAAGTCGTTTTAATATGTAAAAATAACAATAATAATAACGCACACCTAGTAACATATACATATACATATAGGCCTACCTGTATGCGGTGGATCACTGCTAGGCAGAATAAGACGTTTAAATGACACTGGACATGTAGAATCAGCACCAAGCCAACAATCACTGAGAACACGTACAAAATATTGATTTGGATATGGTTCATACAATGGAATAGTAAAATTTAGCACTTGAGGTGTTTTTGTACTGTACTATGTCGTATACCAAAAGAGGAAGAACAAAAGGAATATGGATGATTGAATAAACAATAAAATAATTGTAAGTAATAGAACTATACTACTGATTAATCACACTAAGTAATATATAATTGGTGAATCCCAAAAGTTTGAACAGACGTGAAAGTGTAAAGTTAGCTGGCGCATGACAAGTCCTAATTAGTTACAGGATTTCATTATGAGCTGACACTGATCAGGGAAACACTGGAAAACCTAGGAGTACTGAACAGATATTTCATCCAAGTTTTGGGAATCTTCAACAGTACGCACCCACAGGGGTCCGCACACAGGACCTTCTGGTCACAAGGCGAGCTTGTAGACCATTAATCCACTAGAACCCGAAACAATGACCCATGAATTCCGGTTTTTTTTCCAATTCAAAACATAGCACGATGACAAACCGATGTTTTCTGCGAGTACCTGTTGTCACGCCCGACTTGTTGTACCCTACCGGTCCCAAACTAGGACGTAACAGCTGTCCAGTACTCTCTGAAGATTCTTCAATCGATCTCTAACTGATATCAGCTCATGATGAAATCTTGTAACCAATCAGTCAAGTCCCTGCAAACCAATACTTGAAGTCCCGATTAATAAATAAATAAAAATGGATATGTATCACTGATGAACCATACTTGATCAAAATTCCCGACTGTCTATATTTTCTTATGGAGGGGCTAATAAATAATTTGCAATTGTTTCCCCATATACAAATGAACACACACCATTGTATACCGCATATATATATATATATAAACCCAAAAAAGCCTTGATTAAGTTCCTAAATCAGGTTAGGGTCTAAAACAGTGCCTAAAGTATCCAAAAATCAAGTCTGTTTGACCAACTGACTAGAATTTCAACTTTGTACAAAACTGCAGGCGGAGTTCAATTCACCACCACGCAAAAGTAGAATAAACATTCAAAAGGGAAACGTGCAGCAGACAAAAATATACTGACATGGGGAAACTTTATGTGAATGAATTGACGCCTATTCCATTGACAATGATTTTGAGTCATAATCACAAACAGTATTAGGTTGTCGAACCTCAGCATCTTTGTAATCCCCCCGCCCCATGACAAGTAGTCTACACCTATCTACGTGGTTAGTTCAGAATAACAGTCACAGACGCTATGGATGAATGCCATGCATTGATTTTTTTCCTTCACGTTCCCCAGTGGAACATACGGCTTCAAGCTAGAGGCTTGAAGTTTCTGTAGCAGTGGTGATGATTTTTACAGGATGGGGTTGCTAGTCTCATGCCCAACCTTTCCTCTTTACCAGCATTATTTCTGGTTTAGCGAGGTAAAGGAGTGCGTCTGTGGCCAAGGATCTAACCCCGGACCATGTGCATGGTCGGCAGGCGTCCAAACCGCTATGCCACCGACGCCATGCATTGATTTGGCCGCAGTTAACTCTTTTCCAACCTACTCTTATGTCAGCTAACATCACTCGACAAAGAAGACGCTAGCAATCTCAATGAATGCAGCATTTATACGATTACGTGACATATGTGTTCAGAAAGGGGCAGTTACTAGTCTTTCCTTACCCTGGCAACATACTGGATATCTGTAATATTTCTTTTTCTTTTGATTATGTAATCTCTGGCTTTCATCTCGCCCCCCCACCTCCTTGGATATACTACAACTTTGCTTGTCTCTTGTTTCTATGCTTTGAGTTGAACTCACCATATCAATACTCAACTTCATTAGTTACTTATCATCTTATGCACCTGTTGTCCTTATTGCGCAACTCTGTTGCCATGGTATCCTGGCATTTATTGATTTGTGAGAAGTGTTTATTGATATTAGATGGTTGGAGGCAATCGGCCACAGGAAGACTTGGACCTAGGCTTCGTACTATTTGGCACTTATCAGTAAGGCGTAACTGCAAACTTGAAGGAATTCATGTCCCACTCCCTGAGATTCGAACCCGCATCAGCCAGTGCTGCCTGCAGTCAGAAACGTTACCACCGAGCTATTCAGGGTCGCGATTGACCTCCAGTGGGACTGTATTGGACATTTTTGATTGGATACTAGTCAGTAACTAGTGTAATGTGTTTGGTCCTATCTTTGATGCAGACTGAATTCTATCAGTTAAGCTTGCAATATGGCTACCATGCCACTAGATGGCTCGCCATTACAGTGCATTGTGAATTGTCGGTATTAGATGGTTGGAGGTAATCGATAGGAAGCCACCTAGTGGCTTGTTGGCCGCATTACAAGCTTGATTGATAGAACTCAGTCTGCACCGGAAATAGGACTAGACGCATGACACTGGTTACTGACGACTGTTCAATCAAAATAACGTTTGTCGAGTTTGGAGTCTTCCGTAATTATTTGACATTATGTAACATTTGCACATTGGTTAAAATTCGACTATAAACAAACTGAATTGATTTCTTTAGGGTGTACACAGCAGAGATGAGAAGCCAACGAAATAATCAACGATGTTACCGCTTTATTCTGCCACAAACCACCGTTTTACTTGCTTCATTCAAAAGCACTGTACACACAAGGGTAGTGGGTTAGAGTCTGAGTGGAGCACTATATCATTCACCCGAAATGCATGCTCATGAAGAGCTGATGAGTTCCAGAGTAGGATGATGATATGTAAATCATGGAATCCACCTAACACAAGGCACCAGTAACCAGACAGATTGCTTTTTCACTGTGAATATGGACTTACAAAGCTCCTCATCACGTAATATGCTTTTGTTGTAAAGTTTTAAATGAACAGATGAAAAATTTCAACCTTACCATACGTTTATTTAATGTCCAATATTCTGAGTGAAATATTACACCTTGATCAGGATCTTCAATCCATACCCAATAGGATTGTTGTAAACCGTGTATATGATTTGACCATGTGAAATCAGGTTGAAGAGTTAACTTTACACGAAGTATTGTACGCGTGATTGGTTGTGATTCAACATCTAATTGAATTCTAGGCAAATATGAAGCTAATCGACTAATCTCTCGTGCACCTTCTTTCCCTTGATAGTGAAATAAGAAAGCTGAAACGAAGAAAAAGACATCGAGAGAAAGTGAGTAGAATGTAGGACTCATGTGGGAAATACTAACGACAGAAGACAAGGCCAGCCAAGCAACAGATTGTTTATTGAAAAAATCAACAGATATTTATGGATTTTTATGTACATTATTGTCAGTGGAGAAGAAACGTCTTCTGAATGGTTCTTTTCTTGCTGAAGGATATTCTGTACTGCTTGTGATTGTTTCTTAGAAAGTTAAGCCATGTATCTGTGAATTGTATTTGCACATGGTAAGTCTGCTGTGATTGATTGGTGAGCTCCTCAAGGTTAAGCTTTGTTATTGTTTTTTTTTCGTGATCTCGACTTGGGACGTAATATTGAGGCAAATTGCTGTCTACAATTTTCGGCCTGCAGCTAGCCCTCAATACACTACAACTAAAGTGATAATCTATTGTCATTGACATGCAACTCGACAGCTTGCAAATATGTCTGCACATTCTACTGTGGGGGTGGGGTGGGGTGCAGATTGATAGGAAGCAGCCAAAAAAAGTGAAATCAACACTTATATGAGTGAGTCAATGGCTGACTGCACAGAGGCACAAAGCGTTTATTCCTCAAATCTGGATTTCGTTTAATTTGTAACGACAGAAGGCAAGAGTCAGGCAACAGATCGTTTATTAAGGAAATCAACACATATTTATAGATTTTTATGTACATTATTATAGATTATTGTTGGCAGAAAAACACAGTCCTCTGATTGGTTGTTTCTCACAGAAAGTTCAGCATGCATCTCTTTGTGACCGTTTCTAGAATGTCAGGTCATCTCTATGTTAACTGTATTTGCCTACGCAAAGTCTACTGTGATTGGTTGTTGAATTAGTTTTCGTTCATATTTTCCCACGACTAATATTGGGGACATAAACATTGACGTAAATAATTGTCTACCAATTTGGCTAGCAGCCAGCTGTAACCACAAATTGACGTTCGTGGACATGGAATAACCTTATCAATTAGAGTTGTTTAACTCTGGAGCCAGTTGCACACCAAACAATCAGAAGAATGTATTCTCCTGTGACCTAGCCGAATTTTACTGCAGTTAGGAATACATAGGATATTTTTCCTCAATAAAGCCTGTATACTACTAATACCACGTTAGAAGGGTTGTTTGGATAGAGGTTAGACTAAAGGGTGGTTTACTCTCATTGTGTATAACTTGTTGACACTATGTTAGGAGTCTGAAGGGGTGAAGTCATAGTGTGGTGAGAGCTGGCTGCTAACCGAATTGGTAGACAGTATTTTACGTCAATGTTTACGTCCCCAATATTGGTCGTGAGAAAATATGAACGAAGACTAATTCAACAACCAATCACAGTAGACTTTGCGTAGGCAAATAAAGTTAACATATAGATAATCTGACATTCAAGAAACAACCACAAAGAGATGCAAGGTTAACTTTCTGTAAGAAAAAACTAATCAGAATACTGTGTTTCTTTGCTTAAATAATCTATAATAATTTACATGAAAATATATACATATGTGATGATTTCCTTAATAAAGGATCTCTTGCCTGGCCCTTGTCTTCCGTTGTTACAATAGAACACTACTGGTGAATACGGAGGGAACATAGGTAAAGCGTTTCAATGGAACGAATGACTAATTATTACGCCTTCGCTCTGCAGTCGGAGTGAAGTTTAGCAAAAGTCGATCCATAAAAATACATCCTGTCTTATCTTGTGTCTGTTCGATGCCAGATAAGAGATCCTAATACCGATGCGACTGTAAAATATGATTGTAACAGAAAAATCCTTTGGAAAATCCCTAGTGGATGATCAAATCACACAATATTTATTTGGATGTTTCAATTAACTTTGTAATTATTATCCGCTTTTCTCGTAGACTGCACTATCATTATGTCGTACATTGAGAGTTTATCGGAGGATTTAATCGAAAATGTGTACCACTTTATCGAATGTATGCAAAAAATATTGTAATCAAAAGTGATGATGAAGCGCCTTGTTCTTCCACTTCAATTTCAAATCGAATGAATGAAGTTCATTCAGAATAACATATCACTTACACCTAACTGTAGAAGAGGAAGATAATTGTTTATCTTTCCTAGGCATATTGCTTAGTCGACGGCTGGATGGATCGATAAAACGATCTATTTACAGAAAATCAACCTGGACAGGACAGCATCTTAAATATCACAGTTTATGCCCTGTTCAGTACAAAAGAGACTTAGTGAGCGAGGTGCCTCTTTAGTAGAATCCAACGAATATGCACTCAAGACAAACTTGATGAAGAATAAAGTAAGTTAACACAAATTCTAGTTGATAACAATTATCCAGACAAGTCCATTAGGAGATATAAAGTAGTCAGTGGAACACCAAGACCCAATCTCCAACTCGCCCCTAAGAAAGACGTGTACATCAAGCTATCCTATATGGGACATCAAAGCAGTTTGATAACTAGACAAAGACTGAACGCTGCTGTTATAAAGACTTTTTCTGCAGCTAATATCATAATAATAGAGAAGCATGTAAAGCCATTATATCTATCTAAGCCCTTTCAAACATGCGAAGAATGACGTCACATCCCACTGTATTTACCAATTTGAATGTACGAGTGAACACACATACATAGGGAGGACTCATCGATCTCAGCGACTGAAGGCTGTCTACAGAGTGCATTTCTGAGTAGCTTCAGAAGCAAATAGGATCCCTAAAACACATTAAATAATGGTGAGAACACACAACCTAGTTCCTCTATCACGAAACATATAACGAAGGAGAAAGGACACAAAATTGATGTTTACACGCGTCTTTGAAACCTGTCTATAGAACATGCTTCGAGGAGGACATATCTTCAAGTTTGTGGAAGCCCTATATAGCAGTCTGGAATTTTAAACCACCTATATGCCAGGGCAGATGTACTATCACCTCTCTTACTTGGTTTAGTGGTCTTCATTGTTATTTGGATCTTGAATATGGCGGCCTTTTAACTTGACCTAAGTAGTCTATTTTCTCACCTCTTAACTCTTTATTAATTTCATACATATGTAGATTCCTATGACAAGTACATGGAGTGTGATCAGATTGTTCGAAATGTGTGTTGCGCAAATACAACATTACACAACTCAGACAAATTACGTCTTCTTATTGCTTTGTCTAAATTCATAAAGGGAACTAAATGTTTTCAAGAAATGCAATTATAAAGCTGTAAAAATTGAAAATAACTTCGTCAAAAATAACCTCTTCGTTTTCATCAATAATGTCCGCATGAAGATTATTCATGAAGTATATACTTAAACACACACACACACATAATCCAGAAATTTCGAATAAAATAGACTAAAACGTTACCTAATTCATTGACATCAATTTCACGTATTCGATCAATTGACAGGTGAAGTTCTTCAACACGTTGAATTAACCGCTGTTTCCCATTTTCTACAAATTGCCATAATGGACTTTGTCCATCCCACAGTCGTTGTTCAAACATCTAAGATGGGAAAAATAGGATAGGAAAGAGAGAAAGAAAAATTGATAGGCGTAACTTCAGGCAATATAGCTTTGAAGTTTCGTTTCCTCTAGAGATTCGATTAATTTCCCAGTAGAGAGTATCTAGCTCCATATCCAATCCTCACACACTTGTTTACGACTTAAGACAAGACTCTGTGTGTGGGTATGTGGAAATCTACTAATCTCAATACAATGAAAGAAAATTCAAACTTTCAACACTGATGTCAAGTCAATGAGTCAATTAGACACTGCTTTTATATGATCCAGAAACTTGGCGTGTACGTCACCAAAAAACATTTCCAACAGGATATTATTATTATTATTATTGTTTCTAGAGGAACATATGGCTTCAGCCTCATGTCTCCATTGAGTTCGGTCATGCGCTAACGTTTTCACCTGGCTTCACATTTACCCACATGCTTTCATCTCCTCTTCCCAGCATGACCTCCTCCATGTCACCCCACCCTCGTAGTGGCGACCAACTCGCTGCATCTAATTTGGCTTCCACTCGAGCGATGATCTGGCGTGTGATGTCACTCACTTGGGTTGGTTCGCTCCCGGAGATCCCTGTTTTTGATCTTTTTTTCTGGCTGGCCATCTGATCTAAAGTAGTATTCAGCGAAGACAGTTGTGGATAAGAATCTGCAATTTGTTCGAATTCCCCTCATGGCACGGCGCGAAGTCTCTGATCCATGTAGTAAGTAGCACTGACTGGATTTCACATTGGAGTTGGAACTCCGGATCTTATTTTTCATGATGAGTGCTATTGACTTCCACACAGACTTGAGAGTAATCAAAGCTTGCCTTGATTTCTTGATCCTCACTTTGATACCCTCAGCAGTTCCGTACACCTGTAGTTGAAACGATGCTGCCCAGGCATGTGGGTAGGTAAAGGAGGCTGTTTCCTTCAGGTTCCTCCCATTTATGCTGATTGTTGTCTGTTGTTGTTGGCCAGGAATCTTCATCATCACATCTATTTTCTTTATGTTCACCTGAAGACCAATCTTCTCTGGATGCTTCTTCTGCCAACTGGTTGCTCTTCACTTCAAAAATAAAATAAAAAATAAAAAAATATCTTCCAGTTTGTGGGAAATCAGACATATATGTATATATATCACATCGGCGAAGTCCAGATCCTCCAAGTTTTCTGTGTTGGTCCATTGTATGCATATCTCCTTGTTGCCCGCCGCTATCTGTTGCATTATTCAGTCTACCACAATCATTGGAGATAGTAGGCGGCCAGCTTGTTTTACTCCCGCCTTCTCTTCGAAGGATTCCATGACTTTCCCGTTGTGGATTACCTGACATGGAGCATTATCGTACAACTGTTGGATGAGGTGTATAATTATTTGCCTCACCCCATAGTAGCGAATTAGTTTCTAAATCACTTCTCGATTGACGCTTCGCTATCGAAGGCCTTTTCAACATCGATGGAGTTAAGATAAAGAGCTGACTGCTATTCCAAGCTGTGTTCAATGATGACATGTAGTGTTGAGATTTGATCGATACATGATTTGTTTCGCCTGAATCCAGAGTGTTCCAACAGGATAATACGAACATTTCATCGGTACTTGTCGCCTTTATTATGTCAATCCTGAAGATAAGATAACCAGGTCTAGGAAGAATAACAAACAATAGAACTCTGGCAAACAGTGAACCAGCCAACTATCCTACAACCCAAGAAATATGTTTTCCAAGTTATCTCACACAAAATGCTTCTGTGCTACGTCTTCCTCATATAATCACAGTTCTCAGATATTCAAAATTCTTGCCGAAAACGTGCCACACTTGCGCACACACACACACACACAAAATACTACTAACAAAATCTTGTCAGTAGTATCCAATAAAGTAAAACAATAAAGACAAGGGCATGTAGGACTGAATTAAATCATTCCAAAGTATCCGTGAGACCTAAGGTGAAAATCATAGAAGAAAAAATTTGCACTTTGCGAACGATCTATGCCTAGTATGGGTAAAAGTTCGAAGATCTACTACCACAGGGGAAAACCAACAAGTTGAGAGAGGAGAGAAGACAACGCTGATGAACATGCCCAACAACCAACTACCACCACCATAAGCACCAACCCCTATATCAATGGAAGAAATTTCAAGGCCATCACTTCTTTCGCTTACCAAATGCAAAGTCGATTTCTTTCAACTACAGGCGATACACATGGGAATATCGAAGGCAGCTAAGGTGAGAAAAACAAGACAAACTATCATTATGCTGAAATCAGTGTGGAAATCGTATATACTCAGCATAGCGAACAAAATTTGTAATTTCAACACTAATGTCAAGTTAGTCAGTGTGTTTCTGACTAGCGCTCAAACACTTAGTGTGTGCAACTAAAAGCATTACCAACAACTATCATCTTCTCTGACTCAATATCAATGATCAAATGGCCAATTACTGTATATACTGGCAAATCTTCTACCTCACTTCCAAAAGCCGGTGTTCCTCAAAGTGTCGTCCTCTCTCCTTTCTCCCTACACGGCCTGCCTCATTCATACGAAACTAACTTTGTCAAATATGCGGATGATCTGACTGTATTAGTCATTGCCTATCACTTCTAAGTCTGACAACTCCAAACTTAACAGCCTTCTGTTGGACATCAACAAGTGGTCTAAGTCACATAGTCTTATGTTAAATCTTTCTAAATGTCAGGCAGTTAACTTCACTTTCAAGCATCGACGTGACATACATGAACTAGTTAGTTCGCATGATGCCTGTAGCATAGATGGTACTGAAATTGAAAAACCAAGTCAAGCATTAAATACCTTGGATTAGTTCTTTCCTCTGACCTTTTATGGTCATCTTACATCGTATCAATCTCTAAGAAAATGTTTCGTCTTACCTTTTATATTCAAAAAGTTAAAACAATCAGGTATCAACCAACCTTTACTTCTGAAGTTTGTAAACTCTTGTATTTTACCTCCATTATTCTTTACTGGGCTTCTCAAAAAAGACTATATCATATTACGGAGGGTGTTAAATGCTGTGAATAGGGTTTGTGGCTTGCCACTGCGTAAGCTCGCCAATACTATAGTTGAGAGGCATATAAATTCCTGTACAAAATGGACAAAGGCTGTACTGTCAGACCCTCTACACCCTCTTTATTCACAATTATCCCCTTGTATCTCATCAGGTAGGACGAGAAGTCGATATAAGAAGTTATATGCTCGTACCACTAAGTACAGAAATTCTACAATACCCTATTTAGCCCGTACTTTATGTGATGAAGACTCTGTTAGACGTGAAACACATAAGTTACTATGTAATTAGCACAGTAAATCGACCCTTTCATCGTTCATCTTTCTGTATTTTATGGTGTCACACTTTCTGTCGTTTAATTGTTACTCTGCTATTTTATTTTAGTTGGTATTACTATTATTACTACAATTCTATACTTTATGCATATTTTTCACCGTATTGCATACAGTACTTTGCTATGTAGCTGCTGTAACAATCGTTTTATTATTATTATGTAATGTGTATTTTTAATTTTTTCTTTGTCGTTTTTGAGTAAATTAGATGCAATATTGTACTGAATGCTGAAAATTCCTTGCTGTATCATTAGTACCGTTTTTGGAATAAAGCAAAAATTATTATTATTATTATTATTATTAGCGGCACGGTATTGTACAGTGCTACGAACCAACCAAAAAGCCTTCCACATAAAATATGTGCCGAAGAAATTGGAGACGGAATTCAATAAACACACTTTGAGAAATCCTCGAGTGATAACTGAATGCGGAACGACAAGTTGGGCATGAGAGTTCGAGAGCGACATGAAATAGGGAGTGAAGTGGTAGAGCACGTTGACTGCTTCACTTATTCGGGAAGTACCACCAGCCATCGCCAACGGGTTGATCTCTGACGAAATCTCAGTACGGATACAGAGGGCTAGTTTTGCATAAGTGCGTCGGTGGTATAGCGGTTAGGACGCTCGCCGACCATGCATATGGTCCGGGGGCACGATCCCCGGCCGGCGCACTCCTTTACCTCACTAAGCCAGAAATAATGCTGGTAAAGAGGAAAGGTTGGGCATGAAGCTAGCAACCCCATCCTGTAAAAATTAAACACTGCTACAGAAACTTCAAGCCACTAGCTTGGAGCCCTATGTTCCACTGGGAACGTGAAGGAAAAATTATTTATTTATTATTAGTTTTGCATAAACCAGTTTACGCCGTCTCTGGCGCAGACGTGATATCCGGCTGTCCGTCTACCAAGGGGCGGCTGTACTGCTCGTCAGTCCGCCTCGTCCTCCTTTATGGCTGTGAGACCTAGCCATTGAGAGTGGAAGACATGGAAAGGCTAGCTAGCTGTCGGTGACCGTAGGTGTCTGCATTCTATCTCAAGTGTGAAATGGTACAATAGTGTGAGCAATATTGGGGTGAGGGAAAGGAAATCAATCGATGAGGCTGTGAAATTACATCGACTGAGACGGTTAGGACATGTGTTACGTATGTCTAGTCATCACCTTCCTCGACAACGGGCAATGTTAGCTGACATAGGGTCAGGCTAGAAAAGAGCTAGCGGCGATCAAACCAAAACATGGCACCAGTCAATGAAATCCACAACAGATAGTTTAAGCCACGTAGGAAGGTGCAGACTTCCTGAATGTTTGGGATCCTCAGGACGGTAAAAACCAATGGAGGCTGGAGATAATTGGTGATATCGCTGGCTCAAAATCTTTCCCAATGGCTGGCTGGCGCAGATGCATCCAATCTTTGTCACTTATGATTTCCAATGAAACTGTTTTGTTCTTCGTTAATACTATTTCTTTTGCCTCATATCTCTGTTTACTGTCTCTATTATGCATTACTTCTACTTGCTTATCTTGCTTTGTGTGCTTCAAGGAGGGAGTGTGGCGACTTGAATTGCTGCACATCGGTGCAAAGTTCTATGTTGAAAACAGACATATTTCATTCGGAACCCAAGGAAGTAATAATAACAATAATAATAGTAATACGCTGAAGGTGAAAAGAATGACTATGCGATCAATAAACAAAAAAAGGCCACTTACTTTAGCTAATGTCAGTGTAATACTAGCACATTGTGACCAACCTTGACGCAATGAAATTTCAAACAAATATCTAACTAGTCGACCGGCGTTTTGTTGAACAAAATTCATATCAGACATTAGTGAATGACAGCTGGGCATATGTCGACTAATATAACCTTGTAGCAGGACATTGACTTTAGCTACAACATCTGTATCAACTGTACCAGCCTGTTGAATGGGTAGATGACAGACATTATTTTTGATATCAACAAGCTCTGTGCCTTCTTCTTCACGAACCTAAATATAGACGGAAAAAAAATATATATATATATGAGATAATGGATAGTACAAACGGTTCCAATTCGATTCTAATAATACTAATATACATATATATATAACCTCGCCTGGCTTCGACATATTCAGTTTAATTAGCTAGTAGTTATCCAGAAAACTTTATCAACTGTCACAGCAAGGAGAGACCACATGCTGAAAAGACAGCTACTGTACCAAAAAAAGTTATCTTTATAACCTACCTACCAATCAAGGGGGACCAGATTATACAGTTGACAGCTAGTTCAAAGTCTTCAATCAGCCGTCAAACGCACATTCTACGCCGCATCTCTTTCCCTCACATGCAAAACACCTAAAGGAGGGCATTCTGTAGACTCCACTTCAAAGTGTATCTACAAGTTCACCTGCAGTTGTTGCGGTGACACTTAAATAGGTAGAACCAATAGAATGTTTCTATGTGGTCGTCAAAAAGGACGTCTTCCAAAATGGTTATTAAAACACTTAGAAAATCCCAAAGCAATCACTAATCTGAATAGAAATCCATCACCATCACCCATTGCAAAACACTTATTAATGTCAGGTGACAAAATCAATATTATTGACTTTTCCACATAACTCTAATTCAACGTTGGATATTGAAGGTGATGGAAGCCCTTTGTTGGATTAATCACATAGATCCCAAACTATGTGTACAAAAAACAACAGCATTCAATTAATGTTGCCTACTGTGGACTGACTACTTGACCTATTTAAATATGATTGGTCATTAGTATGTACTTTTGTTTTATATAACTGAGTAATTGTCATGTACTTTATTACATCTTATTATTGTGAACCAGGTTAGTTATAAAGCGATTGTAAAGAAACTACGAAATGACGATATCGTCTCGCAAAATTTTTCTTCTAAATGCCTTATTCAAATTTATCAAAGCCAGTAATTGTTTATAACTTTCTCTCGTAAACTTATTTATTGATTTAATTATTGAATTCTCTCTCTTTTCCAACTAACCTTCATTGATGCAAACTCAGCCGCTTCACTAAGCATAGTAAATATCTGTGGAATCATCATTGTCGGCTCTAAGGCATCTTTCACCATTGCAGCAGTTGCATAACGTATATAATATAAACTAGCTGTACGTCCACGATCTGTTGAAGCCAACTGCCCAGTAGCTGGTTCATAACGTATCATTTCAGCTGAATCTAAGTCAGTAGCACAAGTTCTGACAACACGGCCTAAAAATTCAACTAGATCTGGATCACGCTGATTTTTAAAAAAAGAAGGGAAGAAAGAAAGAAATCAATAAATATATCAATATTGTGTAAAGTAACAAGTAATAAAAACAATAAATTCAATAAACCAGACTCCCATAAACGAACCGGTACGGTCAAGGATCGGTATACTTCCGTTTTCCTTTTGAAATAGTCGCATGTTGTCACGTGTTCATAGTCTCTGCCACGTAAGTCTCCTACTTTCTCTGTCTTTACGCGACAAAGCTGTTCCTCACAAAAGTGAAACTGAACTGGTGGAGATGTAGGTATATTTTGGCGGGAACTGGTAAACGATGATCTCTTACTTATGTGGTGAGTATGGGCACTAGACTGATTGGATCGAGTGGTGTATGTAAGTGTTTCCCGTTTCACTGAAAACCATGGCAACATAGATACTGGCGCTGTTCCACCGCCTTGTGGATCAGATTTCAAGTCAAAAGCCAACAGCTGAAGTAGCCCCATAATAATACGATCAACTGCTTCGATCCCAGCTGTCGCAGAAACTATGAGACTTATCACTTATCCAGCTAGAAAGCACGAATTCAACCACAGGTAGTTGGAACGGATTAAGATGGCAATCCGACCAGAATTGAAAAGGCAAGGCACGCCTTGATCAACTTGAAAATAGTTTGGATATCTGCACTACACTTCAGCACTAAAGAACAAGATTCGGATTCTATTCAACAAGAATATGAAGTTAATCAGTCAGTGATTTCTTCTATGCGGGTCAGAACTTTGCACTGACTGTCACAAAAAGGATTTTTAACAGGTTACAGACCTTTTTCAACACTGCCATTTTCACAGGCTCCATACTGCATATAAAATCGCCAGCTGGTCAGTCAGAAAGAATTAGCAACAAGAAACTCTGGTTGGCTGGAAACAAACCAACAGGCGAGAGCCGATTAGTCAACAAAAATGTACGAGTAAATGGAGATGGATTGATTGGGCGTACATTGAGGAGGCCGTCGAATGAAATCGCGGACAATGCAGGCTATTGCTTGAGTGGAATTCGGAATGGGAAGCGATGAGTGGTTCGTCGGTGCGAGGGTGACATGCAAGAGATAGTGCGAGTTAGAGGAAATGAGAGATTACGAGGAATTGTGGAAGCCAGCCAGTTCCCAGTAGAACACAGAAGGCTTCAAGAAGCTTCAGCTCTGAACTTTCAGTAACACTTCTGGGAGTAAGGTTGCAAGCCTCATGCTCAACCTTACATCTTAATCGGGACTTACTTACAATGGCTAGGCAAAATTAAGAAGTGTGTTGGTTGGGAATCGGACCCTAAACTAAATACGGGCGTGGTCGGCGAGTATTCTATCACTGAACTGAGGACGAGTACTAGCTTGAATAGAGTTGCACTTATCCGTAGAAAATAAACCAGACTGCAACCAATATGTCTTGAAGGGCCACTGCCTCCTGATTCTTGAACTTGAAGTTTCACCCACAAGGCAGTGGACATATTATCATCAAGCCACCAACAACACCAGTACACCATTGGTTTTCCTTGTTTACGACGTGTCAATCTGAAAGATTTCAATTATCTTACAAGATTAGAATATGATACATAGAACTAATTTTCTACACGTCATTTTTATGTGTCTGTACTTCCCTCGCTCCATTTATTCATTTATTGGTCTAATTTTCTCTCACCTTACTTATGACCTTTGAAACCCTATTGGTTGTTCATCGTCATAATTCACCAATGACATTAATGCTTCTCAAGGTCATTTGAGCATGTATATACACACACGCAAGCGTTGTCAATCTCCTTTTTTGACTGTCGTAAGACAGTAAATGGCCCTCTTACGCGCGTCTAGTTCTCTATTTTATCGTTTTGCTGCCCGGTGGTTTTATCGTTGTTGTGCAGTTAGGACAGATTAGTCAACGCACTTACTTAGTATTCTCCCAAAGTCTACTAGGTCGTAGTTCCGGTCATAACAGAATACTCATCTTTGCAGTTATTGAATAATAAATAAGACTTAATATATTTACACTAAATAAAAGAGAAAATGTAGTAGACAAAGCGACGTGAAGGATAATCAAAACTAAAAAAATCAGAGCTAGAAAAAAGAGGCACTTACTTCGAGTATAGCTGTAGTTAAACCATATTGAAGAGGATTCTGCCTTAGACGAATAAATAGGTAGGTATAACTCAACCAAGTGACAGCTTCATCAATATTTGAGACAGTGCCTAAAGCAATCTACAAGCCCACCACCCATCGCCACCCCAATCGCAAAACGAAAACAAAAAAATTTTTAGAAAATCAGTCAATTAAATAAAAAAAATTTTATTAATTATAATTTATGAAAAATCCCACATTCGAACATCAATAAAGAGAAGACCAGTAGTTCGGAGAAGAGTCTCTTTCTTCGGCGAATTCATTTTCACTGCTGTACAATCACAAATATATTTATATGGTTATTTTGTATGTGTGTGAGTGTGTACATTAAATTGGTCAAACGAAAATGCAATTAGTAAGTTTCTGGTGAAATTATGCAGTACAAAACAGCATTAAGGGGTATTGGATGTTGATACAAGAGGGTAGTTACAAAGGTGATGAGTTGTCAGGAATGATTATTAAAGGAGAGTTACGTAATAACACGAATAGTTCGATGAAAGAATTGTGCTCAGGGTGTACATGGAAACAGAATAATATACAGAATTTCGCAAAAGTTTTAAGTAGTTAGAAAAAACAAGCAAACAGATAAAAGTTAAGTCAACTCAACAGATTTTTAACCATGGAAGTAGAAGTGGTTGAATAAGTTTCGCTTTTGTATGCATAGTTCTGATTCTTCTAACTGGATGACTAAGGCTTCTGCAATGCAAACAAGACGGAAACATATTGTCTTTGGCAGGTTATTCTTCAATTTGTAGATTACTTTGAAGGGGGAGGCGTTTGTTGAGATGGAATGACCAGTAGTGGTGACGAGATGTTCGATCACTACACTCCTTACATGGCCACTACTTCCTTTCTGCAACCACGCTGGATAGTGTTCTTTGACCCTTTTCGGCAGGATGCGCGTCGAACGTCTGATGTATCTGACATCACAGCAACAGGTGAACTGATACATACACATAGAAGTACTCAGGTGCAAAATCTTATCTTTTGGGCTTGAACAGATCAGCGGGCGACTAGGGAGCACTCTTGTATTCCTTTAAAATTCTCACTTAATTCCGAATTTAGTTTGTTTCCATGAGCACTCTGAGCACAACTCTTTCATCAAACTATTCATGTTATTACGCAACTCTTCTTTAACAATCATGTGTGACAAATCATCGTCTTTGATATTACCCTCTTGTATCAACATCCAATTCCTCTGAACGCTTTTTTATAATGCGTAATTCCACCGGAAACTTACTAATTGTATTTTCGTTTGACAAATTTAATGTACACACTCACACACATACAAAATAACCATATAAATATATTTGAGATTGTACAACAGTGAAAATGAATTTGCCATAAAGAGACTATACGCTGAACTACTGGTCTTGTCTCTATTATTTATAACTCAAAGTTAATATACTTCATGCATTTGTATCCCTATATGTACCGTAGTGTGTCGGTGGCACAGAGGTAGAATGCTCACCAACCACGCATGGGGTCCCAGGTTCGATTCCCGGCCGACACACTCCTTTACCTCGCTAAACCAGTATTAATACTGGTAAAGTGAGAAGGTTGGGCATGAGGTTAACAACCCCATCCTGTAAAAATAAAAACTACTGCTACCGAAACTCCAAGTCTCTAGCTTGAAGCCCTATGTTTCACTGGGAACGTACAGGAATAAAAAAAAATAAAAAATGTGTACTGTAAGTAATATCGATCTGATCCACTGAGAACGATTTAATAAGATATTTGAGACTATTACAATTATTATTCCCTTTAACTGGCTTCTCAGCTTTCCATAGGCGGCTTTCATCTCCTCTTCAGACAATCTCCTGCATATACCACCCGCCTTGGACTCTCGCCCAACTATTCACTGTTTCCCATTCAGTTTCCCCTCGACCGTTCGCTTAGTTTGCGATGTCACACACTCAATGATCTCATCAGCGTGTATGTCCAGTCCATTTCCAATTTCTTTGGCATATTAGTTGGCTAACAGGTTCTTGGTTGATTCGCTGCCTGTCACAGTTTCTAGCTGATATTAGATGGTTGGAGGCAATCGGCTACAGGAAGCCTTCGACCTAGGTTTCGCACAAGTTGGCACTCACCAGTCAGCGAGGCCTATGTGCAACCGCCTTGAAGGAACTCACGTCCCAACTCTGTGAAATTCCAACCCACGTAACACAGTGCTGTCTGCAGCCACAGACGTTACCACTGAGTTATTCGGGTTCACGATTGTACACCATGATGGCGAGACACCTAGTGGCATGCTGGCCACATTGTAAACTTGACTGACTGATAGAATTCAGTCTGCACCAACGAAAGGACTAGACACGTCACACTAGTCACTGGCTCGTGTCCAATCCGAGCAACTGAACAGAGTAAATTTCCACACTCCCTTCAGCTAGCCAGGATATCTTTCACTTATCTAATCAGGAGAGAGATCGCTTCAACTACATACAGGACGAATGAAAATTTCAAAGGTATAAAGAACACAATTCGAGTTATTAACACTAATGTCAAGTCAGTCAAATCTCCTGTATACTTCACAGACTATTCAGTGTGTCAACAAAAAGCAGCGGCCAACAGGCCGTTGGAGAATTTCATCAACAGCTGACTACTTTACTGCACACTGAAATGTAGATAGTCATGAAGGATTTCATCCCAGAGAGATTAAAATACGCACTGGATTCAAAACGTTACCCAGTGGAAAACCTGCGTTCAAGAAAGGCAAATCATGTGCCTGTCGAACCTCTCTCTCTCTCTACCTCAACTTCATCGACTTCAAAAAGACCTTCAACAGACAGTGAAAACTACTGCAACACTATGGCGTTCCTCGGGTCTTCATCGACCTCATTCAACAGCTGGCTGGCTACATGACAATGCAACGTGTTAAAAGATCCACAACGGGAAATTCAGCAAGGCGTTCGAAGTGAAGACAAGAGTTAATTGTGGTGGACTGGATTCTGAGTCAGACTGTCCTTGAGAGTGAGAAGACAGGAATACGTTGGACAGATAAGAAGATTCTACAAGATCTGGACTTCGTAGATGATATATGTCTAATGTCACACAAACTCGAAGACTCATAAGCGAAAACCAATAAACTGGCGGAAGAACCAAGCAGTGAAGACAGGACTGCAAGTGAACATAGAGAAGACGGAGGTGTTGAAGATACCCACGCACCACCAACAACCATAACAACCAATCAACATTGTGGGGGGAGGTCCACCAGAGGTCACTTGCTTCACATATCCAGCTAGGAAGCATGGTTCTAACCACAGGCAGTCGGACCGGATGAAGATATCAAAACCAGGGAGAATCGGAAAAGTGAGACACGCCTTCATCAACCTGGGACCAGTTTGAAAATCGTCTGCCTCACTCAGCCAGCATAAGGAACAAGATTCGGAATTTCAACACCACCGTGAAGTCGGTCCTTCTACAGCGGCCAAAAAATTGGCAGCGTGTCACGAAAAGGATTACCAACAAGTCATTACAGACTTTTATCAATAGCTACCACCTTCGGTGGTTTGCTCCGTACTGAAGATCAAATAGCCAGAAAGAATTAGTAACAAGAAATTCTGGCTGGGAACAAACCAACTGAGCAAGAGCCGATCGGTCAACAAACAAGTAGGAAAAAATGGAGATATGTCGGTTGAGCACACATTGAGGAAACCGTCGAGTGAAATCGCGGACAATGCAGACCATAGCCCGAGTGGAATCCCGATGCAAAGCGACAAGTAGGTCGTGAGTCCAAGGGTGAAATAGAGGCGACCGTGTGGGGACGAAGAGATGAGAGAGTTTGGGCAATCGTGGACCCAGATGAAGAGGACGACAGAAAATAGAACAAAGTGTGGATGTGTTGTTGAAGCCTTACGTTCCACTCGGAAAGCAAGGGAGCAATAAAAATATGAAGAATTAGTAACAAAGAACTCCGGGAATGTATCAACCAAAAACAACCCATTGCCCAACAAATATGCAGATGGAAATGCACATAGATTGGAAATACCCTAACAAGACCATTTTAGTGGCATTACACGGCAGGCAAACCCTCGAGTGAACCTCGAATGGGAAATGGCGAGTTAGGCTTATGTATGAGGGTTACATTGAGGAGATCATGTGACGATGAAGGATGAGGCTTTACGGACAATCTTGGAAGCCGCTAAAGATGATGATACTGAGAGAAACCGAAGGAAATAGAGATGTGCCGTTGAAGCCCTATGTTATACGCGGAACTCTAAGGATTTATATATTATGCTGACACTACCTATACACATTAAGTTGAAATTCTGCACATCTCTCTACTTTTACTTTATTTTGATGGCGAAAACACTAGAAGACATCCAACCAACCGCAATCATCGTCAGTAACTGTCGGGAGAAGTATGTATGACTGATGACATTTACAGTTTTACGATATTTGAACTGATTCTCAGTTGAGTTGACCTGACGTTCATATCTAATGAGCACGACTACAAATAAGCAGCACAGTTGTTCGATGTTTAGACATATACTCAATCTGGCTAGCAAACACTATTTGGTTGACAAACTACTCACCAATCTAATCAGTAGTATCTACCAGTAAGCAGCAATAATTACAATAATAATCAGTAGTAATAAACTCACATACCTCTGCATTCAAATGATCATGTAGGTTAGCTAGTAAAGTACTTTCAATTGGTCCTTGATTTGTAATTAAACGTAAATAATGCACCAAAGAGTCTTGAGTAGTTATCAATGTTGCTTGACCATATGTGTCAAACTGTGGTCGACCAGCACGACCAAATATCTAAATATTATAGCAGAAATTAAAAACAAATAAAAAATAAACAAGTAGAATACACTGGAGGCCTAAACAGTAATTAATACAAGTTATTAAAATTTGACCAAAGACTGGTATCACTTAGAGAACCAGCGGGGAGTACTGGGCACAGCTATTTTGTCTTAGTTTAAGAGTCTTTATTAGTTTGAGCCCAAAGCCTTCCGGTAACGTGGCAAACTCCGATGGTCGATGAACAGTAACTTCTGTCAATTTGTGACTGATAACCAGACGAAGTTGTCTGGAGCTCTTCGAGATGAGAAATCGTAACCAGTGGAGTTCCACCACATCGAATGAGAAGACAAGTACTCAAAAAGGTCAAGCAGCTGAAGAAAGGTCAACGGTCTTTGCCTAGAGACTACAAAGTCATACAGTCGACCGCCGGTCGACTCATGAATACCTATTACTGAAAATTCCTAAAATAAGATGAAACAAGTGTCCAGTACTCCTGGTGCTATTATCATTATTATTGTGTGCATTTAGGATGCAGAGTCTTCTGAACACCTTGAGCAGCAATCTTCGTATGTTTGGCATGCGATTCGCCCCTACAAAATTTAAGATGCTGCTACAGGACTGGACTACGTCAACCCCTAACTTAGTGATAGGGAGTGAAGTGATATAACATGTTGACCACTTCACCTATTTGGGAAGTTGTATTAGCACCGACGGACTGATTGGCGATGAAATCTCAGCACGGATCCGAAAAGCTCGAGCTGCTTTCGCTGACTTACACCATCTCTGGCGTAGGCGTGACATCCGGTTATCAACCAAGGGACGTGTGTACTGCTCATCAGTTCGCTCCGTCTTCCTCTATGGCTCTGAAACATGGCCAATACGAGTTAAAGACATGAAAAGGTTGACTGCTTTCGATCATAGATGTCTGCGATCTCTGTCTCACGTTAGGTGGTTTAATAAGGTAGGTAATGCTGACGTTAGGCGTAGAGTGTTGGGCAAACAGGGAAAATCAATCGACGAGGCTATAAAGTTACATAGACTAAGATGGCTAGGTCACGTGCTGCGCATGCCTAACCATCGCCTCCCCCGACGGGCATTGCTAGCTGATATAGGTGAAGGTTGGAAAAGAGCCAGTGGTGGCCAAACAAAAACATGGCCTCATCAATCCATCAAATCCTTGACAGTTAAACTGAGTCAGGTAGGGAGATGCAGACTCCCGGGTTGGGGCCCTCGGGACTCTAGGAATCAATGGCTGGAGACAATAGGTGACATGGCTCAAAATCGTTGTCAATGACAGCGCAGATGTATTCAGTCTCTGTAATCTTTCATATTCCTTTCTACCATTACCCATTCTGTTTCACTCTTATACTTGTCAAACTCTATTGATTCTCTTCACTCATCTTGTTGTCTACCTTTGTGTGCTATTTAGAACGTGGCAACTCGAACTGCTGCACTTCGGTGCCAAGTTCTATGTTGAATCCAGACAGACAGACAGACATTATTATTGAATTCCATCACTAGGATTTCAACTGAATACAAACTCTTTTTTTGTCATTCCTTTGCGTTCCGAGTGGAACACTGAGGTGGTCAAGCTTCATATCTTTGAATGTTCACTAGCGGCGATGTTCTTCTAAGCAAACATTCTCTCTTTACTAGACTTATTATTGTCTACTTAAGATTACCAGTGCGTCCATCGGACGAGAGTAGAACTCAGTCAGTCTGGTTTCAACATAGAACTTTGCACCGATGTGCAGCAATTCCGTTTGCCAATCTCCCTCCATGTAACACACAAAGCAAGACAAAAAAGTAAAAGAAATGCAAAATAGAGACAGTAGACGGGGAAATAAGACAAAAAGAATAGTAATAACGAAGAACAATATAGTTTTACTGGGTATTATAAGTCACAAGGAGTGGATGCATCTGCGCCATTTAGAACGATCACTTTGAGCCAGTCATATCACCAATTGTCTCCAGGCATCATTGGTTTTTACCGTCTCGAGGATCTCAACCAGTCAGGAAGTCTACGCTTTCCTACTTGGTTAGCTTTAACTGACTGTTGTGGATTTCATTGACTGGTGAAGTCATGTTTTCGTTTGACCGCTGCTAGCTCTTTTCCAGCCTGACCCATCCTACGTCAGCTAACATTGCCCGTTGTCAAAGAAGGCTATGGCAAGGCATACGTAGCACATCTCCTAACCATTTCAGTCGGTATAGCTCCACAACCTCATCGATTGATTTCCCCTTCATCCTTACCTAGCCTGCCACTCGACCGATGCCTCATCTTAATATTGCTTACCCTATTATACCCTTTCACACGGGAGATAGAACGCAGGCACCTACAGTCAACGACAACCAGCCAGCCTTTTCATTTCTTCCACTCTCAATGGCCAGGTCTCACAGCCATAAAGGAGGATGGAGTGGATTGCTGAGCAGAACATACACCCTTTGATCGACAGTCAGCTAGATACCACATCTACGCCAGAAACGACGTAAACTGGTATATGCAAAAATAGCCTTCTGTAACCGTTCTGAAATTTTGCCGGCAGTCAACCTATTGGGGCTGATGTAACTTCCCAAATAAGTGAAGTGATCAACGTGCTCTACCACCTCACTCCCTATTTCTAAGCTAGGAGTCAATATGGTCCAGTCCAGTCCTTCAGCATCATCTTACACTTGGCGGGAGTGAATTGCACACCAAACATTCACAGATTGCAATTCAAGGTGTTCAGAACACTCTGCATTTTGTCAGCGTCTTCACCCAGAAGGACTATATCATCTGCATATTCTAAGTCAACGAGATTATTCACCGGTAACAAGTCAATCTCTGAGTTACTGAAATCATTTAGGGTTAAGTTTATTAGTACATCTATGATGGAATTGAATAGAAATAGGGATAGTGGCCGTCCCTTACGAATACCATTAGTTGTCACCAGTTCAAGTGACACCTCGCCGTAAGCTCTCACCTGGCTGACTACATGAGTTCAAGTAGAGTGTCTTGATCAGTCCAATGTATTTTCTCGGGATTCCTTTCACAGCCAAACATCAGCAAAGAACCTCTCGGTCGACAGAATCTAATGCCGCCTTTAGGTCAAGGAATATAACGATTGTTGCACGTCGGTAGGAATGCCTATGTTTTAGAATCTGTCGAAAGGTGAAGATATGATCAATACACCCTCCTCCTGGTCTAAAGCCTGCCTGCTTCTGTCATGGAACCCAGACGACGTGCGTGACTTGTAAGCCACTCTATCACTGAACCACCGACAATGCCGAAAGCCGACAACACCTAGTATTCCTGAAAGCTCACTCATGCAACTACCTTCACGAGGTTCAACGTTGCTTAATTTCGGTATTGCGGAGAAAACCGGTGTTTTTTCAACGTTAACTCATTGGTACGACAACGTTCAGGTTCACACATAACATTACGAAATAATTGCCATTACAAACACACACACACAAATAAACAAATATACACTCACCTGCAGTACATCCAATACATCTAAATTGTCAAAATCTGATTTCTCTGCCTTATATACACGTGTACCTTTGATAATAACCGCATGCGCTGGAAGATTCACACCCCAAGCCAGAGTCGCGGTACACACCAACACGCGTATATATCCATCAGCAAACAACTTTTCAACAAGGCTACGATCAACACGTAGCATACCAGCATGATGACAAGCGAAACCATCTGGAACTAGATCTTTAATAGCTGAATCAGACGATTTTTGTATCTACAAAAATCAATTACAAGGAAAAATAAGTCTAATTGGAATAAGCAGTTTTTAAGGAGATTTAGTTTGTAGGGATATGATTTGTGTGTATTTCAAGTGTGAGTACGGATTGATATCACTTAGAGAACTATTGAAAACCAACTGGGAGAAGTGGATAGCTGTTTCCTCCCAATTTTGGATTCATCTGTAGTATGTAACCCCACTGAGGTTTGGGCCCAGAACCTTCTGCTTACAAAGAAAGCTCGTAGACCAACCAGCCGACGAATTCCAAATTCTACCGATTCCTGATCTTAGCAACACCACAAATCAATGTCAACTGGAAATATTTGTCCTCTCACAATCCCCCGACCTGGTGGACCCTACTAATAATGACTTCTCACTAGACCTTGCCGACTGCTGAGTATCGACTACTACGAAACCTCTAGGTCTAAGGCTTCCTACCGATTGCCTCCAATTATGTAATATCATAAAAATCAATGTGCACCATGATAGCGAGCCACATTGCAAACCTAACTGATAGACTTCAGTCTGCACCAAAGAAAGGATTAGACAGGTCGCACTAGTTACTAGTTTCGAATCAAAGCAAACTATTATTATCCGAAAGGTGCTCGGGGTTGGGATACCTTAACACAGACACTGAGACTCAAGCAGACAGTTGTTTTAAGAGGCCATTCCTCTCCGCAATCCTTTCACTTGATGTTTGATTCATCACAAGGCAATGGAGCAGCGACGGCGGCTATGTTCCCATAGTTTCCGCTATGGATAAAATAGCTTCATATGTCACTCAATCCTCTCGAATTTTGGTGTCCACGTACGTCAAAAATGGAAGGAGTGGTCCTTGCGAAAGGGTAAATATGAACGTCTGGCACCAGCAACCGAAATGGTAGGCATGCAAATCAGCCTAATGAAGCTGAAAAAAGGCTCATTCCAAACCTACGAACCTTGCGTGCACTCCCTAAAATCTGTGAAAGGGTTAAATGATGCATGATCTTATTTCAGTCAAAAACAATCTCAGCAGAAACTTATCTCCTGATGTACCTCCTCCACTACCTCACGGTTCAACCCTTAAGTCATCGACTCAAAGGGGGGTCTACGCGCGACCGGACAGTATCTCCACCTTCGCATAAATTATGAAATATGTTGCCTGTAGTGTACTAATAATAAGATAGGTACTAACTATACTACTACTATTAAGTAAGCCATGCGAATCTGTGGAACTAACCTTTTTTAAACACATTTTCACTGAAGAATTATCTTCATTACGAAAATACGCCATATGACCAAGTTGTTGTGCTGATGTGCGTAGTCCACGAGCTGTTCTAAAGGTATCACCACGAGCATGAACAAATACCATTACCTGATCGAAAATAAAACAAACAAACAAACAATGGAATGCAAAAAATTTATATCCATCTTTATAGGCGTTGAATGGTACTTCAAGATTGTAGATTCTGATAGGGAGTTTGCATAACTTCAATGTCGACTTCTTGTGCTCCGTACTGAAGATTAAATAGGCAGAAAAAATAACAACAGGAAACTCTGAAGGGTAGCGAAACAATCAAAAAACTGTTGCTCAACAGACATTCCGAAAAGAAAATGGAGATAGATTGGAAATAAACTGAGGAGACTGCTAGGTAGCATCAAGCGAAAGGTCATCGATCGAGTGGAACGCGAATGGAAAACAACCAGTTGAGCGTATTTGTCCGTGGTTGTACAGGCGGATTTCGTGTGAGAAGGAAATTGGAGTCTATGGGGAATCATGGCTCCAGCTAGGGATTCTATTATCATTTCTTTGTTTCTTTTAGTTCCTAGAGGAATACAGGGATTCAGCCGCACGTCTCCATCGAGTTCGGTTCTCTAACAACGTTTTCTTCATCTGGCTCCACCTCTGACCACATCCTTTCATCTTCTCTCCTCAGCATGACCTCCTCCATGTCACCCTCGCAATGACGACCATCTCGCCACTTTCCATTCGGGTTCCACTCGAGCGATAGCCTGTCGTGTGATGTCACTTGATGGTCTCCTCAGAGTATGTCCAATCCACCTCCATTCCTTCCTGCTTATTTCTTGAACAATCGTTTCCTGCTGGTTTGGTTTGCTTATTGCCAGAGATCCCTGTTGCTGATCTGTTCTAGCCGCCCATCTGATCTTGAATATTGAGCGAAGACAGCTAGCTGTTGATGAAGGTTTGTAGTTTGTTCGAAGTGCCCTTCGTGACGCGGCGCCACGTCTCTGATATGTATAGTAAGTAGCGCTGACTACACACTGGAGTTGAATATCCGGATCTTATTCTCCATGCTGAGTGCTGAATGTTGATCTCCACACACACTTGAGAGTAATGAAAGTTTGTCTTGCTTTCCAGATCCTCACCTCGATATCCTCATCACTTTCGTCCACCTGTAGTTTAAATGATGATGCATCGCAGGTAGGTGGGTAGGTAAAGGAGGTTGCTCCTTTCAGATTCCTCCCATTTATGCTGGCTGATTGTTGTCTGTTGTTATTGCTGTTGTTATTGGCTAGGAGTCCTCATCACCACAACTGTTTTCTCTATGTTCACCTGAAGGAAGTCCTATCTTTGATGCTTCTTCTGCCAACTTGTTGGTTTTCACTTGCATATCATCCAGTTTGTGGGAAGTCAGACATATATCACATCGGCGAAGTCCATATCCTCCAAGTTTTTTGTGTGGCCAGCTAGAGATAACTGCAAAGAACAGGACAAAATGAAAATGTGCCGTTGAAGACTTGATTTCCCCTCCGAACCCAAGGAACTAATATATATATATATATATATATATATATATATGTTAATGTCTGTCTGTCTGTCTGTCTGTCTGTCTGTCTGTTTTCGACATAGAACTTTGCACAAATGTGTGGCAGTTCAAGTCGCCACACTCCGTGTAGCACGCGAAGCAACAGAAGAAAGTACAAGAAAAGCATAATAGAAACAGTGAGCAGAGGTGTGAGACAAAGGAGGAGTAATAACGAAGAACAAAACAGTTTCATTGGAGATCATAAGTCACAGGGAGTGGATGCATCTGCGCTAGCCACTGAGAACGATTTTGAGCCATGTCACCAATTGTTTCCAACCATAGATTTTTACCGTCCCGAGGACCCCAACCAGGAAGCCAGTCTACACCTTCCTACGTGGCTTAGACCAACTGTTGTGGATTTCATTGACTGGTGCCAAGTTTTTGTTTGACCGCCGCTAGCTTTTTTCCAGCCTGACCTTATATCCGCAAACATTGCTCGTCGAGGGAGGCGATGGCTTGGCATACGTAACACATGTCCTAACCATCTCAGTCTTTGTAGCTTCACGACTTCGTCGATTGATTTCCCCTGTTTACCTAGAACTCGACGCCTAACCTCCATGTTGCTCACCTTATTATGCCACTTTACACGGGAAATAGAACGCAGGCACCTATGATCAACGACAGCTAGTCTTTTCATATCTTCCACTCTCAGTGGCCAGGTCTCACAGCTGGCCATAAAGGAGGACGGAGCGGACTGATGAGCAGTACACCCGCCCTTTGGTCGATAGTCGAACATCTCGTCTACGCCAGAGTCGGCGTAAACTGGCAAATGCAGAACGAGCCCCTTGTATCCGTGCTGAGATTTCGTCAGAGATCAGCCCGTTGGGGCTGATGGTCGTTGAGGAGGCCGTCGAATGACATCGTGTACAACGCAGGCCGTCGCTTCAGTGAAATCCCAATGGGAAGCAACGAGTGGGTCGTCTGATGGTGACAAGGAGATCGTGCAAGTTGTACGAGATGAGGGATTATGGAAAATCGTGGACGAAACTGAAGAGGACAGCAGGAAATAGAATAAAGTGAAGGTGTGTTGTTGAATCTCTATGTTCCACTCAGAACCCAAAGGAATAATAATAATAATATGTAATGTGGACCTCATCAGCAAACGAAACTATTAGGAGAACCATTTGAAAAAAACCAAGAAATACTGGAAAGAGACACTTCCTCTTGATTTTCAAGTCTTTAGCAGTGAACATTACGCTCCAAAGACATACCTGACTAATGTTACTTGGACTTTTCCTATCACTTGCTGAAGATTGAGCTGCTTTATTCGACCTACTGGAGTCGTCAGGTAACTCGACAGCTACGGATTTAGGATATGCATTCTGTTGCAGACAACGGAGAGTGAAAACACGATTGATGATTGTGCCAATTACACATAGTTTCTTTGTTAATTTAATTCGATTGCAAAATAATTCATATGAACTGTCATCAAGATTTGACAGAATATTTTTTTAAATATTTAGGCGCCGAGTGAGAAGTAGACATTTGGAGAATTTCGGACCAGATTGCCGAACTCAAGAAACGTTGGGATTACTCATTTCAATCTCGCTGAGATTTTACAAATATTAATAATTTTTTACAAATGTCTACTTCTTACTCGGCGTCCAAATATTTTCGAACTATTCTGTCAAATCTTGACGACAGTTGATTTGGATAATGATTGGTGTTTGTTGTCGTCCTCCCTATGTTCACTTGAAGTCCTGTCTTCTTTGTCTGAGACTCTTCTACAAACTTGTTGGTTTTCGCTTAGAAATCTTGAAGTTTATGTGACGCTCAACATAAATCATCCACGAAGCTCAGAGTCTTCTTATCCCTCCAAGGTATTCCTGTCTTCTCGCTCCCCACGCACGATGTCCCGCATAATTCCGTCTTTATTTATTGAGTATTCCGCTGGTTCAGCGGTAGAAGTGCTTCCTTGTCAAGCAGCTAGAGTTTCTGGTTCGAATCCCACCAGTCGCACTCCTAAGTATCAGTCCAGTCTATTAGTGTCAACATTAAGTCAAGCATGATAATAGCAACACCACTGCCGTAACTAAAAACTTCAACGTTCAAGTCTGCAGACCCTCTTTGTTTTATTCGGAAAGCACAAAACAAAAAATTAAAACAAATACATCGCGTATGTGATTCAACTAAACAGCATAAACTCACTTGTTCCCCTTTTTTCACTTGTTCTAAAACCTTATCATAACACACTGAACTCATATTCACATCTTGTACTCTACGATTAGCTCCACGTATACCAATAAATGACATTCCAAGGGGAACTGGTCGAAATCTTGAATCAAAGTAGAATAAACCACGTTGTAGATTAACACAAAGGAAACGAGCAACATCTATATAGTTTGGTAGTGTGGCTGACAGACCAACTAGCCGTATCATTGTCTGGGAACTTTCAACCTGAAAAAAAAAACGAAGAAATCAATAATAAATCGATATAGAAACGGTGGCCCTGCGCTGTCAATCTCTTACTGACTGTTGTTTTGAGAAAGTAAAAGCTGTCTTATCAACGCCCAGTCTTTTCTTCTTTGTCTTTGCGTGCCGGCGGTGTTGTCGTGTGACTAACGACAGACTAGACAGTGTATTAATTAAGTCAGTATTCCCTTCTAGTCTACCACGCTGTAGTTCGCGTCATAATATACTCTCAGTTCAACACTACTACTAGCAGTGGTAGTCGGGATCATGAGAAAAACAATAACAAAGCTTAACCTTGAGGAACTTACCAACCAATCACATCAGACTTAACATGTGCAATTACGATTCGTAGATATATGGCTTTACTTCTTAAGAAACGGTCACAAGCAGTACAGAATAACCTTCAGCAAGAAAACAACCAATCAGAAGACGTTGCTTCTCTGGTAACAACAACGCTAATAATGATAATAATAATAATAATGTACATAAAAATCTATAAATATCTGTTGATTTTCTCAATTAACGAACTGTTGCCTGGCCCTTATCTTCTGTTATTACAGTAGTAGTAGTAGTCAGTCTTTTGAAATTTTCCAGTGAGCCAGGCATCTTTTAACAAATTGAACACTTTTGAAAAAAAAGGTATTTTAACAAATCAAGGATAAAACTTTGAAATATAAATAAATGAAAAATAGTTAAGCGAAAAAAAAAAGAAAGACTCAGCAATAACTTACTTGACGTAATGTTCTTGCCACCAGAGCTTCAATAACAGCACCACGATCTTCATGTAATAAATGAACTTCATCAATGATAAGCAATTTAACTAATTTCACTAGAGTAGCATCACCAGTCCCTTTACGAGAGATAACATCCCATTTCTCTGGTGTACTAACAAGCATCTGAAATATAATAGAACAAGAAGTATAAGTTTTGGCCAAGGATTGATATCAGTTACAGAAACATTGAAAACGACAGAGGAGTAGTAGAAGTAGACAGCCGTTTTGTCCTAGTTTGAGACGACTCTTCAGAGGTACATAACCACTAGAGTTCCACAACCCAGAACCTTCCAGTTACAAGAGCGAGCTCGTAGACCACTCTCAACCAATTGTCCCGGAATCGAATAACCCATGAATCCCAACTTCTACCGATTCATGATTTTAGCGCGACTGACACCGCCCAATCTTTTCGTTGAGTGCTTATTTTCACATACCAGAACCTACCTGGTGGAGCCTAGGGATCATGACTTCTCACTAGAACTCCAGACAACTCCTAGTGAGAGTCAGATTTGTTTATAACCGGATAGTCTTAGGTTTAAACCACAGAGGGTGCATACTGATGAAGAGCCCCAAAATAGGGCGAAACACTCGATCACTACTGGGTTTCAGAGATGTCTCAAACTGATGCTATTTCATAACGGAAATCAGACACAACTGAAATGTAAATAAACAACATTGGATCAGTCATGGAAAATAACAAGTGTGAATATTTTTCAGATCATGTTCAGATAGATATGGCAAAAGTGAGTCTGAGAAACCAAAATTAAGATACAAATGCATTAGAGTTCAGTTACATCACTTAAATAAACAATCAGTTACCAGAGAAAGAACTTGAATACATCAAGAATTGCAAAATGAATAACATTGATAAAAACGGCAACAAGAATAGGTAATAAGTAAAACATATTACCATGGTAGATTCAGAGCGGCAACCGCTTCCTCCTGAACACAAAGAGACAGGGTTTACAGACCTGTCTCTTATTGGACAAACCTCCACAAATTCAAGCATGTTTCTGTTTGTTTGTCTGCTGACAACAACAGTGAAGGACTTGACAGCGCGTCAATATTATGTTCGTAGTCTACAAAATGCTTTATCAAGTATTGGTTTTTTTTGTAAGGATTTAGTTTGATTGGTTGGAGGATTTCATCACGAGCTGACATCAGTTAGAGAACCATTGGAAAACGAACTAGGAGTAGTGGACAGCTGTTTCGTCAGCCTAGTTTGGGACTCTTCAGCATGATGACCTCATGAAGTTTTCATGATGAAATCCTCTAACCAATCAAAACTAAGTCCCTCCAGCAAAAGAATACCTGAAAATTCATCTGATGCTTACTAGCAACTGACCCTATCCAAGCAGTGACCTAAGGTTCTAGTGGGAAGCCGTGACCAGTAGGGTACAGCAGGTTGACGGTGTAACAATAACTCATCGAAGAAGACATTGCAAAATGGTCGCGCTACGTCATGAATTGGCAGAAGTTAGAATATATGAGCTAGCCACTGTATCTGGTCCCAGTGGCATAGTGGTCTATGAGTTCGCCTTGTAACCAGAAGGTCTAGGGTATGAATTTGTACTGATGAAGAGGGCAAAACTAGAACGAAACACCTCTCCAGTATTTCCAGGTGGTTTTCCAATGGTTCTCAAAGTGATGTCAGCTCATGATGAAATCCTCCAACCAAAATGCTTTACTACTGAACTTTGTAGTACTTTGATTTCAACTTTTTTTTCCAACCATTTAGGCAAGTACTTTAACGTGCGGGTAGACAATCGCCTTTCTATACGAACGCTGTACGCGTTTCAATTCATAAACACACTCAAATTGCTGTATGCAGCAGTTTTGATGTGTTGAGGATTGGCGAACATTGGTCTTTCCTAGATTTTTGTAGCACACGCTTGATAGTGTTAAGCAACACGCGTTCTGCAGCATATTAAGTTCTGATGATAGCTAGCTTTATCCAGCCTTCATTTGGTTACTTCTTTTACATCATCTCCTTTGAAACTGATGGTAGGGATTTGTTTGCAGGGTTTATTTCCTTAGAATATTTATCGATGAAGCCTTCCGAAGATATTTATTCTTTAAATTTATTATACTCCTTTCCCACTTGTCTGCCTTGAACAAGACCTGAAAAACATTTACATCTGTTGTTTCGCATGATTTTGACTTGAGTCATTGAAGGACATTGGAAGAACCAGTGAGGAGAGTATTGAAGTCATCAGTTAGTGATATCTATGCTGAAATCGATGAAATCCTCCTGAAAACCGACACTTAAAAATTAATTTATAACTCACTAATAACTGAATACATAGCAAGGTTGTTCGGAGTTCTAGTAGGATATTGTGAATAGTAGGCTACAACAGATCAGATGTGAGGAAAAACACTTACTGATGAAACCGGCTAGTGATAGCGCTACAAATCGCAAACTGACAGGACTTAGAATTCATGGACCATTGAATTCCATTCCAGTAGCTGAATAATGGTTAACGGACCTACTTCGCAAACCTTAAGGTACTGGATGCGATCCTAGGCGGTGGGATCTCAGGTACGTGCCAGTGAAGAGTCCCACACTGCGATGAAACAGCTATTTACTACTGTATATTTACAATAACGTTCTCGCCGCGTGACTAAAAGCATTTCCAACAGTCCGCAAACCTTTATCAGCAGCTCCCCTCGTTCCATGCTGGAGATCAGATGGCTAGAGGGAACCATCAACAAGAAACTCTGAACCTATCGCTCCACGAATATGCCAAAGAAAATGGAGACGGACTGGACATACGCCAAGAAGACTATTGTGTGACATCACACACCAGGCCATCCGCTTGACTGGAATCCGAATGAGTGACGGCAAGTTGGGCATCGCTTAGAGGGTGACATGAAGGCGGCCATGTGAGGCCAGCTAACGAGGTCTTCAGAGAATAGGACGAAGTGGAGATGTGCGCAATCGAAACGTTATGTTCCATTCGGAACCCAAGGAAATAATAATAAAATAACAACATAATAGACTTTGAGTTTGCAGAAGGATTTAGACTGTCTTCACTGTAGATTTCATCACAAATCGATATTAAATTGAAAAAATTCTGAAAACTATGAAGCACTAGACAACTGTTTCGTAGGCAGTTCGCATCAACAAGCCCATGCAATGAATCGAATACAAGAGAATTAGGTTATCGGAGGGGGAGGGTGAGGGGAAAGCGAATCCATTGACCAATCTCAGCCGGGGTTTCAACCACCAGAATGAATCGCTAGTCTTTATCGAAGAGACGTTGCGCTCAACACACAGTTTTTCCTTTAATTTCTGAGTGGAACGTAGCGCTTCAACCTGGATGTTTGAAGTTCCTGTAGCAGTAGTTCCTTGTCAGTTTAACAGGGTAGGTTTGCTAGCCTCACGCCAAAACTTCCCTCTTTACCAGTTTAGAAAGGTTTGTCAGTGAGTTCGTCGGCCGAGGATCGAACCCCGGACCACGTGCGTCGTTGCTGGTGACCGTTCTGCCGCTAAACCACCACTGACGGAACAGAAATATGTACTTGACGGCTGAATTGCATTAGACCACAATATAATCATTATATAAGGCCATATTATCTTATGGTAAATTTTTATATAGAACTGATTACGCAACACATACCTGGGTCTCAAGTATTTCTTGTTTACTCAGCTGTATATCACCAGTACACTCTCTAACACGTACACCTAAAGGACTAAGACGTTTTGAAAAGGTGTCGGCCATTTCAGCTGCAAGTGCTTTCATTGGTGCTAAATATACAATCTAGAAAAATAAAAAATAAATATGAGTTACACAAAATTAATTCAATAAGTAACCAGCTTACCACTTAGACCGATCCCTCAATATGATCTAGTTCACCATAACATTCAACTGACAAAAAAGTAAATCGGTGAGTAGTGAGTCCGAATCATAACATCGTGTGAAAAGGTTATTCATATGGACCTTTGACACAGCTAAATTATCCTGTCTGTTCATCATTAGGCAACCAACCAATATTCATATCGAGAAATAGAGAATAACTGCCTTGTTTCGCCTCTACCATAGATGAATTTACCAGTTTAACTGCTCCTGTGGATGGAATTATTTATATTGGGCGGGCGTACGATCAGGAAAGTTCATCATCGTATTCTTGAACACATCCCACCCTAAGTTCACAAAGGTTCGAATAAAACTATACGCACATTGAAACGGGGGTCAGCAGTCACTGAGTGGTGGCATCTTTTACGCTACAAATTTCATCTCAGAGTCCACTGTACTCGTCTCTGTTTGCTATTCCTGGGATTGGATAGAAAACGCCGAGAAGTAGCCAGTCTATGAAGCGGTGTCATAGGATGAAGGATATCTGTGTTGGGTTGCTATCAATTGGTAGATCACAACCACCTGGTTGGGTGGATTATTTCACCAACAACTACATATGTATATTCGGGCTAATGAGACTTCTCGACATATTTTCCTAATATCGTGACTTCCAAAAGAAGAAACCGCCCACTTCACAGATCCAATAATAATTAATCAATCTTTAACTACAGTAGGTAAGATATTCCAATAATGAAGACTTCAGATAATTCCATTGTGGATAAAATTTTCTTTTGATTAAGTCTCACAATGTTATGCAATATAAGTAATATTTACTGATGACCACATTTCGAATACAATTGATGCCTGATCATAATCATACCAGAGCACTACTCACACAATTTTCTTGCTTCATTTATATACATGAGTAAAAACTGATGATTAGACAGACGAATAAAATTAATATATAATAAAGTACATTTAGAAATAATGTTAGTGTTATCAAGAAAATGCAATCAGATGGGATATAAGAAGAGTGTTTTTTATAGCCATAATAAGAAACTTGTTAGAATGTTATCATGTACTTGAATTGGAACAGAATTTTAAGATTATTGATTAACCTCCTCTGATTTGACTGGTGGTAATAATATTTTCCATATATCTGATATTTGCCTTCAGTCACTTCTGTTGCATGTGTTGGTTGTGGACTGGATGAACCAGGATTCACGGTAATCAATTTCTCTCGCTCTCCACCCACCTACCTAGATTACTTTTCAGAATTTTAACCCTCTCCCACCCTATTGTATCGTTGAGTGCTAGTGCATGCAGTGCAATCACTTAGTGTTTTTTTCTAAATTACTTATCTTTGTGAGACCAATCATTCTAACCCTGAGTAAACGCTTATGTTCTGATGACCTGACTACTCCCGATCAACTAGTTTGACCTGTGTAGTTGACCTCACTCACAGTCATTGCAAGGTACTTTGTAAATTATTTTACTTTGTCTGATTGGGTCAACTTACAGACCTTGTCTCTGTCCCATCTTATTGACTAACACCACTCGTCTTATTTCCCATCGTACTCTAATTATTGATAACACTAATATTACTATTTCCGGATGTACTTTATCTTCCATTCTGTTTCATGCAAGTCTTATATTGTTAATTTTATTTAAATGTCTAATCATCAATTTTTACTCATGTATATAAATGAAACAAGAAAATTGTGTGAGTATTGTTTTGATATGATTATCAGCAGGCATAAATTGTGCTCGAAATGTGGTCATCATTAAATATCACTTATACTATAATATCACTGTGTGATTTCATCAAAATAAAATTTCATCCACAGTGCCCAAGTTATATCATTATATCAAGATTTCAGATACTACTGTGATGAGAGCTGGTGGCTAGCCAAAATTGGTAGACAGTAATTTACGTCAATACTTAGGTCCTCAATATTGGTCATGTGGAAAATACGAACAAAAGCTGACTAAAGAATCAATCACAGCAGACTTTTCGTAGGTGCATACAACTTCCAGATAGATAATATGAACTTCAAGAAACGGCCACAAAGAGATGAAAGATTAAAGTTCAGCGAGAAACCACCGATCAGAAGACTGTCTTTATTCGCTTACAATTATTATTATTGTTGTTCCCTTGGGTTCCTAGTGAAACATAAGGCTTCAGCTGCACGTCTCCACTTGCTTCTGTCTTCTGCTGCACTCCTCACCTGCATCCATCTTAGTTAGTCCATACTCTTTGAATTCCTCTTCACACCATCTCCTCCATGTCACCCTTGCACTGACCACCCACTCGCCGCTTCCCTTTCGGCCTGGATCCACTCGAGCAATGGCCTGATGCGCGCGCGATGTCACCCAGCGCCCTCCTCAAAAAGTGCCCAATCCATCTCCACTTTCTCATGCATATTCGTTGGGTGATTGGTTCTTGTTTTGTTTGTTCCCATAGTTTCTTGTTGGTGATTCTGGTGATTCCGACCCGGCCATCTGATCTTCAGTATAGAGCCAGCGAAGACAGCTGTTGTTGTTGATAAAGGTGTGAGTTAGCCTGTTGGAAATATTCTTTGTGACCCGCCCGCCAAGTTTCTGATCCGTTCCGTATAGAAGAACTGACTGACTTGACGTTTGTATTGAAAATCCGACGGAATTTTGTTGTTGATGCTGGCTGAGTGAAGAAGATTTCCAGATTGGTTTTCAGGTTGATGAATGTGTTTCTCGCCTTCCCGATTCTCGGTTTAACATCCTCGTCCGTTCCTCCTGTAGTTGAGACAGTGCTCCCTAGATTTGCTTACAAAAATCTATAATAATGTACATGAAAATCGATAAATACGTGTTGATTTCCTAAATAAACGATCTGTTGCCTTGCCCTTGTCTTCTGTCGTTACACTCCGACCTGTAGTTTCTCAGACTGATTTTAGATCGGCGGAGTTCTCATCACAACTACACTCACACGTGACTTATTGATTAAAAGTCAAATTCTTTTTCTTATATGATAAATATCACTTACTTTAAAAGCTTTTAAATCTAATACATTATCACCTTTCATATGTGAACGTAGTAGATGAACAATTGTCAGTAAGGCAACATTTGTTTTACCCGCACCAGTTGGTGCTGAGACCAGAAGATTCTCTGATGTATGATAGGCAGTTGGATAGACCACAGATTGGATTAAATTCAATTCTTTTATGCCTTGAAATACCATCTGACCAACCTACACAATCATAGAGAAAAAATGTAATCAAATTTATAATGGTAATAATAATCATACTTTTTTAATGTATATTTCGTTACTAAGCAACCTTGTTTAGGGAACCACTGAAACCCGGTAGGGTTGACTGAATACGACAGTTTCACCTTAGTTTGGCACTCTTCAACAGTTCACACCCACGACCTAATATCACTAGGGATAGAACCCTGAACCTACTACCTACCTTCAGATTGTCACGAAACTAAGCTCGCTCACTATTCACAATCACACTTTGGCCGAAAATTTAATGACCCATAGACGTTAACTTTGTTAATTCGTGCTACATATTATTGGCGCCACCTTCAACCAATGTCTTTGATTAGTGGATGCACTTCACTTGGACTTGGTGGAACCCCACCACCACTGGTCATAACTTCTCAGTACAAATTCAGGACATTTGTGCAATCGATTCGGTAGAGAAATCAATCACCTATAACTGATGTTGGTTCGTGACGAAGTTCTACAGTAAAATCAATCAGAAGTTCTACACACAAAAAAACCATAATAATGATAACAATAATAATGATGTCACAACCCACTGTATTAACCAATTTGCAATCTACGCGTGTGGCCACACATACTTATGGGGGACTCATGCACATATATACAATAAGGTGAGCATTATTGTGGTAAGGCAACAGTAGAGTGGTAGGTTAGGAGGGAGGAGACATAACTCGATGAAGCGGTTGTGAAGCAACCGCATCAACTGAAATGGTTACGAAATGTGTTACTCACGCATCCCTAGCCCATCCATCGCCTTCCTCGACAATGGGCAATGTTACCTGACTGAAATAGGATAGACGAGGTTGGAAAAAAGTTAGCTAGTAGTAGTGGTCAAAGAGAAACATGGCTTCATCAGTCAATGAAATCCACAACAGTTAATTTAAGTGAGCCAGCCAGCCAGTCAGTCACGTAAGGAGGGAGATGTAGACTTGCTGACTGATTGGTTGATTGGTGTCCTCCGGATGGTAAGAACCAACATCAACGGCGGCTGGAGATAATCAGTGGCTTAAAGTCATCATTCTCAATGGCTGGGGGAGATGCATTCATTCTTTGTGATTTATCACAACCTCCCCCCCCCCCGTCAATAACACTGTACTGTTCTTCCACATTACTATTCTTTTTCCCTCACTCACACTTCTGTTTATCATCTCTCTCTCTCTCTCTATTGAATCTCTCTTTACTCTGTTCTCTTGGTTTATGTGCTACACGTAGGGAGAGTGGCAAGTCGGACTGCTGCACATTTGTTCAAAGTTCCACTTTGAAACCAGTCAGTCAGTCGGTCAGTGGGGTTAAAGAAGGAACAAAAAAAGCACAGAGAACAAAGGGGAATATAGAGGTGAACCATTGGAGCCCTATGTTCTACTCGAAACATCTAAGAGAAAAATAATAATAATAACCGTCGTAATAATACACTGTATGCAAAATATATACACACACAAGAACTTACTTCATCTAATGATTTAATTTTTACACGTTCTACATTGAGTAAATCTTCTGGTGGTTTAGAAGATAACGGGAAATCAACTTGATCACAGATTGTCGACTGTTGAAACTTTACATTCTCCGGCAATAAAAGCTAAATGGTCAAAATGAGGGGGGGGCGGGGTTAAGAAGATAGATATAAGAAATAAAAATGTAACCTAAATGACAACTTCTCAAGTATGTATGTACGTGTATATAAGCTTTGCATGACTACGAAGATATTTTTTGGTCATACTGTTGGAATTACTGTCAACCTGTGGCCAGTACTACTGATAAGATTTATCAGTAGTATACACATATATATGCCCGACTGATAGTTGCTACCTCGACGTGGTGGTGGTCCGGCTTGCACATCGCGATGACCTAACAAGCTGCACTGGATGAAACCAATGTTCCTGCAGGTCCTACCATGCCAGGAAGGTTGTTAGGATGGCGATTAGACTAAAAGTAGTTACCGGCATTGTGTAAGTATCTTTCCTACACTATGCTGGGGGTCTTAAGGCGAAGTCGTACTGCTGGAGAACAGGGTGTGTAACAGCAGTAAGGTGTTTCCCTCAGATGACCAGCATGCCAGCCAGCTATGCTGTCTCCCCACTCTGGAGAGAAGGGGTTAGAAAACGTCGACCCCAAAAATTGTACATCCCGACTTACCCCACCTACGGTGGTCCGTAACCGGCGGTAAGTTTACATATACGGAACCAATCTCAGAAACCAGTTGATACAGGCCGTGTGCGACAGGCCTCAAGCAGTTGTCCTCTGGGCTCTGCGGTCACGCAACACTAACCCTATTTCTGTTTCAGGTACCCAAAGAATCAATCAACTTCATCGGTGTGGGCAGCCGGGAAGTAGCGACAGCCCACACACTTCCAAAAGCACACAGATATATATATATATATGCAAAGGAATGTTCATCGGTATAAAAACATCAAATAGCAGGGAGATAGATTTGATGTCAGAGATATTAAATGGTACAGAGTTGCAGATACACATGGGAGACAACGTGAAGGGAACACAAAGAAACACACAATATGAAAGACCAGAAGTAGCAGGCACAGCACAGAAGATTCTGAGCAAATGGTGCGTTGGAAAAGAAGAAGTGTACATACTTCGGCTATAAAGAGATACCAATTTCCAAATACACATTCCTTTATCGCATTCTTACTAATCTTCATTTTGCTTTGCGAGTTCCTTTTCTACATACCACAGATGAAACAATAGGAACGCCAAGTTAAACTTTAAGCACCACTAACTACCAATCAGCGAACGACGTCGAATTATCCAATGAGATCCACGAACATTAGTTCAATGTTGTATAGCGCTTAATTCACTTATAATGCGTGCCCTAACAAGGTGTAATCAGATAAAAACTAGCATGATACCACTAAATGCTGCTACAGGACTGGACGACGTCAACCCCTAACTTAGTGATAGGGAGTGAAGTGATAGAACATGTTGACCACTTCACCTACTTGGGAAGTTGTATTAGCACCAACGGACTGATTGGCGATGAAATCTCAGCACGGATCCGAAAAGCTCGAGCTGCTTTCGCTGACTTACACCATCTCTGGCGTAGGCGTGACATCCGGCTATCAACCAAGGGACGTGTGTACTGCTCATCAGTTCGCTCCGTCCTTCTCTATGGCTCTGAAACATGGCCAATACGCGTTGAAGACATGAAAAGGTTGACTGCTTTCGATCATAGATGTCTGCGATCTCTGTCTCGCGTTAGGTGGTTTCACAAGATAAGTAATGTTGACGTTAGGCGTAGGGTGTTGGGCAAAGAGGGAAAATCAATCGACGAGGTTATAAAGTTACATAGACTAAGATGGCTAGGTCACGTGGTGCGCATGCCTAACCACCTCCTCCCCCGACGGGCATTGTTAGCTGATATAGGTTCATGTTGGAAAAGAGCCAGTGGTGGCCAAACAAAAACATGTCATCAATCCATGAAATCCTTGACAGTTAAACTGAGTCAGGTAGGGAGATGCAGACTCCCGGGTTGGGGCCCTCGGGACTCTAGGAATCAATGGCTGGAGACAATAGGTGACATGGCTCAAAATCGTTGTCAATGACAGCGCAGATGTATTCAATCTCTGTAATCTTTCATATTCCTTTCTACCATTACCCATTCTGTTTCACTCTTATATTTGTCAAACTCTATTAATTCTCTTCACTCATCTTCTTGTCTACCTCTGTGTGCTATTTGGAACGTGGCAACTCGAACTGCTGCACTTCGGTGGCAAGTTCTATGTTGAATCCAGACAGACAGACTAAATGAATTTCTTATTTCCTCTTTTTCAGAAAGAAAGGCTGACCTGGCTGTACTAGAGCAAGAAGAGGACAGGTTGTCAAAGCTTGTTATAAATGACGATATTTAGCTTGTACCCGGACAGTTTAAACCATGCGTGGTGGAATAAAAGACCTTTTCTTTCGTATCTTCGTCTTCTTCCTTTATTGGGTGTGCCTGTTGCTTCTGAGTGTTACAAACGTTACGAGGATAGTGTTTTTCCGTATTGCCTGGATTTAGGGTTGCTTCGGAAGGAGAGAATTTGTTTGTGTGGTGGTGTCATGACTTTAAAAAGATTTGACAGGTCAACTGATGGATTTGTTATGCATCGTTATGCAATATGTTTGAGGTGAGATTTCGTCAGAGATCAACCCATTGGGGGTGATGGTACTTCCCAAATAAGTGAAGCGGAGCACGTTAACCGCTTCACTTATTTGGGAAGTACCATCAGCCCCAACGGGCTGATCTCTGACGAAATCTCAGCACGAATACAAGGGGCTCGTTTCGCATTTGCCAGTTTACGCCGACTCTGGCGTAGACGTGATATCCGACTATCGACCAAAGGGCGGGTGTACTGCTCATCAGTCCGCTCCGTCCTCCTTTATGGCCAGCTGAGAGACCTGTTCATTGAGAGTGGAAGACATGAAAAGACTAGCTGTCTTTGATCATAGGTGCCTGCGTTCTATTTCCCGTGTAAAGTGGCATAATAAGGTGAGCAACATGGAGGTTAGGCGTCGAGTTCTAGGTAAACAGGGGAAATCTATCGACGAAGTCACGAAGCTACAAAGACTGAGATGGTTAGGACATGTGTTACGTATGCCAAGCCATCGCCTCCCTCGACGAGCAATGTTAGCGGATATAGGGTCAGGCTGGAAAAGAGCTAGCGGCGGTCAAACAAAAACTTGGCACCACTCAATGAAATCCACAACAGTTGGTCTAAGCCACGTAGGAAGGTGTAGACTTCCAGGCTGGGGTCCTCGGGACGGTAAAAACCAATGGTTGGAAACAATTGGTGACATGGCTGAAAATCGTTCTCAGTGGCGCAGATGCATCCACTCCTTGTGACTTATGATCTTCAATGAAACTGTTTTGTTTTTCTTTATTACTGCTTTGTCTCACACCTCTGCTCACTGTCGCTATTATGCTTTTCTTGTACTTTCTTCTGTTGCTTCGCGTGCTACACGGAGTGTGGCGACTTGAACTGCCACACATTTGTGCAAAGTTCTATGTCGAAAACAGACAGACGGTGAGTTAGAGTTAAAGAAGGTAAGCTGATAATTTTAATATTTCGGAGGAACTCTTTTTGCAAGGTCACATCTCTCCTTAACGCAGATCTTGTATATTTGCGACTACTGGGTCTTGAAACAGCCAGTGGGAGCCGCAGCTGCTGAAACGGAGAATAGCCTCGCCTCAACAGTTCAGTGGTATCAGCATTGCAGAAATATTGCTTCGTGAAAAATGGAGAACATCACTTCTATATTGAATGGAGAAGACATTGTTGTGCACATCAACGAAACTGTGTTGGTAAAGAAGAAATACAACCGTGGTCGGCAGCGAGCGAACAATATTTGGGTAGTTGGTTTCCATGACACCTCCCTCCGAAAGGGATTCGTCGAAAGGATAGCAAACAGGAAGGCAACTACTTTGATACCTATTTTTACAGGATTTGTAAAACGGGGATCTATAATACATACGGACGAATGGAAAGGTTACAATTCTCTGTCATCACCGGGACGTATTCATCATTGAGTCAACCATTCAAGTGACTTTGTCGAACCCGTTACGAGAACACATACAAATTCTATTGAAGAATTTTGGGGCAGGTTGAAAAATAGGATAAGGGCTATAAATGGATCTCAAAAGGATCTCATTTATAGTCATTTGGATAAATATATGTACAGAATGTGGTGTAACTTTTCTATTGACAGTCCGATGCTTAACTGGGAGATGTTTCTCTCACATGTTAGGGAAAGATACCCCCTGTAACAGTATTATGCTTTTTTTCTATAAATATACGTTTCCCTTTATCATAAATGCCCTCTTAATGTGATTGGTCCGTTTAAGGTCATTTGCTGATTGGTTGTTAGCGATGCTGAAATTCTAACTTTGCCAATAGGAATCCACCTGAAGAAGCCAAACCTGTGAGTTCAGAAGAAATTGGTACAACCACTTTCCTTATGTTGGCCATTATCGTTACATGAATGTATCAACAGGACAACTTCACCGCCCCCCTCACCCTATTCCTTTTTTTTCACAGGTTGATTTGTAAGGCTTTGATTTGTTTTTCCAGTTTGACCACGGATTTATATCGGTTAGAGAACAAATAGGTAGAAGTTAGAATTCATGGGTTATTCATTGAATCGGGTCCCAGTGACTGAATAGTATACGAGCTTGCCGTGTAACCGGAAGGTCCTGGGTTCTAACCCACTGTAGTGGGTACATACTGTCAATGATTCCTAAGTTAGGGGGATGAAACAGCTGTCCAGTAATCCCAGTGCTGGTTTTCAATGGTTCTCTAACTGATACCAATCCACGGTTAAACTCAAACAATATTCCTTTACCATGTCTTTCGTTTTCTACCGATTCAAATAATCTGGAAAAATTCCAGGAGCAAAGGCTCCGTGCTTATTAGCACTCATCAACCGGACAGGTCTTCACAAACCCGTCTATGCATTTATGTAATTCCATTCAATTTGGAATTTCTCGCTGACTGATTGTGTCAAAATATTCAGGGCCTCAGATTGACATGTCGACCTCCTAGTTCAGATGCTTCGACGATTTCTGCTTTATTTAACTTGAAGTAATCTTGTAGATAGTCATTATCAGTGGAATCCAAGAATCCCATTTCGTCCTCTCTGGAACTCATCTCCTGGGGATAACGCTTTAGCGTTTGAAGCGATGGGTACCAGGGTTTGAGCCCTACCACTCACTCACTCACTGGGGAATGCAAATACATCCATCCAGCCAGCTGGTTGACAACTCATCCCAAATACAGTGGCGGGGTGGGTAGTGAAATGCACATCCTGGATTCCACCACAAAAAAAATAGAAAAAGTACACTTTACCTTTGAAGTATCTCCAATGTTGACTGTTTTACGTAGTTCAGCTGATGCGTCGAAAACATACGGCATAGTATTCAACTGTGAAGAAGTAGAACGATTAGCTAAAGCTTTACGTAAACGTTCCATTGTCTGGTTGGCATTCACCTCGATTCTAGCCTGTATACTATTCGATGCACTGATTGGATCAGTTAACAAGCGTTCAATGAGTGCAGCATTTGATCCTTTTTGATCATTTTTAACTTGATTCTAATAACAAAAATAATAACAAAAAAGGGATCAATAAAAGTAGAATAATGATTGAAATATTTCACAGATTTCAAATGAAAAGTTTAGTTATATTTAGTATATATATAAAGAAACGTCACGAAAAGAATTCCCAATTCTATCGGCAGCTGACACCTTCGCTGGTTTTGTAACGACTGAAGACAAGGTCAGTCAGGCAACAGATCGTTTACTGAGAAAATCAACAAATATCTATACATTTTATGCACATTATTATTCGGCATTATTAGCGGAGAAACAACGTCTTCTGATTGGTTGTTTTCCATCATCTCTTTGTGGCCATTTCTTTGAAGGTCTGACCATAATATCTGCAAGTCGTATCCGCCCACGCAAAGTTTGCTAGGATTGGTTGTTGAGTTAGTCTTGGTTCTTGTTCTTTTATCATGACCAAGATTTGGGACGTAAACATTAACGTAAATTGCTTATAATAAATCTTTTTGTATTTCTCAATGAATGAAAAACAAAACGATATTGTTTTTACTGGCGTTTCGCTACTTAATGCTACTAGCGAGAAATCCGGTTGAACTAGAAAAACTTGAAAAACCATCAGCCATAGGTCGTTTACACGCTACGCTATAGAATCACGCCACAATATTGAAATAATCCAGAATAACATCAGAAATCAAAAAGAACGTCAATTATCAGAAGCACTTCATATCAAGTGAAATCCAAATTGTGTGAATAGCAATGATGGACTCAAACAGAATCTGATATGGTTACAACATCTCCCTCCCCCATAAAGCGATAAAATCAACACGAATGTGATAAGCAAGTTCACCATGTAAACACACGCTGCTTTTATAATTTTACACACTGATCAAATCCAACAATCTAAACTTCATTTCGTTATCTTTACCAATTGACCAACTTGACAACAAAAAATGACCCCAGACTGACGAACGATGATCAAGTTAGTAAACTTTGTTTTGATATCATAACAGATGTACTATTACCTTTGTTATTTAGTTTAGTGATCTTTATTGTTATTTTGACTTTCAATATGTCCCTTTAACTTGAAGGAAGTCTATTTTCTCACCTCTTAACTCTTTGTTCTATATATGCTTAGATTTTGTAAATTCTGGTTTAATAATACTTTGATAAAGCTATTAGTATTAAATAGCGAAACGTCAGTAAAACCAATATCCTTCTGTTTTTCATTCATTCATTGAGAAATACAGGAAAACCTTTATTATAATGAATATCATATCCCCAATACCCAAATTTTTTCAAACTGTTAAAAGTGAACTTGGTTTGGACACAAATAAATTGCTGTCTACCAATTTTGGCTAGCAAACAGCTCTCACCACACTTGTCCCCCTCCATCAAAGACTCTCGACTGAAATTGGTTCGATCTTCTTAGTTCTGGTGACTTCATTCGTTAGTCTTGCTGTCTGTAATTCCGACAGTAGCTGACATTCACCAGTTTCTCGTTGTTTACGTTTGCCATTGTGTCTACGTCTCCCAGTTTGTATGCAGTTTGCCTGACCCTTGCGCACATTCGTCGGTGTTTCGCCTCACACTTTCATATGCTGCCTTTGCTCAACCTCCCAGCAGCGTTCCAAGTAACAGTCTCAGAGCTGACAGATCTTGAACGCCACCCAACTGTACAACGGCCTCGAAATCCTGCCCGAAGATCCATAAGTCTTCACCAAAAAATTAAGGGCAAAGGCTTTCTATTTGTCGGTAGGCGGCGACACCAAATGTAACGACGAAAGACAAGGGTCAAGTAACAGATCGTTTATTGAGAAAATCAAAAGATATTTATGGATTTTTATGTACGTAATTATTCTGATTGGTTGTCTTCCTGCTGAAGGTTATTCTGTAACCTCTTTGTGGCTATTTCTTTGAAGGTCAGACCATATATCAGCGAATCGTATCCGCCCACGCAGTGTCTGCCATGATTGGTTGTTGAATTAGTCTTCGTTTTTGTTCTTTTCTCATCACCAAGATCTGAGAAGTAAACATTGACGCAAATTGCTTTCTACCAATTTTGGCTAGCAGACGCCTCTCACAACAGTTTCATATTGAAGACCAAATAGCAAGCCAGAAAGAAGGAATTAGTCACAAAGAACTCCGACTGGGAACAAACAAACCAAGAGCCTATTGCTCAAGGAAGATAGATAGGGCACACACTGAGGAGACCTTCGAATGATATCGCGTGCCAGGCCATCAATCGAATGGAATCTAAAAGGGAAACAATAAGGGTAATATGGAGGAAATAGTGTGGCGAGGAAGAGGAGATGAGTGACTATAGGCAATCGTGGGGCCATCTAAAGAGAACCACAGAAAATAGAACAAACTAGAGATGTGCTGTTAAAGCTGTGTGTTTCACTCACGACCAAAGGAGACAATAATAATAACAGTGTATAAAGACACTGAGTGGATGAAGCGTAGACTTCACACTGAAGAGAACACAACTCTATACTGTTTATCCGATTGTTCAACCAATCGTAAAAGAAGGAATTAATCAAGAAACTATCACCTACACGAGAATGCAGAAATGCAAATGAATATGGATTAGAAGCACCATGAAGAGACCAGTGAGTGACATCATATGACAAGACATCGTACGAGAAGAATCCGAATGAGAAACGAAGAGTTGGATGTCACTCAGGAGTTGATATCGAAGAGATCGTGGGAGGAAGAGATGAAAGTTTAGGGACAATCGTGAAGCCATATAAAAAGGAATGCAGGGAACAGAGTGCAATCGCGATGTGTTACAATTATATATATATATATATATATATATATATATATATATATATATATATATTAAATCAAATTTATCCTGCCTGTGGCTGGCCGAGTAATAGGCCGCCCTTATTTGTGCGTCGGTGGCACAGTGGTTAGGACTCTCGCCGACCATGCACATGGTCCGGGGTTCGAGCCCACGCCGACGCACACTTGATATCTATGGTCGGCCTGCGAATTTTGGGCTACCGATATCCACGCTGAAAATTCCACACCTGTCCCAAAAATACGGTGTGGAATCAAGCTGTAATCGAAAATAAAAATAAAATAAATATATATATATATAATAGGCTCCACAAGATCCTTTAACCAAAATAAGTGAATTCGTGTGCTTGAAGGAGCAACCTTCCTGAAATTTCTTCTTTGTATGGAAGTCCTACTGATGGCCCACGAAATGATTACAACACCAACAGTACAGTACTCAAAGCAATAATAGTACTTCCATATCCAAAAAGGAACTTCGGAAACCCAATGTAGAACTCTAAACATAACAGGAATGAAAGTGGCTGGCATTCAATCACCCAAAAACTCAATTAGAAACAAGCTTTGTCGGTTAAAGGATCAATCCTGTGGAGGCAATTAAAATAAACAATTTCGTTTATCTAATACCCTGTTGGAATGACTGTTTGTGTCAGGTCAAAGTAGTAGAAGGGTGTTTACTCAGTCGGACTAGCGGAGTATAAACACCTAGCAAAATCTAGATTACTTGATCTTAATAAGACAGGAAACCTGGAGAATAGTTCAGCTATAGCACTACACCACATGCAATTACACACACAAGCATACAATACGATAGGATAGGATAAGATGTGCATCGGTGGCACAGCGGTTAGGTATCTCGCCCACCATGCACATGGCCCGGGGTTCGATCCTCTGTCATGCTGAAAATTCCATACTTGTACCAAAAATACGGTGTGGAGTCAAGCTATAATCATATATATATATATATATATATATATATATATATATATATATATATATATATATATATATATATATATATATATATATATATATATAACAGAAGGGTGGATGGTGAGACTGATAACCTCACTCAGTTGACTGAGGTTTCATTTATCGAATCAACTGCAAACACATGTAACAGGAGTGATTCAACACACCTATTCAGCCGAACATCTGGAAAATCCCACTACTCCTACAACGAATAGGAAGGAATATGGGGGGGGGGGGACTACAAAACTCAACTTTCGAAGTTGTGTAGTGTTATAAGTGATGATATGATTATGAGTAGCAAGAAATTGTGTTCGAAATGTTGTCATCCAGTAAAATAAGATTGTCTCACTGGGCATGTGTGCGATATATCTAATATGCAGTCAATATAATGTGTACACATTTGGTTGAATAGCTTGTAAATGTGTCGTTGAAAAAAAAAGAGTCACATAGTTTTCACTGACAATCGGTGGGTTTTTTCTTCAACGAAATACGGTCGCCGACAGCAAATCAACCAATAGACTAAAGCCCAACAATTCTGTAAAAAGTAACGAAGATGGGAGTAGGACATACACTGAGCGAACTTTTAAGTGATACCGCACACAAGAGGAGACCGTCTTGTAGAACCCCTAAAGGAAGGTGACGAGTGGAACGTGGGTTTGAGGGTGATGTGGGAGAGATTGTATAGAAGGTGAAAGAAATGACATATCAGTTTGTTTATTAGGTGTATCACACAGTGGGTGTAACAGTATTATTATTTACTGGATGACAGTGTTTCGAACAAAATTTACTTATTGTTCATAATCATTTCATCAATTATAACCACACGACTTCGAAACTTGAGTTTCAAAGTTTTATTTGTTTTCTCCTATTTTTCGTCATTGGGGTAGTAGAATTTTCCAGATATTCGCGTGGACAGGTATTGAATCATTCCTATTACACGCATTTGCAGTTGATTCAACAAACAAAGCATCCGTTGTCAATCTCTCTCTCTCTCTCCACCCTGGTGTAACATTAGATTTTTTTAACTTTCATCTAATCCCATCCTGCTGTGTGTAATTGCATTCTCTAGACTGCCTCTCTTCTTCCGGTCAACCAATCTAGATTTTGCTATGTTTTTATGACTCACTGCCTCTGTTCTACTAGTTTGACCTTTGGTATTTCACCTAACTGACAATTACTCCAGAAGGGTATTAGATAAACTAAATTGTTTTGGTTTCATTCGCCACACAGAATCGATCCTTTAACCGACAAAGCTAATTTCTAATTGAGTTGGTGGGTTTGAATACCAACCACTTTCACTTCTGCCTTGTTAAGAATTCTGCGTAAGGTAGCTTCTAAGGTTCCTTCCTTGTATGGAATTACTACTGATGATTTAGATTCCTTATTGTTGGCGTTGCCTTGTGCATGTTTGACATGCATGTCGTCATTAATATTATTATTATCACTATCCCTACTATCATTATTTATTTTTACATTTTCCTACATACTTTTTTACTAATTTATCAGGGTAATTATTAAGTTTCAAAGCCTGTCTTATATGCCTCACTTCCTGTATAGGATTTTCCTTGGTACTACTTAGTTTTTGCGTACTATTCGAAACATTGTCATCCAGTAAATAATAATACTGTTACACTCACTGTGTGATACATCTAATAAACAAACTAATATGGAATTACTTACTACTACAGTGGCCAAATACAACGTATCACTCGGAATCGAGGGAACAAATACTGACTAGAATATAACACAAAATAGACAGGAAAAAAATATGGCAAACAAAGCAATAACCGGGATTGAATTATGCAAATTTCAACCTTACACACCTGATCAGTACAGCTAGCTTCTTCAGCAGATTTCTGATCTACAATCAGAGAACAAAAGAGGAATAAGACATTATTTCGAAACAAAACTAAATTATTACTATTATTACTACTAGACGACGTAAACTAATGATGAAAATGTAACTCAGTACATCTTCTAAAGACAGCAAAAGATGATTCCTTAATAATCGACCATAATCAACCAAATCATTTATTCTCAAGAGTTGCTGGTTTGTAAGGATTTGATCGCAAGCTGACACCAGCTAGAGAATCACTAAAAAGTCAGAGAGTACCGGACAGCTGTTTCGACTTAGTTCGAGACTCGTCAGTGGTACGCACCCATCAGAGTCTGGACCCAGGACGTCCCAGTTTACAAGGCGATCTCGTAGACCATTTAACCACCACCACCACTAGGATGGAATCCAATCGCTCATGAATTTTAACTTCTACTAAATTCGTGATATTTTAGCACACGCGATCACCTGCCAGCCAATGTCAACGGCTTCCTTTACTCTAGCTGGTGCTCCTCAGGGAGCTGTTCGTTTTCCTTTTCTGTTTTCTTTCTTCTTACATGATTTGCCCCAATCTGACGAAGTCAATATTCTTAAGTATACCGATGATCCATCTGACTGTTTCTATGCCAACGGTTACTTCTCAGTCAGACTATTCCAAAATTAATAATCTTTTATTAGAAATCAGTCAGTGGTCCTAGTCAAATTGTCAGTTTTAGGCTTTAGTGGTTAACTTCACTTTCAGATGTAAGCGCGACTTATATGTGAACTGGTAAGTTCGTACAACTCCACTATCACAAATAGCACTGGATGTTAAATGCCTTTGATTGTGTATTTCCCTTGATCTCTCCTGGTCTTCCAGAAAGATATTTCGTTTGACCTTGTATAACCTTGTATATAAGGAAGTTAAATTCGATCTGGTATCATTCCATCACTACTTTCCAAGTTTCTTAATTCCTATATTCTGCCTATCCTTCTGTACTCTACCCACACAACTAAATCTTTCCCGAGCTATTCAAGAAAGACTTTGTTTGTCATACTGCAAAAGGCACTAAAAGCCGTCAGCAGGACGAGTGGGGTGTTACTCAAAGAAATCATTAATATTATTGTAAATAAACACTTGGATTCCTGTAAGAAATTAGTAAATATTATCCTGTCAGGTTCTGAACATCCTGTCTCTATACACAACTATCTGCTTGATTCTATCTCATCCGGTAGAACTGAAAGCAACTATAGAAGACTGTATGCTCGGACGACTAAGCACAGAAGCTCTACAATACCTTATTCGGCAGGCACACATTTTATGGGATAAGAAAAGTGTAAGGCAGTTAATTACCAACTTATTGCGCAACTCTAGGTATACGGCACTGTTTTCTGTTCTCAATATCACATTGTCACTGATGTCTTCACCTGATTTAATTTTATATTTATATTCTTATTGAACAATACTATTAATTTAAATCCCTATTTTGACTATTGCCCCTGTAATGAGAAACTCAGATGCACTATTGCGTTACATGTTGAAAATTCCATATTTGTACCAAAGGTACTGTTTGGAATAAAGGTGCTATTATTATTATTATTATTATTGTTATTAATTGGTATTGCGATAAGACGTAGAGTTTTAGCTAAGGACAGTAAGTCAATCGATGAGGTTGTAAAATTACATTCATTGACACGTCTACTTGAACATGTCTGCTGCACATTTCAATGCAACGCCTTCTTCACCGAGTAGTATTAGTTGACAAAGAATGATAATTGAAAAGAGTTTTACACAGACAGACAAATCAAAATCTGACATCGATTCACGAAGACTTTGACTGTAGCTTTAAGCTAGCTACATCAAGAGGTGTTGACTGCCCGGTTAGGTTCGAAGGGATACTAAAGGATCAGTGGCTGGAGACTATTGCTGACACCTATAAAGCACCAAATAATAAAGCAAAGAATATCCCTGTCGATAATTTCCCTCTCTTCTGGCTCTACAATTATATACGCATGTTTATATACATAGAATATTCTAGAATAGTAGTCGATAACAATATTAGTGTGCTTTTTAAATAATATCGATTTGTTAAGTAAGATCACAATGGAATTACCACAGTTCATTAAAGATGCTTAAATTATAACAATTATAAAAATATAATAGCAAATAGAATATCAATTAAAATTAAAGAAATTTCTACAAAAATTGACGATCATTAGAACCTAGATGAACAATATCTGAACTAACTTCCTTTGGACACATAAATTAGGCTTCTTAATGTAGATCCTAAAAACCAGCTTCAGCAATATTTGGTAAACGAAATCTTAAGGCAAAATTGGAATTTGTTGGTATGCGGTAAATGACATTGAAAGCTGCCTCGTTAACATCATCAATCTTGTGTTGTATATCCACAAGATGAGATAAAAAATGACGCTACGAATGGATTTTGTTTGTCCTTAACTTAACCAGCCATGCAAGGTGATGTTCGGAAATTCGACGAGAAACACGCGTAATTGTACGGCCTATGTAACTGACGCACTCCACAGGAGCAGTTAAATTGGTAGATAGATGTCTGAACGAATATTTTTCGCTATATTGCTGATAGGTCTCGAATTCATTGTTAACTAAGGACGTAGATGCATTCACTCCCTATGTGAGTGTGTGTGTGTGTGTGAGATCCCCCGTACCCACCAAACCATCATCGTTTTCCATGTTCCTATCCCTATCTCCCTCCTATTTCTCTCTACCTTTGTGTGCTACATGGAATATGGCAAGTTGAACTGCTAGACTCTTGTGCACAGTCCCGTTTTGAAACTCATCACCATTAACAGACGTGCTCGTGTATAATGAAATCAAGAAACGAGTGTATGAGTGAGCGAGTGAGGGAGGAAGGGACACATATAAAGAAAAGCTTCCTGGTAAATACTTTTCTTTAAACGCACAAAAATCTTACCATCACTTGGAAAGTAAACATTTATCCATTCATCACGTCGATTTACCAGATCGAAGACAATATCCACACAATCCAATCCGATTAATTCGAATAACTGCGGAGTGGGACGGGGGGGGAGAAAGAAACACAGAAAATGCAAAGCTTGACATATGTATGTTGTATATACAGGCAGGAATGGAAAACACCGCACAATTACTAGGAGTATTGGAAGATGTGAGAAAAACTGCTTACTAGCTAGCTAGCTAGCCAGCCAGATCGAGGTGATCTAAACACCTTAGGGGGCGGCATTTTTCACCCATTTTGAGGCAGAGCTCATCAGAGATGTACCCGATTTAACTCAGCTCGAACGGTCAAATTGTAATGACAGAAGACAAGGCCAGCCAGGCAACAGGTCGTTTATTCACAAAATCAACAGATATTTATAGATTTTTATGTATATTATTGTCAGCGGAGAAGCGACGTCTTCTGATTGGTCGTTTTCTTGCTGAAGGTTATTCTATCCTGCTTGTGACCGTTTCTCAGAAAGTCAGGCCATATATCTGCGAATCATATTTGCACACGTCAAGTCTGCTATGATTGGTTAGTGAGTTCCTCAAGATTAAGCTTTTTTATTGTGTTTTTTTCTCATGACACCGATTCGGGACGTATGTTGTTGTCTACGATTTTGGCTTGCAGGCAGTTCTCAGCATAAAAAAATCAGTTCCAACTTGAAAATCGAATTATTTTCTCAGGACTGTATGACTCGAGTGTCTTACATATCATATATGTTTGTTAATTAGACTCATTTGGTCGGAACACAGTTTTCTTACATCAGGCTACATGATCCAAACTTATTACCGTTTGACAGCCGATGATACTATCCAGTTAGTTGCCTTTAGGCTGAAGTATTCCTTGGAGCGAGACTCGAACGCGTAACCTGATGACTGTAAAACTAGGCTCGGAAATCAATCATCCACAACTGAATTAAGATATATGAAAGAAAGAAGAAAAATACACAGTGGAATGTAGCCTAACCTGTTTGGAACAAAAACTCATACCAAAATCAGTGCATTATTGAATACCAGTCAGACAGATGTCATGTTTCAACCAACCGAATATATGAAGTCTCTACAGGAGGTTGGCCGGGGAGGGGGGGACAAGGAGATATTGGCCACAACTATTACACCAGATGCCTTCATCGGCTGCATGCTGAAGATCGATCAGATGGTCGGTCAGTCAGAAAGGACTAGTAAGAAGAAACTCTGACAGACGCCGAACCAACTAGGAACCTATCGCCCAAGAAATATGCTGACGGAAATGGAGATCAATCAGACCGCCACAAGTTGAGAAGACCATTGAGTGACATTGGAGGCTACGCAGACCCTCAAGCGACACACAAATGGGGAAAGACGAGCTGAGTGTGATTCCGGCGGTGACATGGACGAGGTCATGTAAGGAGAAGATTAGATAGTTCGACTATCGACCAAAGGGATTGTGTACTGCTCATCAGTCCGCTCCGTCCTCCTTTATGGATGGCTGTGAGACCTGGTCACTGAGAGTGGAAGACATGAAAAGACTAGCTGTCTTTGATCATAGGTGCCTGTGCTCTATTTCCCATGTAAACTGGCATAATAAGGTGAGCAACATTGAGGTTAGGCGTAGAGTTCTAGGTAAACAGGGGAAATCAATCGACGAAGTCGTGAAGTTACAAAGACTGAGATGGTTAGGACATGTGTTACGTATGCCAAGCCATCGCCTCCCTCGACGAGCAATGTTAGCGGATATAGGGTCAGGTTGGAAAAAAGCTAGCGGCGGTCAAACAAAAACTTGGCACCACTCAATGAAATCCACAACAGTTGGTCTAAGCCACGTAGGAAGGTGTAGACTGGCTTCCTGGTTGGGGTCCTCGGGACGGTAAAAATCTATGGTTGGAAACAATTGGTGACATGGCTCAAAATCGTTCTCAGTGGCTAGCGCAGATGCATCCACTCCCTGTGACTTATGATCTCCAATGAAACTGTTTTGTTTTTCTTTATTACTCCTTTGTCTCACACCTCTGCTCACTGTCGCTATTATGCTTTTCTTGTACTTTCTTCTGTTGCTTCGCGTGCTACACGGAGTGTGGCGACTTGAACTTCCGCACATTTGTGCAAAGTTCTATGTCGAAAACAGACAGACAGAAGATTAGAGAGTAGTCAAAGAGCCCAACATAAAGGACTGTTGAAGCCATAAGTTTCACTCAGAGCTTAAAGGAATAATAATTATTATTATTACATATAACCAGAAGTGTCAGTCCGCCAGTAAGCATCTTCACATTTGAAGAAAAAAACGAACAAATCTCACCTCTTCTTGTACTTCATCGCTTGACTTAGAAGAGGCTAAAATATCAAAGATCATTTGAATAAATTGTTCATCCGAGATGTCTAATTGTCTAGCTTTATGAGATAACTTGTTTGTTAGCATAGAAAGACTGGTCGACTGTAGCGACGTAGACGACGAAGAAGCAGCTTCTGGTTGGTTGATAGATTTCTTCTTATTTTGTTCAAGCAGAGGAGCTAGAAGAAGTCGCCTGTAAAAGGAATAAATAAGAATAATAATCAGTTGGTTAGTTATAATCCCTTAAAATTTGCATGCATGACTCTATATATACTACTGATTAGTGGAAATGAGTAGTTGGACGCCCTTCGCATCAAACGGTAGTGCTCTCCAGCCAGTTAGGCAGGTCAAATTGTTTTAAAAACCATCAGATTACCGTTTCGCTCGTTTCGGACCGAGGTTCAAGTTTAATTATTATTATTATTGTTTCCATAGGTTCCAAGTGGAACACAGGGTCTCGACAGCACATCCCAACTTTGTCCTCCTTTCTGACGTCCTCTTTAGCTGGCCGCCCCACGATTACCCATAGTCTCTCATCTCCTCACTACACAATCTCCTCCATGTCACCTTTGGATGCCGCAATCATCACCCGAGGGCCTGGAGAGTAGTATTATTCGACGGTCTCATCAGTGACTGCCTGGTCCATCTCCATTTTCGCCTACATATATGTAGAGCAATCGCTTCTTAGTTGAATTGTTTCCAGACTTCTTTGTTGCTAATTCGTTCTGCTTGTCCAGTTTAAAATGCTATTTGGTGACGCGCAGAAGAACTGACCGACTTAGCTGTTGTGTTGGAAATCCAAATCTTGTTGTTTTATACTGTATGCAGATTTCTAAACCCATTTCAGAATGACCAAGGTGCATCTTGCCTATCCGATTCTGGTTGGGCAGCTCCTAACATCTTCATCTGTGTCACCACGTGTAGTTGAAACAATGCTTCTTCCTAGATAAGTACAGGAAGTGATCTCTTTCAAATCCTTTGCGTCGACAGCGATTGATGCGCGTGTTGTTGTCGTTATAATTGGTTGGTTAATCTTTATCACCTCCATCCTCTCTGTGTTCACTTGAAGTCTTGTTACTTCTTCTGCCAGTTTTTTTTTGTGTTTTTGGTTTTCGCCCCCACCTGCAAGTCTTCGAGTTTGTTTCACGTTAGACATAAATCATCCACGAGATCAAAATGCTCTGAAGTCTTCTTATCGGCTCAAGTAGCTAGCTTTTGAGAAATTAGGTGGTCTCAGAAAGGAATCAGCACACTGAGCTAAGAGTCAAACCGAGTACGCCACTGATGTCTTCAACTCCAAAAATAAGCAAAATAACCATCCTAATGCGTTTTAGATCACTTCATCCTGGCTGGCTACCTAGCAACGCTTGCCTCCTTGATCTTGATTACACATTTATGGTGTCAAGCAGACCATGCGTACATTGTGATCTGATCCAAAGAAAACTGGGTTATAAAATTTCACCTCCACGCAATGAGCGTAAATTGTTAATCGCCAACTTGATATAATGTAAAACTTGAACTTAGTGAAGTGAATAATGTCCCAGAATGATATGTGTGTATAATATGTCTGTCTGTTTTCGACATAGAACTTTGCACAAATGTGCGGAAGTTCAAGTCGCCACACTCCGTGTAGCACGCGAAGCAAGAGAAGAAAGTACAAGAAAAGCATAATAGAAACAGTGAGCAGAGGTGTGAGACAAAGGAGTAGTAAAGAAATACAAAACAGTTTCATTGAAGATCATAAGTCACAGGGAGTGGATGCATCTGCGCTAGCCACTGAGAACGATTTTGAGCCATGTCACCAATTGTTTCCAACCACAGATTTTTACCGTCCCGAGGACCCCAGCCTGGAAGTCTACACCTTCCTACGTGGCTTAGACCAACTGTTGTGGATTTCATTGACTGATGCCAAGTTTTTGTTTGACCGCCGCTAGCTTTTTTCCAGCCTGACCCTATATCCGCTAACATTGCTTGTCGAGGGAGGCGATGGCTTGGCATACGTAACACATGTCCTAACCATCTCAGTCTTTGTAGCTTCACGACTTCGTCGATTGATTTCCCCCGTTTACCTATAATATACCTATAATATATGAGAGAGAGAGAGAGACAAATAGATAACAAGACGTATACAGGGAAGAAAAATTCCTTTTTCGACAATTCATTTGCATAAGCTGTTGTACAATCGTAATTATATTTAATAAGGAATTCATAAAATCAATCAGATGCTGGTAAAATTTGGTTCTTACATTCCCGAGGACAACAACCAACCAGTCAGTCAGCAAGTCTACACCTCCCCCCCTACGTGACTGACTGACTAACTGGCTGGCTGACTGGCTTAAACTAACAGTTGTGGATTTCACTGACTGATAAAGCCATGTTTTGCTTTGACCACCACTAGCTAACTCTTTGAAATGATAGAGAAGATTTGTAGCTCAGGTAGATAATTTGGAACTAATAGTGTTCTCTGAGCTCAGAGAACACTGTTAATTGGAAAGCTAACTCTTATTTTTTATTTATTTCTTTATTTTTGATTATAGCTTGATTCCACACCGTATTTTTGGTACAAGTATGGAATTTTCAGCGTGGATATCGGTAGCCCAAATCTCGCAGGCCGACCATAAATATCAGGTGTGCGTCGGCGTGGGCTCGAATCCCGGACCATGTGCATGGTCGGCGAGAGTCCTAACCACTGTGCCACCTCATCCATCCTATGTCAGTCAGATAACATTGCCCATTGTCGAGGAAGGCGATGGATATCTAGGGATGCATGCGTAACCATCTCAATCGATGCAGCTGCTTTAGAACCACCTCGTTGAACAATTCCTCCTCCCTTCTTACTTAGCACTCGACCGATGCCTCACCTCAATCTTACTCACCCTAATGTACCACTGTTATGTACTACTGAGTAGTTAATTGTCCTGACGCGGAAAGAGAAAAATCAGAAGACCACCACGTTCACGATGATGTGTATTTTCCAACAAGGGAAATTAACTGTCACACAAGTGTGTGAGTGAAAGGGTACGTAGTGTACGGAAGGTGTGAACAAGTGTGCATAAAAAGTGTACAATATAAAAGTATATACGAAAATGACTAATATACATGAACCAATAAGATAGACATCTTACCATGAATGGATTCTGATTGGTTGTAATGTCATGTGACATAAAGGTCGTACATTGTTTATTTAGTTAATGGACAGACAAAGCATATTGTAAGTTATAATGGAATATCGATCAATATACACATAGCAAGATATATCAGACTGTCAAAAACAAAGCAGACATCACGTGACTACATATCAACCACCTAAAACGGGAGATAGAACACAGGCTTCCCAAATAGGTGAAGTGGTGGTCAACACGCTCAATATAGTGTAGTCCAGTCCTGTAGCATCCCCTTACATTTAATCGCAGCTATCAGTCAACCATGGTCAACCTTTTAACCAATCCAATCCTCCACCCACGCCACTTCACCTCACGTTTGAATGTTCCACTCAAATAAAAAGCAAGGGATGAGGAAAAAGAGTATCAAAATGTCTTACCTGAATGGATCAGTCACATCGTCCTCTTGAAGCGCATAACTACAGCCATCCTCCTGTTTTTCTACACTTCCATTCCTTTTTTCACCAGGATTCTTTTTGCTAGATGTACTCCGATGAAATGCTTTTCTTTGCTTATGACTACTACTAGTAGAATTATAATTATTATTTACAAGTTTTAGAATAAGTTCTTCATTTTGTGAAACAACACGACATTGACGAAATAGCTCACTGAATTGTTCACGATCAACTGTTTTAAATGGATGATAGGCTAACAACGACCCTAAACATTTGCATACATCTATCCAGGCTAAATCAACATTAACAGCACCAGAAGCTCCAATTTTACACAATATTTTCGGTTTGAATTGTTTCAGGGAACAATGACGTGGTATATCCACGACGGAGACACTACGACTAATCAACTCTACGAATTGATCACCCATATCACCGAGTAGTATGAATATAGCAGAAGTGCCAAGTTCTTTTAGACTGATTGAATCTTTACCGATTAACTGGAGACAAGCTTCTTTGAAACGATCAATACGATTGTCTAATTCATATTTGATTGAAACCGAAGATGTGGAGGAGGATGACGATAATAATTCGTGAAATCGTTCTCGAAGACTTTTCCCCTTTATACACTTTAAATCCACATATCCATGTGTACTGTCCAGATTGGATAAGATATTAACATTATTATTTTTATAGGGATAAGATGAGGCATTTTGATTTTGTGAAGAAGACGATTCAGCGTTGACCATTTATTTGATAATCTATAATAGACATAAAAAGAAAAACAAAAGAAGGATACAATATGAATTCATGTTGACAATTTAGTCACAAAGAGACAGATTCAAGAACACAGGCATTCCTGCCGGCCTCCAACAGTCATTATATTTCTTGACCTAAAGGCAGCATTCGATTCTGTCGACCGAGAGGTACTCTGGCAATGCTTGGCTGTAAAGGGAATGCCGAGAAAATATATTGCACTGATTAAGGCACTCTACTCGTACTCATGCAGCCAGGTGAGGGCTTACGGTGAGTTGTCATCTGAAGTGGTGTCCGTCAGGGATGCCCATTATCCCCCTTTCTATTCAATTTCATCATAGATGTATTAATAGATTTAACCCTGACTCACTTCAGAGACTTAGATATTCACTTGTTACCAGGGTATAATCTCATTGACTTAGAATATGCAGATGACATAGTCCTTCTAGGTGAGGACGCTGACAGAGTAGAGCAGAGTCTTCTGAACACCTTCGGCTGAAATCTACGAATGTTTGGCATGCAATTCGCTCCCGTCAAATGTAAGATGATCTTACAGGACTGGACTACATTGACTCTTAGTTTAGAAAGAGGGAGTGAAATGGTGGAGCACGTTGACCGCTTCACTTATTTGGGAAGTTGCATCAGCCAACGCCAACGGGTTGATCTCTGACGAAATATCAGCACGGATACAAAGGGCTGGTTTCGCATATGCCAGTTTACGCCGTCTCTGGCTTAGTAGACGTGATATCTGGGTATCGACGAAAGGGCGGGTGTACTGCTCATTAGTCCGCTCCGTCCTCCTTTATGACTGTCTGTGAGACTTGACCATTGAGAGTGGAAGACATGAAAAGATTAGCTGTCTTCGATCATAGGTGCCTGTGCTCTCTCCCCAGTGTGAAGTGGTATAATAAGGTAAGCAATATTGAGGTGAGGCTTGAGTCGATTGCTAGGTGATGAGGGGAAATCAATCGACGAGACTGTGAAATTAAATCGACTGAGATGGTTAGGACACGTGTTACGTAAGCCTAGTCATCGCCTTCCTCGACAACGGGCAATGTTAGCTGACATAGGATGGGTCAGGCTGGAAAAGAGGTAGCGGCGGTCAAACCAAAACATAGCACCAGTCAAGCACCAGGACAGTTAGTTTAAGCCATCCACCTAGGAAGATGTAGACTTCCCGGTTGGGGTCCTCGGGACGGTAAAATCCAATGGAGGCTGGAGACAACCGGTGATATGGCCGTCTCAAAGTGATCGTTCTCAATGGCTGGCACAGATGCATCCACTCCCTCTGACTTATAATATCCAGTGAAACTATATTGTTCTTCGTTATTACTATTCCCTTGTCTCACACCTCTGTTTACTGTCTCTAGTATGCATTTCTTCTACTTTCTTCTCTTTGTGTGGTACAAGGAAAGAGTGTGGCAACTTGAACTGCCGCACATCGGTGCAAAGTTCTCTGTCAAAAACAGACAGATAGACAGAATCGCAAAGAGGCTTTATGTGTTATTGAGCTAGTGGGTAGGCGGTTGTTACTTCCCACCTGGCCACACTATGGAAGTTGATTGTTTTTCTTGGGATACTCAGGAACAGAAAAAAGACTTAGTTAGTGTTGAGTGACCGCTCAGAGCTCAGGAGATAACGCCTTGAGGCCTGATACACACACATGGGCTGTTTGAACTGTATGTCTGTCTATTTTCGACATAGAACTTTGCACCGATGTGCAGCAGTTCAAGTCGCCACACTCCCTCCTTGCAGCACACAAAGCAAGAGAAGAAAGTAGAAATGTATAATAGAGACAGTAGACACGGATATGAGACAAAGGAATAGTAATAACGAAGAAAAATATAGTGTGATTGGAAATCATAAGTCACAGGGAGTGGATGCATCTTCTCTATCACTGAAAACGATTTTGAGCCAGCCATATCACCAATTGTTTCCAGCCTCCATTGGTTTTTACCGTCCCGAGGACCCCAACCACGACGTCTACACCTTCCTACGTGGCTGGCTGGCTTAAACTAGCTGTTGTGGATTTCATTGACTGGCGCCATATTTTGGTTTGACCGCCGCTACCTCTTTTCCAACCTGACCCTATGTCAGCTAATATTGCCCTTTGTCGAGGAAGGCGATGACTAGGCATACGTAACACATGTCCTAACCATCTCAGTCAATACAGCTTCACAGCCTCATCGGTTGATTTCCCCCCGCCTCCTAACCTAGCACTCGACGCCTAACCTCAATATTGCTCACCTTATTATACCTCTTCACATGGGAGATAGGGCGCAGGCACCTATGATCGAAGAGAGCTAATCTTTTCGTGTCTTCCACTCTCAGTGGCCAGGTCTCACAGCCATTGAACTGGCTTTTACTACCGGCTACCGGGCACATTGTAGGGTAAGTTGGGATGCTGTACAATTTTTGGCGTCTTTTCCTAATCCCTCTAACCTATCCAGAGTGGAGAGACAGCATAGCCGGTCGGCATGCTGGTCATTTGAGGGAAATACCTTACTGCTGTTGCATTTCTGATCCCCAGCAGTATGACTTTACTCACAGACCTTCAGCATAGTAGAAACACGGCAACAGTAAAGAATAGACACCAACTACAGACAACCTTGAAACAACCAATCAGATTCTTCCAGGTTAAAAGTAGCATTTAATTAACAAAAATATGGATTTATAAGATATACACACGTAATAAAAATTAATTATACGGGATGTCTCTAATATGTTGCAAAAACTCGTCCCAGTTTCGCATAGATATTAAACCAATGTCGACACAAAAGCTTATGTAAATGGCTATATACCAGATCATTTCGGGAACCATTTGCCATCCTGATACGTTTTTTATGCTCGGCTAGTCTGACTGCACCTATTCTACTACTATGACGACGTGCATGTCAGGCATGTGGAGGACAATGACAAAACCAACAATAAGGAATCTAAATCATCAGTAGTACCTCCATATAAAGAAGGAACCTCGGAATTGTTACAGAAAATTCTTAACAACGCAGGAATAAAAGTGGCTGGTATTCAGACCCCCCACAAACTCAATTAAAAACAGACTTTGTCGGTTAAAGGATCAGTCCTGTGAAGCCAATAAAACAAAACAATTTAGTTTACCTAATACCCTGCCTGCAATGATTGTCCGTTACGTCAAATACGTAGGTCAAAGTAGTAGAACAGGTGCAGTCAGATTAGTCGAGCGTAAAAACCCAGCAAAATGTAGATTAGTTGACCCAAATAAGATTTAAAAAAATCTAGAGAATAGTTCAGCTATACCACTCATTACATGCAATTACATACAATCATACAACAAGATGGGATAGGATGGCAGTTTTAAAATCTAGTGTCACAGGGTGGAGGGACAGATTGATAACAGAAGCTTTGTTTATCGAATCAACTGAGAGGGAATACGTGTAATAGGAATAATTTAACACCTATCCACCCAAACATCTGGAAAAGTCTACTACCCCTACGAAGACAAATCGAAGTCGTGTGATTATAACTGATGGCATGATTATGAACAGTAATAAATTTTGTTCGAAACTCTGTCATCCAGTAAATAATACTGTTACACTCACTGTGTGATACATATAATAAACAAACTAACATGGATTTACTTACTACCACAGTGCCCAAGTTTTACACACATTATTTCTGCAGAACTCCAAGTAAAAGGCCCTATCTTTTTCATTACTTTACTTTTCATCAATATTTTCACTTGATTTAATTTTATATTCACATTCTTATTGAAGAATATAGCCAATGTAAATTATTATCAATATAAATGCCCTATTTTAACTATTACCCCTGTAATAAGAAAGTAAGATGCGATACTGTACTACAAGCTGCAAATTCTATATTTGTAAGAAGAATATTTTTTGGAATCATTATTATTAAACATAATGTGGTAGCCTTAATAATAATCAACCTTGACAACCTTAACATAGAGTAAAATGCAAGCACTACACAATAATAAGCAACAATATTTCGCTCAAAAAAATGTTCAAAAGCCCCACCTAAATAAATAAAGCACACATTTTACAATTATACTAGTCTAGTTAACCACTTTTAACCAAGTAATGCATTGAAACCTGACAAAGGTAAATGTAAATCACTACATTTGCCAGGGAGGCAACGTAGTGTGCATTATCTAAGGAGCAATTCTTTGAGGCTACACAAGGGACTTCTTAAGTCCATTTACCTTTCAATGATTTCTTGGCAAATCTAATCTGTTTCAATAATTTGTACATTAGTGAATATTGACGATACATCCACAAATAACATACGTTTATCATTAAAAATTAGCCACCGATATTTCAGAAATAAAGTCGAAGACATCACTAATTCTATGTTGTACAATTTCTTTGTGCAAAGGTCCGAGAATCTTTACTAACTACTTTACTCTTCCTTGAAATGGAGAGAATTAGTTATCCATATCTAAAACTGGGTGAAGAGAAAGATCTGGTTTGTGCACTTTGGGTAGACCGTAAAGACATGGAGAGTTGGTACTCGTTGGTTTCATGGACTCACACATGGTCGATGATAATACTCCTATTTGGTTCAGTTTTTTGAGGGAGTCGGTCATTAGTTTCTCAGCTCTTACATTGAGGTCTTTGGAAACATCAAGAGATTGAAATTTAGTTTGATCACTCAAAAGAACTTTCATTTTTTCTACATAATCGCTTTTGTTCAGTAAAACTATATCGTCACCTTTATCTGACTTGCTAATAATGAAGCTCTCATTACTTCTAAGTTCTCTTAGAGCTACACTGTGTTGCTTAGATAACAGACTATTTACTGAATGTTTAGTATTCTTGTATTGTTGGCAGCTGTCAACTAGCGTCGTTTTGAACCTAGTTAGTTCATCGTCCGATGATGGGGTAAGATGCTGGGGACATCACTGTATCTAATTCCCATGAAACTTCATGAACTCTCTACAACATCAACCAAATTCCAGTACTGGTCCAACATCGTCGCCTTCGGTGGTTTGGCC